ACCAAATGAGGAGAATTGATCTGGAAGGTCTTCATAGGTTTGTGTGTGTGGACATGTGTGTGTGTCTTCTACACACTCACACCGGGACTGATTTAGCAAGCAGCAGGAAAGAGTCGAATGCATTATTAAGTGATTTAAAAGAGAATCTGCAAAAGCAACAGTTTCTCACTAATTACTGAGAATGCAATAACATATTCATGAGTCAAAATTACATGTCTTTGCAAAATTCCCGTGGTTCAATCCCTAGCCTGAAGCTCACTTTGATCCCCATGGTTGCTACTCACGTTTAGTATTATTAACTAAAACTAAAACCATAAAAACATTTTCAATACAAAAAAAAAGGTACTAAAATAGCTACTAAATAAACTACTAAATAAAAAAACTTCAGACCTTTTTTTAGAAAGAATACAAAAGGCAATGTTGTATAACATGTTGATATTATACCAATTAAAGAATTTTTCACCCAAAAATGTCATGATTTACTCACCCTCATGTCATTCTAAACCCATATGGTCATTATTAACGTATCATTTTGAAAATTATCAGTCAATATTGACTTTTTTGGACAAAATTTGCATGAGATATGGACTATTTTTATCATGGTTTTATGGTGTATTTTTTTTTTTTTTTTACTTTTAATTAACAGGCCCTTTATTTGTGGCTGTTGTATTGAAAAAGAGAAGCGTGAACATTTTTCAAAACATCTCCTTTTGTGCTCAATGGAAGAGCGAAAAGTCATACAGGTTTGAAATGACATTGAATAAATAGGTTGACTAAATAATGACATCATTTCATTTTTGAGAGAACTAATCCTTTAAAGATCACTTCTGTGCTTCGCTTCAATCTCAAGCCCAAAGATCCCTTTTATCCCTTTAGTTCAATCTGATATTACAGCAATTCCCTCAAAATACTAGGAATGTGACCTTCAGGCATTGGGAGCGTTTTGAGAGTTTCGAATTATCAGCATGTCCTGATTCACACCTGATACATCAATCCCAGCGCCGGGTTTAATAGAGTCGTAATCCTGGCTTCACTTTCCCCTGAGAAACCCCCATCATCACAGGACGACATGATGCTAGAAAGCAACAGGTGCAAAGACTCCTCCTCACGTGCACATTTCACCCTGTGTTTACACTTCTGAATAACTCTGCCAACTCAGCCCTGTTCCACTCGTATCAGTCCTATCAAAACAAAACATGTTTTCCAAAAGCCAACATAGTATTTTTAAATGGATCCAAACCATTAAAGGGATAGTTTCCATATGTCGTTCTAAACTGTAGAACTTTTGTTGATCTTCGAAACACAAGTAAAGCTATTTTTCCACTTTTATAAGTCAATGAATTTTCAAGCTTCAAAAAGACATCATAATATCACTCCTATGCAATTTTACTTCACTTCAGTTTGATTAAAAACGGCAACGATTTAACAAATGCCTTCCTTTGAAATTTCTCTGCATTTTAAAAATATAAGATCTAAATTATTATCTTAAAATACTGCAATCAGAAAAATATCAAAACAGGCCTTTATGAAATAATATTTTATATTATAATTTATTTTAAAATATAATATAGAGTGTATATATATATATATTTATTTATTTATTTATTTATTTTTATTCAATTTTTTTATTAATTCTTCCAAAACCAAATATTGTATACTTTATTGTCCCCTTAGGGAAATTTGTCTTGGGCACGGTGTATGCTGCATTTCCAGAATAAAAATAAGACATTAAAAAGAAAAAATAAATGCAATTAAAATACATTCTAAATCAATCACAGAATAGATCAATCTAAATAAAAATTATAATATAGAGCAATAGATAATGTTAAGTAATCAGTACAAACCAGAGACAATCATAGGCCTTGCTTTGTCCTTGTCATTCAAAAGTCCAATAGAAACGGGAACAAAAGAGTTTTTAAACCGGTTCAATAGACATTTGGGCACTCTGTACCTTCTTCCTGAAGGCAGAAGCACATATTCAGGATAAAGGATGTGAAAAGGGTCAGCTAGTATCCTTTGTGCAAATAATCCATACTATCCAATCAACATTCATTTTACATGCAGCTCTGTATTCTGAATCATTTGTTTTTAAGGCATTTTAGGAAACATCTGAAACAAAGTTGATATTAAAATAAAGCACAACAGAGATAATCAAAAGACCAACCCGAAACAGTGATCCTCTGGTGGACTGTGAGGGAACGTGAGTACGTGTGTACGTGAGTCTGTGAGAGAACGTCTCTCTTAATGAAGGCAGAGGTGTGTGGAAGGCATGTATTAACACAGTTAAGTGTGGAAAGAGTGACCGCCTGCCGCCGGACTCTGTTGGCATTATTGCTGCTGCTCGACAGAATGCTGATCAAGGTCAAAGAGAAACAGGAGAAAGTAGACAAACCCGGACAAGTGATTTCACAAATCCCCCTACAGCTATAGAACAGAGATAAATAGACGAGAGCGTCTTGTTCAGTGGGACACCTGGTCCCGCACGACTGATTAGGATTTTACAAATATAGAGCCTGACTGAACCTGAGCGATGTATGAAAATCACATCGATAATGTCCATCAAGATATTGGTTTTAATTAACCTTTCAGGACAGACCTTCCACAAGCTGTGATAGGGCCTAGTATTCACTTCAGCACAAGGAGAAATTCAACTTGATTTCCATTTGTTGGGGAAAAAAAACAAGTTGTTGAAAACTTCTTGAAACACATTTAACTGCCAAATTCCCAGTTAAAAACTACCCATAACTACCCAAAAATCAGAAAAAAAACCTAATTTAAAGGGATAGTTCACCCAAAAACTTAAATTCTGTCATTAATTACTCCCTCTCAAGTCGTTCCAAACCCGTAAGACTTTCGTTCATCTTTGGAAAACAAATGAAGATCTTTTTGATGAAATCCAACAGATTTCTGTCCCTCCATTGACAATCTGCGCAACTACCACTTACGCAGCACGTTTGAGCTTCAGCGAGAACCAATGAGGTTCATTCTCGTGTTACGCAACACGTTTGAGCTTCAGCGAGAACCAATGAGGTTCATTCTCGTGTTACGCAGCACGTTTGAGCTTCAGCGAGAACCAATGAGGTTCATTCTCGTGTTACGCAACACGTTTGAGCTTCTGCGAGAACCAATGAGGTTCATTCTCATGTTACCCAGAGCGTTTGAGCTTCTGCGAGAACCAATGAGGTTCATTCTCGTGTTACCCAGAGCGTTTGAGCTTCTGCAAGAACCAATGAGGTTCATTCTCGTGTTACGCAACACGTTTGAGCTTCTGCGAGAACCAATGAGGTTCATTCTCGTGTTACGCAACACGTTTGAGCTTCTGCAAGAACCAATGAGGTTCATTCTCGTGTTACCCAGAGCGTTTGAGCTTCTGCAAGAACCAATGAGGTTCATTCTCGTGTTACGCAACACGTTTGAGCTTCTGCGAGAACCAATGAGGTTCATTCTCGTGTTACGCAACACGTTTGAGCTTCTGCAAGAACCAATGAGGTTCATTCTCGTGTTACGCAACACGTTTGAGCTTCTGCAAGAACCAATGAGGTTCATTCTCGTGTTACCCAGAGCGTTTGAGCTTCTGCAAGAACCAATGAGGTTCATTCTCGTGTTACGCAACACGTTTGAGCTTCTGCGAGAACCAATGAGGTTCATTCTCGTGTTACGCAACACGTTTGAGCTTCTGCAAGAACCAATGAGGTTCATTCTCGTGTTACCCAGAGCGTTTGAGCTTCTGCAAGAACCAATGAGGTTCATTCTCGTGTTACGCAACACGTTTGAGCTTCTGCGAGAACCAATGAGGTTCATTCTCGTGTTACCCAGAGCGTTTGAGCTTCTGCGAGAACCAATGAGGTTCATTCTCATGTTACCCAGAGCGTTTGAGCTTCTGCAAGAACCAATGAGGTTCATTCTCGTGTTACCCAGAGCGTTTGAGCTTCTGCGAGAACCAATGAGGTTCATTCTCGTGTTACCCAGAGCGTTTGAGCTTCTGCGAGAACCAATGAGGTTCATTCTCGTGTTACCCAGAGCGTTTGAGCTTCTGCAAGAACCAATGAGGTTCATTCTCGTGTTACCCAGAGCGTTTGAGCTTCTGCAAGAACCAATGAGGTTCATTCTCGTGTTACGCAACACGTTTGAGCTTCTGCGAGAACCAATGAGGTTCATTCTCGTGTTACCCAGAGCGTTTGAGCTTCTGCGAGAACCAATGAGGTTCATTCTCATGTTACCCAGAGCGTTTGAGCTTCTGTGAGAACCAATGAGGTTCATTCTCACATGTCAAGCAGGTTTGGTTGAGCTTCTGTTTTTGTTCACTGAACAATGTTTAAATGTGAACAAAAGCCTAAATTAAATCTGTTCATCATATAAAGCGATTAAGTCGCTTCAGAATAATAAACACTTTAGAACTGTTCTTAGTTCATGTTGACTAATGTTAACAAATGGAACCTTCCTCTAAAGTGTTACTGAGAAAAGTAACTCTTGCAATATGTTAATATGTTTTTATACTTATAATAAAGGACTATACGTTTAATAGATTATTTATTGATTAACTGTACTGTTATGTCATTTCCAATGCTTTATGGGACGAATAGCAAATTCACAATTTTGTTTTCCGAATGTCAATGACGATTTGTTGCGAATCAAATGTTACAATGTTGCGATTAATCTCGGAGTGGCTTGGTTTGGTTCATGGCTCTTAATTTTAGATTTATGTTTAAGACAAAAACACTCCGAGCAAGGCAGCTAAAACAGTCCACATGTGCTTTCCCAAGCATCCGTGCAGAAGTCAGATACAGAAGAATGGTCTGATAGGCTTGTAAGCCACACATCTGGAACATCTGCTCCATTTACTTTAAATATAGTAGTATACTGTATGGATAGGCTGTGCATTAGGTCTAAAAATCATTAGACTCGCCAACACCGATGACTGCAAACTGATGTCTAAACCTGCATGGATGGACTATCCTATAACCAAAACATTGCCATAGCTTTAACGAAAGAGACCTTACCTGTAACTCGCACCATGCCACTTCCACTGTGGTCTCTGTGTCCAGCCCCTTGTAGACCGTCTTGAACGACCCTCTCCCAATTTCAATGTTGAACTTCAGATACCTTCCATCCGGTGAGGTGGCCACCGCTTTGGTCTCGATGTCCTCTTTCTCGTCCTGTTCCAGTCTGCTCACAAATGGGCGTCGTGGAACCACATGCTCGACCTTGGACCCCTCATTGTCCGAATCTGAACTGGCCGGGGACAGAGGCGTCTGGACGGAGCTTCCCCAGTCCTCTGGAGCTGATGGGTTGGCGTTGGGTGTAGAAGACTCTGGCCTGGAGACCAAAGATGGAGAACTTGGAGATGTTTTATCTTCCTCAGTTCTTCTCTCTGATAATATGTTTTCAGAAGACCATGACAGCGCTTTGGAGAGTGTCTCGGTGTATATTTGCGGGTCAATATCCACACTGAGTTTATGAAGCACGTATGAGTTCCTCCTCGCGCTCAAGGAGTGCGTTCGCAGCATTGGGACTCTGGGGAGACAGTCCTCCTCTAATTCAACAGGTAAACCTGGAAAACCACGTCCAGCGAACTCAACTTCGGCATGAGACATGATGAGGACTGCTCAAAGCATCACAAACTGGATGGGAAAAGACAAATAAACAAGCGCGCGCATTAAACGCAAAGCATCAAGAACATGTGCCTGATGACGGTTGCGCCTTTTCTTCACTTTTACAAGAAAATATGACAAATATAACAGCAAATTAGGTTATAATAACAACAACATAAAAGATATATAGTTCTTTATATGGAATATGTAACGTCCACACAACGCGCTATTGAACTTAGATTTACCTTATTTAGAGCAGTCTGAAATTACTCCAGAATTGAAATAGCACATTACACTCGAGTCTCTCCACACACGCGCGCGGTTGCTTCGCATTCTGCAGAGGCGCGCGTGCACTACAGCTCTTCACAGTGCGCGAGCGGCTGACTCCGCCCCCTTCACCTGAGTGAGTGAGTCCCGCAGAGCGTTGGGTTTCACTGCAGGCTTGAGTAGGCTAAGTCAGTGCCTAGATCTATCTGTGCCATCAGAACACCTTGTGTCGGTTCGCTTGCGATGTCCGATCCGTTCTTTTGATTAAATTTGATCTCTTGAATGAATCGCTTGAACCGGATCACGTGGTCTGGACCAGGGGGGTTCAATTTTTTTAGAGGCCATCCAGATTATGATCATCGTCGATAGGGGTCTATGTTCTCGTATATTGTATAAAGATCTATTTAAACGACATTACAATTTCTCAAGCCAACATCAAAGTTTGTTTACAAACTCATCTAGTCATAATTCATGCGTATTTATTGTATCATAAATTGACAATCAAGAAATCCATTGGGAACAGTTACTTAAGAGAGTTTATTAAATTACTATTAAAGTTGCCCTTGACTTTCATAGTTATTCATACACACTCATATACGATAAATTTGACATCTAAATTCACATTTAGATATGAGCTGAAAGCCACACGCCCCATAGAGTCTGGGTGGTCTATTTTAGACTTTTTCTCATGCTGGATTTAGGACACGATTATTAAAGAATTATTCTGCCCCCAAAATACAATTAATAATAGCCTAATATATTTATAAAAAGGGCTTAGCTTGTCATATTTTTGTCTGAATTATTTTGGTCACCTAATAAAAGCAACATTCCACATCTGGAAAAAAAAACAACACTAAAATATTTAGCTAAAATTAAGTAACTCCCAAACATAACATTTTTGTTTCATGACCCTAATAATGATTTTGATTCACAGTGTCTACAACAGAATTGGCAAATTAAAACAGAAATGTCACAGAGCTTCATAATAATATATATCAAATCCATTACCAACAAAGCACACCAATAGCAATACATTATATTAATTGTAAAATCATTGTCTCTTATATGGAGAGTATGTTGTTTGTCTCACAACCATGAGAAAAAAAAACTTCTACAAATCATAGTAAACGTCTGCTTTAAAGACACTGGATTGTATTTATGAACATTAGCCCGTCTAAACCAGAAAAGGTCCAGGATCTGAGGGACAGCTCACATTCTCCAGCACAAGTTCAAGCGGTGCCAGAAACTTCTACCAACCATACAAAGCATCATTCATACCTCATACCTGAGGCTATCATTTACTCAGAGCACAGAACATTTGTGCAACTTCCCTCCTTTACTTCGAAGTTTTCCATGCAGTATAATTATGTTATTCAACGTACACTATTGTGTTCAATACATTGCTGTATATAACATTGGATGCAAAATGTATGCCTATTTAAGTCCAATTAAAAATGTATTATAAGTAGGCTACATTGCATCTATGTCTGTTCCATGATGTGTGGTCAACACTAAACTGTCCCTCGGGGAAGATTAATAAAGATGCGTTGCATAATTTTGTAAAGGGATGTTCAGCAGAGGACGCTGTTTCATGATACTTTGGCACGCACGTGAGCGCCACCTGTCTCTCTTTCTCTCTTACTGACTGTCACATGTGAAAACAGGTCATTTGATTTAGCAAATATACGTAAATCAGATATATACATAATCAGATTCCAAAAATTAAATACTGTAATGAGATTATAACACTTTTTAAAATACTCATAATAGTTATTTTTTTTTTACATGATTATTTATTATCCACAAAATGGCAGTAAATTATTCAGAATTCATTGACACTTTTTTATCTTTTAAATTTCCTGTTTTATGGAATTGTACGCAGACCACCCACTAGTCAGGCAACTATAATTACATGGAAAATTGAAAGGCCACAGGAAAAAGAAATCAAATATTTAATCTTTTTTTTTTTTGCTAGTTTTTTTATTTTAAATTTATTTTCAAATCATTTATTTTAATTTAACTTGATTAATTATGGTTTAATTAATTATTAGCTTTTCATACATTTATGAACCCCCAGTAGTTCCTTCCCAAACCCTAGATGGGAAACACTGACATGTAATGTTTAATGCATTTTAGGTTGTCGATAACAAAAAAAAATGGAATAGTTTTTCTTTCTCTTTGTATTTTTTATATGGTACACGATTGTCCAGTTTAAATCAATGTTATAAACAAGATATGTCAAAAGTAGTCAGATTACATTAACTACAATGTGTAATATATTACATTACAAGCTACAAATTTGATCATGCATCTCATATTCTGTAATGGACTACAAAATTTGTAAGTAATCTAACCAAATCTAACTCTTATGTTCTCTGATGGCGAGGGCTGGGCAACCTGTGACTCTCATGAGATCCACCAATAGCAAACCACAACCATTCAATCAATTTTTCTAGTTCGAGAAGCCGCTTCCCTTGGATATACGTCACAATTGTGAAGAAGACTAAACAACTTCATTTCAAGCCACCAATCTTCTACTTTTTTCCAACAATTAAATTAAATGCTATTTAAAATGATTTTTTGTGCACTGTATAAAATAGATTTTTACCTTTAAACATTTCAGTACATATCCCAGAGACTAACTCTGTAAAACTCTTAACCCAAACCATGAGAAACAGTAATAATTACAGCATATCAACTCTCCATTAGAAGCATAGAGCATGATGACTTTGTGCTGTAAGCCGTGGTTCAATGTTTCCGCCAAGCACATGAGATTTGCATATGAAAATCAAATATTTAAGGCAAGTGCTCTTCAGTAAAGACAAACACAGAGCATTTTCAAGGGGTTTTGCAGGAGAGAACTGAAAACGTCTCCATCATTTATTTGTACAGTATTACATAGGTATAAAAGGTGGTAAGGTACAGTGACAGTCAGGGGAAAAGGAGTCAATGCAACCAGATTTCAGCAAAATGTTGTTGATATGAATTCCACCGCAATCAGAAAAAGACATTTACTCAAGAACATTTTATCTTAGCCAGGAAGCATCGCAGGAGTCGAAAAAGCCGTGTCTGAGATTAGAAGACCGTCTTTTGGCTTTGTGGTTCTACACAGAACAAAGATTCAAGTAGAACAAGAGTCCTTCAGGATCGACAGCGATAACAGGAGTGAAATAAAAACATATGTACACAAATTGATTTAGTCTCAAATTCAATCTACATTAAGATATTAGTATTCCTTAGTTTTGGTCTGACATTTGCTTTGTATGCATAATAGTGAAGCACAAAATCTTAGTTCCTTAACTCGACTCCAGTTTTGACAGGTGTAAAACCACCAATTTAAACAAGTTCCAACAAGGAAGACCCTTACATGTAGTTTGGGCTCATGTGCCAAATAATGCCTTGCTGATTTAGCAGTGGAGTGTAATATACAGTCCAAACAAGATCCTAAGAGGACTGAGACAAAAGATCATGCTGGGCTGACAGAAACCCAACACCACAACCCAAAGTCTGACTTGAGAAAACCCGATTCAAAAGAACTTGACTCCTTTTCCATCATCCATAGAGATGATTTCTGCTTTCCCATCAGCCTGCAGGGCCTGCAGTGAACGCAGCAGCATCCAATCCTCCAGTCCATGAAACTCTGAAAGATACAACAGATCAGTGCAAACCAGTGATCCCAGTAAATCGCAACCAGGCAAGTTATACAATTATAAATACTTTTTTACTGATGTGGTGCAATGTACATTACATATCATTATATACCTTCTTTTTCCGTGTCATCCCCATTAGAGAGTTCATAAAGTGTAAACACCGAGTTGACCATGCCATTTTTGGAAACCTACATGAAACAATTGAGGGGAAAAAGAATGTGCACTTAAACACCTCAACTTAACAGATCACTTGCAGGACAAAATAAGTGAAATGCAATGTTTTCATCAGCAAACAGAGTTGACATGACAATTAATACAAAGATAAATCCAGTTTTTCATCAAATGCCAGCCCGAACCCCACCCACAACATTTTTTGGTCGGGAAGTTCGGTCTGGACTCGATCCATTGAGGAGTAATTATGATCGGTTCAGAAATCGTCGGGCCAATCGAATTGCCAGGGCGGGCTTTATACGATGATGGACAGATGATCTGCAGTTACGTCATCATCACGTTATCAAAGAGCGCTTGGGTTGAACTGGTTTCCCTCAGAGATGGCCGCCGCTGGAGAACTGAGATGTGTAGAGTCCGCTATCGCGTCTGTTGTAAAAGAAATCGACAGCGCATTCATTTTAAAAGACTAACAGAGAACTGCAATCAAGGCATTTGTCGATCGGAAAGATGTGTTTGCCGTCCTTCACACGGGATTCGGCAATAGTTTATTTTATCAGCTGGCTCCGATGGTCGCTAAGAAGACGGGACGCGATGAAAACCCTGTGGTCGTTGTGGTTTCTCCTTTGGTCGCACTCATGGAGGACCAAGTAAAAGAAGCAACACTCATTATGTTACTACTTCTTCCAGCGTGCGTGTAGTTGAGTTCTATTGACAACTATGCGTAGCTCAACATACGTCACTTACTGCGTTGCTCTGATTGGTTGCTCTTATTTAGCACTTTACAGAATATATGCTTTAAAGCAGCAGCTTTACAATATTCCACTTGAAAAAAAAAAACCAGTGACAGTGTCACTTTAGATTAGAACTACTTTTTTTCTACTATAAAGCAGCTTAACAGTGTGTTCATGTTTTTACTCACAGTGGTCTGACCTCGATGGACTGAACAGAAGAAATTACAAAGTAGGCGGAGCCTTAGAGCCCCACCCACCTATTACATCATCACCCCGGACCAATGGTAACTTTTCTGCAAAGTTTGCTTTGGCAATCTGTTTCGAAATCTCAAAATAAACTCCAAACGTACACTGTAAAAAATTATCGTGATTTTAACGGTAAAAGACTGTAAAAATGCTACAGTGAAAAACTGTTAATTGGTTAACAGAACCTTTCCTGACTATATATGGTAAATAACTGTGATAGATCAAAATGGTAATTTTACTGTAAAATACCGTTAAATTTACAGTTTTTGAAAGTGAAAATGAACAACTCATTGTATAATTTACAGTGAAACACCGTAAATTGACATTCCCACAATTCCTTGCGTGACACTTCGCATTTGATGTATTTTTGTTGAAATAACAATAATGTGTTTCTTCATAGTTTGCTTAGTCTTTTTCTAATCAGTTATGTACATTAGGGTTTTATGTGACATTTAATGTTGTTAAATTAATGTTTATTGCCTTTTTAAAATGTCACCATGATGGTGTTTAATGTTTGTGTGAATGACACTGTGCAGCTTCTATATATTAATATTAACTTTCTTGTGGAAGAGCTGCTTATGATGAGCTTTGATTGATGATCATGTGACTCTCATCACTGCTGTGATTGTTGGTTGTCAGTGTATTACAATGGTACAAAACAGATATTAATACTTCAATAGGTCGGTAAATTATCATTATATCAGATAATAAAATACGGTTTATTTCTGTAAATTTTAAGTTAAGTCTGTAAAACCTTGCTACCGTAAAGTCTTGCTACTGTATTTTATACGGTAAATTTCTGGCAACCACAGCTGCCGGTATTTTACCGTAAATTGAACAGTTTTTTTTTACAGTGTACTTCATTTGGCGTGATTTAGTTTGAAATGACACCTGATTATTCTTTGATTTCGCTTGAAGTATATCAGGGCCTTTCCACCACAGAGACCTAAATGACTGTCCTTACTAATCAAAAGTGCAATAGTCAATTCATGCATGTCATAGGGGTGTGCCGGTTTCAGGATTGGTGATGACGGTTATGACGTGAGTCAAATGTGACGGTTCGTAACATAACCGTCGTCGTCCGGGGGTGGGGGGTTATAGGACGTTCGGTTGAATAACTGTTCGTCTGTTATAGGACAACTCGCTCTTAAAATGAACAGCAAGACAACTAGAAGTGAATGTGCTTTCCATTAAATGAATCACACACAGTAAACAAAACCTTAACAAATGAACTTTGCAATTTAGACGCGCAAACTGCGTGCCGGTGCGGTGAGACATACATGTTCGGGCAGATTCGGCTTGAAGTCGGTCATCCTCGGACGCGGCGCAGCGCGCGCTGTTACAAAAAAAGCGGTGCACACAGCCAAGCGAAATGAAGTCTTGCCGGTCTTGCGCACCCAGCGCGTCATTTTTTTGCCGTGCGGACGCGTCGAGTATAATTAAGGCCTCATTATGCTTCTGCGTCAACTCCACGGCGTAGCTACGCCGTCACTCCTACGGCGTCGTGGCCGTTTTATGGTTCTGCGTCAGGTTGCGTTGCATCGCGGTGCATTTCAACGCCAGAACGCTAGGGGGGTGTGTGCTTCGCGAATCTCTTTGCTAGTTTGTTTTGGTTCCGTGCGCCGGTTCCGCTTTCGTTTCCATTACCCTTCAAATTGCGCAAATTGAAATTGCGAATTGAAAATACGCACAATGGAATGACCATTTCGCAAAAACTCCCGTTTATCACAAAAAAAGATTTTACGCTCGCATGGGGAGGTTTTTCAGGCAATTTGAAAAAGGAATATTTCGCAAAACTGCAATGGAAACAGGTTTTGCACATTAACAGTCAGCTGACTTAGAAGACGCGGTGTGTTTGGGGTCCGTGTCCGCAAATAATAATAATAATTATCATTATTATAACATTTATTAGGCTACATATGTAGAAGACGCTTTTATCCAAAAAAGGAACAAAGCAATTCGTCACATCTCATTCAAAATACAGGTTGGACAATAATAATACAGGGCTAAGATTATCAATAAATACTTTTTGTATTACTTTTAAAATACTAATTAATATTACGAATAAACACAAGCTTTTGTCGCATATCCAAGTGTGTATGCGAGTGTGGAGCGCGCACTGGATGGCAGGGAGGCTCGGGCGCGAACACTTGCATTTTCCTATCAACAGTGGAAACAACTTAAAATACTCTATCATTTCTGGTCATACAGATAATAATAATACATTATTTGCAACTTCTTTTATTTGCGTAAACTCACAATAACAACAAAACGTTTTGCTTTTGTAAAATAAAATAAAACAATCAGGCGCGCTTTCATGGTCTCCGTGAACTGAAGCGCGAGAACTAAAACAAAATATCGCCTCTGTAGGCTATTGAAATGTCCACTTTAAAACGAACAAATTCGAATCGAAAGCTAATACCTTCTGATTATGTAATCCGTATGAAAGGTGCATTTCTCTCTAAAAGTGCATCCGGTGATGGAGATGTTTTTTAGCCGACATTGATATAGAAAACAATAGTTTATTAATAAACAATTAAAATGCCTCGATATTTTTTCAGAAACATTTATTATAACCTATATCTCACCTATAAATCCCCTTTCTGTGGTTATGGCTCTTCTCATTCAGCACTCCGGGAAAAATATAATTTCCAGGTTCTAATTTAGCCTTAGAAAACCAGTAAAATCTATATTTTTTCCATATTAATTTGTGAATATTTTAAATGTTTAATAAAGGGGCAAAAAAATCATAAACAAATATATGAAAATTCGTCGATATAATTTTTTATTTTTTTTTTGCGCAGCATTTGGTGTACAGTTCAAATTTAAATTTTGGTGTTCAACTTTGCGTTTTAAAAATACAACAACCGTTCATTTTTCATTTTGCAATTCCGGGTTAAATAAGGGAAAACGAATGGATTCATAAAAGAAACAATAATTACAGGAATAGCCTACTGGACTCTAACCTCAAAGAAATGCCACAATCAAGACCTCGGAGCAGAAATGAGGGAGAACTCCGTGTTTTTCCCTGCCATTAATGCCATGCGTCTCCTTCCATTAATAATAATAATGTCTAGTGCGGTGGCTACCAACGTCCGTTGCCATGATTTTTGGAATGATTATCGCGAGAGGAAAAAAAGACGTTTAGTCGCATAACGTCGGTCATTTGGCAATAGTTTTTTATCGACATTTAGAAAAAAAAATCGCAAAAGTTTTGCGCAAATCTGTAAACGCGCCTAATGGCGAGTGAAAGAGAGAGAATGTTGTTGCAGCTGGAACTAATCGAAGTTGAACAACAAATTATTTTATTCCAAATGTTTAATCGCAGAATAATTTAATCGTCCCTCAACGTGATACATCGTTGAAACAAACAGTGCACTTTAAAAATGGCAGTATAGCGGGAGGGGGAAACCGGAAAAGCTACACTCCCGAAATGATGTATAATCTGACCAATCACAGCCCTTGCGGTCTGCGTCGCCTCGACGCGTAGTTACAATTTTTTGGAGGTGCACGTCGAGCTACGGCGGAGGGGTCGGAGAGGGGTTCGCGGCGACGCAGAGGGCTCTGCGGGGGTACGCCGTCGATTCGACGCAGAAGCATAAAACAGGCTTAAACAAGGCTTAACCGTGTCAGCGCGCGCTCTGATCGGTAAAGGGGGACAGACCTCTCCCGAATCATCTCCAGCACTCAGCCTCCGACGCACCACTAACTCCACCTCCGTTTCCCTCGTAAGCTGATATTAGTATTTAAACATTCTCTATGATAAAAAATGTTTGTAAAAAATATTTTAATAGAACGGTTTTGGCGGTTATAGAGTTCTAATGACGGTGTTCAACTATAACCGTCGGTCTCACGGTTATATAATAACCGTCACACCCCTAGCATGTCATCTTAAATGTGTACAGCTGCAGCAAAGGCCCTGTTTTAAGAACGAACGGTGAAATGTTGAACAGCTCAGTGATGGTCTGAACATGGAAACAGACATTCAACTCTCATTACTTTACACAGTGACATTGTGTTTGATAATGCACAGGATATTCTTTCTCACCCACTGATAAATGAGTTTTCCCCACTCCTCTGGTCTCCTCCACATTATTAGACATCGTGATTTATTTTTATCCAACCATTCCAGGTTTCCTGCGCCAAAGCAAAGAACAAAATAATTGTAAAACTCATTTTACAACCTGGAAAAACCGTGTCTTCTTGTAAAAGCTTGTTTCTTCCCACCTTTTTTTCTCAATTCTTCAAAAACTACTTGTATGGCTTCAACTGAAAGTTTTCCTGAACAACACAAGTTATGGGAAATATACATGGCAAGTAATGGCAGAAAAAGAACAGACTTAATCCACAAAATGTCCTATCATCATATAAAAATAACACAAAGCCAGGTAGGACGCAGTGGCGTCCGTGAAAGGATACTCTCAATTTTCTTGTTGTTGAACATGGGGCTTTCCTGCGCCTCGAGCACGTCCAGCGTGTAGAGTTTGCGGTGACGGCAGTAAGACAGCACGAGTGAACACCACGCCGCCAACTGCTTCTGTCTCGTGTCAACATTTGGCTGCAATCTGCAAAACATAATAAAACATTAGGGTGTCTTAAACTACCATGTACTAACATTTAACTCAATCATTTGATACAATACACTTACTGTGTACATATAGGTTTTTACATTATACTTACATTAAATGTATCTGCATGTAATTACACTGTTGACCCTCTTAAAGGGTTAGTTCACCCAAAAATTCTGTCAGTAATTACTCACCCTCATGTTGTTATCAAGCGACAAGAATACTTTTTGTGCGCAAAACACCCCCAAAATAACGACTTTATTCAACCATCTCTTCTCTTCCATGTCATTCTCCTAAGCTGTTGACGTAGTGTAACAGCGCAGCGCTTCTGTGTTGTACGTCAGAATGTAGGCTCACAATTGGCCGTACAACCATAGACTGTAAAAAATATGGACAAAGCGTCTGTGACGTCACCCATAGACTTTCTGAAGAACGGTTTTGAGGCTGTTTATGGGGGGTATGGGCGGTGCCATCTTGGAAAATCTTACGATATTTCAAATACAAATGTTCAGAAAGGATACAGAGGTGGTATGATGTGTTGTGTCAGATCATGGCCGAGACGTCAAATTTCAGGAATTCCACTCGGTGCAGCCCGTTATCAGCTGTCAATCACGCGCTTATTTGTCATACATTTTATATCTAAATACGATCTAAACTACCGAGTTAGAAAAAAATTCACCCCCCTCACAGTTGTCAGGCACTCGGGACCTATCCAAAAATACAATAAAAGTCCATGGGACCAACATGTAAACATATAAATTTATGCTGTGAAAACGGACATTTTTACATGCGGTCTATGGATATTTGCTCCCTTTTGGGACCTCCCTCTAGCGGATTTTCGATGTATTGCAGTTTTTCGCACTTCCGGGTAGGCTTCATTTTTCAGATTAGAATGTTGCCGCTTGCGTACAACACAGAAGCGCCGCGCTGTTACACTACGTGAACTCACTCAGAGGCCCACACAGAAGAAAATGAATAGTTGAATAACGTCGTTATTTTTGGGGGTTTTGCGCACAAAAAAGTATCTCGTCGTGTGATAAACTTAAGGTTGAGCCGCTGTAGTCACTTGGACTATTTTAACGATGTCTTTACTAACTTTTCTGTGCCGGCAGGTTTCAATTACAATAGAAGCCTATGGAGGAGTGATCCAGCTCTCAGATTTAATCAAAAATATCTTACTTTGTGTTCTGAAGATGAACGAAAGTCTTACGGGGTTGGAACAGCATGAGGGTGAGTAATGTTTTGGGTGAACTAACCCTTTAAACCTACACATTCCACCAAACCTTACCCGTATCCCACTTCAAAAGCAGCAAACGTTTTTTTATATTACAACATGAACACAAATATAGTATATTGTACCAAAGAATTACTAACATTAGACTGACAGTTCCATCTCAATAACAATTTGAGGACCAATTTGCAAGAATGTCACACCTATTGATGTAAATGAATTCCAACAAGATCATCTTCTACATAATAATGTAACTATTTTATTTGGATAAATTATTAATGAATATTTACACATACATTTTTGTTGTACCCCCAAAATGACTGCATTCAGTATTTTTGAAGGGTTAGTCCACCCAAAAATGAAAATTATCCCATAATTTACTCCATAGGGTAAGAGGTCACTCTTCTGCCGGAACTAGACAAACGTACGGCCGTTACCGAGAGCCGGTGATTATAGTTCATAACGTTATAAATATGGATATTTATTTTTCTTTCTTTCACAAACACATGGCTTCAATTTAGAAGGCCTTTATTATCCCCTGGGGCCGCATGGATTACTTTTATGATGGATGAATGCGCTTCAAAATCTGTGTTACCATTCACTCCCATTATAAAGCTGGGAAGAGCCAGAATATTTTTTAATTAGGGCTGTCAAATGATTAATCACATCCAAAATAAAAGTTTTTTTACATAATATATGTGGGTGCACTGTGTATAATTATTTTGTATATATATAAATATATTATGTAAAAAATATATATATTTTGGATGTGATTAATCACGATTAATCATTTGACAGCCCTATTTTTAATATGAGGGTTGGCTGAAATAAGAAAGTCATATACACCCAGGACAGTAAATTATGGTATAATTTAAAAACTTCAGGGCTGAGTATAAAAAAACCCCCGTATATTTCCATGACTTTTGAAATTGTGTTAATTTCCATAAGTTGTCATAATTGTAATAACAATAAATTTTCCAGGCCAGGAAATGGCCATTTTCAAAATGTCCAAATATTTCCATGTTCTCCACTAAGCATGGCACTCTTTAATCTTTTTATAATGCAATTTTAACTTATTACAATTTCTTCTTGTTGCAAATCGCAGAAGCATGGCTATTCTGATCGCACTAGCTTCCTTCACCAAAGCATTTAATGTCATACAGCATTTAAATGCTCTATGAGACATTGCAACTGTAAGTATTGTAATACATAATTATACTTCATTTAATCCGTCGCGAGACTGAACTGTCCATGAAGTGTCAACTGTGGTGATTTGATTAACTTACTTCCGTAGCGGAATGCAAACAGCAGCATCATTATTCACGGTACAAATGTTTATATTTTACAATAGAGCAAAGTATTCAGACAATATTGTAGACACGAAACTAGTTGTTACATCTGCGGTCACTGACAAAAGGATTTACTTACGTAAAAAACGGAGGAAAGTTATACTGCCAGGGCCACTCAAAACTCATCGCAGATTTGTACTAGTTCTGTTGATGTGCGGCTCCGCTTCTTCAATCTGTTTCCTCTCTGATGGAATTATGGGAAACACCCGCCAAATTAAAAGTCTTTTCGATTTACAAATGAGAATAATATAACAAGAATAGTTTGTTTATTATTTTTTGACATCTAGTAAAATGAATTACGACTCGTATGGTTTTTAAATGTATAGAAAATAACGTAGTATGACAAATTAACAGCATATACAAAAAAAAAAAAAAAAAACGAGGAATAGGTTTTTTTCCCCCTGAAATGCAGTGGCGTGGAAATAAAGCCAGACATTATAATAACAAGTATAACATAATAATAACCCCCCGAAGATAATTTAACATTACAAGAAACATTTGATATTACAGTGCCATTTAGCTCTCATGTATCCGACACGTATTAAAAACTAATAACAGAGATATCTGTAAATAAATAAATAAATAAAAACTCATAAATACAATGATATATATGTCATGAATCGTCTGTCTGTCGGTCTGTCTTTAGCGTAAACAGAAAAGTGTGTAACGGTCATTCGAGCGCGTGGTGGCGCTGTGGGCGGATCCTCTCATCCGGGACATGAGACGAATGACGTCAAGGCGCCGAAATAAACAGTGCTCGGCATGAAAACTAATGCAGTATTATTTTCTGAAATAAAAGCACATTGATGCGTTCTACTATTCCGCGCAGCAGTTTGTAACAGAGGTGGGGAAACATCTGTAAGTTTGCCTCCGCCTCTTCATGTTTGTGCAATACAAATAATAATTATATTGAATGTTTATGAATGATGCTCAGTGAACCCTGTCTGCCCCCAAAGCGCGGAACTAGACAGAAAATGATGTATTGACACAGAACCATACAATTACATTACATTATAATATTATATAGATTTTAATATAAATATTATATTCGTTTTTGAAGTATAAAATGATTAGTTTGCAGCGTCTGCTTCTCCTCAGGTGTGCAGAGATGCAGGCGGCAGATGAGGCGCAGTCCTCTCTAGCGGAGCGGGTAGAGTCTATGGGAGTGAGTGAACAGGACAAAACTGCAGGAAAAGAGGAAGAAAAGGATAAAGAAAGAGACGAGGAGACGACTGAAACCGCACAGGATACTAAAACGGAGGATGACACAAGTATGCGCTTCACGTTAGTCTCCCAGGGGGTTTAAAACTAGGGGCCACAAAGGGAGTGCGTGGAAAAGTTTAGAGAAAAGCGGTGTCATAAAAAAATATGATTAAAATTAATTAATTAATATTGCATCTAGAAATACAGTACTGGAAGCTTACTAAAGTATGGAAGCTTGTTTCAGCCAATCAGAATTGAGTATTTAGACCATTGTATAAAACTTTTTAAAGGATGAAAATGTTGTCCTTTTTATCTCACAATTGCGAGTTATAAAGGAAGAATTGCGAGATAAAAAGTAGCTGTTACCTTTTTTTTTATTTTTTATTATGTGGCGGAAACAATAAAAAAAAGGTAATTGCAACTTTTTATCTCAAACTCAGATTTTTTTCCTCACAATTGCGAGTTTGCATCTTGAAATTCTGAGTGTTTTTTGTGTGTTTTTCACCACTGAATAAAAGAGGCAATTGTGACATTTTATCTCACAATCACAATTCTTCCATTTGTTTCTCGCAATTGCAAGTTTAGGACTTGCAGTTCTGACCTTTTTTCTCAGAATTGTGAGGGGGAAAAGTGAGGATTGAGATAAAGTCGCTATTACCTTTTTTAAAAAATACTTTGTATTGTTTTTTAAAGCTTCCATGATAAATAATGAGCAGGAAACTAAATAGTAGAAACTAAATGTTTTCCAAATAATATTTTAGACATTTGAAACAAACATTTTCGCAGTAACAAACTAAGCTTTTATACAAAGAAGAAACTACATGCCTTTTAAATTTTAGATGAGAGCGATCATATTTGGGGGTCCATGGCATCTGAAACATTGAAACCCCCTGCTCTATATCATGCTTTTTATATTTTTCACTTATTGTACCTTGGACTACCATCCAGGCTGTATATCAAAGTACCATGGTATCACCACAATACTTTTTGTAAGCCGTGTAAGTGTGTTCTGTGAGATAATACATATATGAACACTGTAATCGCTTCTATGTAGAGGGAGACAAAGAAGCAATGGATGTAGAGGAGCAGAAAGAGGGAGTAACCATAGATGGAGAGATGAACGGAGGTGGAGAAGGGAAGCTGGTGCAGAACGAGGAGGACTGGGAGATCCCTTACAGTGACGAGGAGATGGAGGACTCTAAGAGCTGGATGCCCCCACCCGAGGAGATCAAACGCCTGTACGAGCTCCTGTCTAAAGGAGAAGCGCTCGAGTTGAAGTGGGTCGCTCTTCCACGCCGACCTCCGACCCCTCCACGCACTCCCTCACCTGAGAGAGATGGAGAAGACTCGCAGGAGGCCAAACAAGAGGAGGATGAGCTCAAGTGAGTCCCAATATTATACAGATGGAAATGTGTCTATACACAGGTATACTCTGCCGTTCAAGTTTGGCATTGATGCGATTTTTTAATGTTTTTTAAAAGTCTCTTCTGCTCAGCAAGGCTGCATTTATTTAATTGAATATACAACAATAACCCAGTAATTTTGTGAAGTGTTATTACAATTATTATTATTACTAACTGTTTTCTATTTGAATATACTGTAAAATGTAATTTATTCTTGTGATCAAAGCTGGATTTTCAGCTTCATTACTCCAGTCTTCAGTGTCACATGATCCTTCAGAAATCATTCTTATATGATGATTTGCTGCACAAGAATCAATTTTGATTTTTTTTTTTTTTCTTTGATGAATAGAAAGCTCAAAAGAGCAGCATTTATTTTTATTTGAAATAGAAATATTTTGTTACATTATAAATGTCTTTATTGTCACTTTTGATCAATTTAATGCATCCTTGCTGAATAAAGTTATTAATATCTTTAATTTCAGCTTATGCAAATTCAGCTTTGCGTCACAGGAATAAATTACATTTTATAATATATTCATATAGAAAACAGTTATTTAAAATTGTAATAATACTACACAATATTAATTTTTCTTCTTCTGTATTTTAAATAAAAATAAAGAGACTTTTTTTATAAAAACATTTAAAAAATCTTACTGATCCCAAACTTTTGAATGGCAGTGTATGTGTACATTTATTTGATATTTGATCAAAAACAGTAATATCTGCTGCTTTCAACAAATGATAATCAGAAATGTTTCCTAAGCATCAAATCAGCGTATTAAAATGATTTCTGAAGGATCATGTGACACTGAAGACTGGAGTAATGATGCTGAAAATTCTGTGCTGCATTAGAATTTGAAATTACATTTAATAGTTTTGAATAGTTATATTTCACAATATTACTGTTTTTTACTGTATTTTTTATACCGATAGGCAAGGCCATTTTTAAACAAGTAAAATATATGTATCTATTTCTATGTGTTGCAGGGCCCTCACACCAACTGAGTTTGATTTTGATGAAGAGCAGACTATGGCAACTCCCAAGAACTCGTTTCTCAATCGCCGCAGGACACCAGGTATGATAAACATATTTTTTCCACAATGTATAGATTTGGTAATATTGGCAAACACAAAATAAATGAATAATGTGGACTTGACTTCATCCTTTTCTCTCATTTCCAGGTTCCTCTGCCCGCTCTTCGGTCAGACGCGAGGCCCGGCTGGACAAAGTGCTGTCGGACATGAAGCGTCACAGAAAAATCGAGGAGCAGATTCTAAGGACAGGTCGTGACCTTTTTAAAAGCGATAAAGCACGGGCAGGGCCTGCCGTCGAGCCGCCTTTATCACCGAACAGTCAGCGAGAGCGGGAAAAAGAACGAGAAAGAGACAGCGACCCCAGCACTGTCTTCAGTCCCAGACAGAGGAGATACTGAGGAAACAACAGACTGCTTGAACGAATGCCAGGTTTTTTAACTCAACATAATTCATCCTTTTGCATTGGACAGTGAGATGCTCATATTTTACTGATGTTGTCTTTTTTATTCAAAGGTTTTTTTACAATGTGAATAAATGTATTGCCTAGATTCTGATGTCTTGCTATTTTTGAATGATATTAAAGGGATAGTTCACTTTGAAATTAATTTTTGGTGTGTTTTAGCTTACCTCAAGGGCATCCAAGATGTAGGTGTCTTTGTTTCCGCAGTAGTTTCAATTTTGATATTTTTAGGTCACACCGTTCTTGTCTGTCAGTCATATAATGCAGGTCTATGGTCACCACCTCAAAGAGCATGCACAGAGAAGTCCAAATTAAACATGATTTAATGACTCGTAAATGTAAGTACACATTGATGGCCTGAGACACGAAACGAGCGGTTTGTGTGAGAAAACGAACAGTATTTATATCGTTTTTACCTCTTGTAAACACAGCCACGTCCAAGTGATCTGAGGGCGCCGGCGCTTCGGTCTTTTCCGGAAAGCGCCGGAAGTGATCTCTCTCGCGTGTACGTCACTCATACAATTGTTTTATTTTTTGTTTTTTTAAATTGTTTTCTTTCACGACGGTTTAAACATCCCGGATAAGCGCAAATTAGTACCATTTTAATTAGCCGTCTTACCTACAATCTCTGTTCTGTGTAAACAATGAGTGACGTACACACGCGAGAGATCACTTCCGGCGCTTGCGCAGACCGAAGCGCCGGCGCCCTCAGATCACTCGGACGTGGCTGTGTTTACAAGAGGTAAAAACGATATAAATACTGTTGGTTTTCTCACACAAGCCGCTCGTTTCGTGTCTTAGGCCATCAATGTGTACTTACATTTACGAGTCATTAAATCATGTTTAATCTGGACTTCTCTGTGCATGCTCTTTGAGGTGGTGACCATAGACCTGCATTATATGACTGACAGACAAGAACGGTTTGACCTAAAAATATCAAAATTGAAACTACTGCGGAAACAAAGACACCTACATCTTGGATGCCCTTGAGGTAAGCTAAAACACACCAAAAATTAATTTCAAAGTGAACTATCCCTTTAATTTCTTGGTAACACTTTACAATAAGGTTACATGAGTAATTGTTAGTTAATGCAATATATTTGTTACTGAATTAATTAATTTTTGTTAAAGGGGCTGTATGTAGAATTCAGAAAGCCTTGTTGTTAGCGACACCGGTGGCCGTTAAGTGAACTACAGCACGCGTAACGTACAGGACACTGAGCGTGATTCAATGGTGAAGTTCTTTTTCATTCTTTGCTTAGAAGTAAAAAGACTTTGGAAATACCTTTGCAGCAAAATACTTTTAACAAACATCCCGACGCCGTCCACACTGCTGAGAGCCACGTTTAGATGAATATGTAAATATGTGCTGCGCGCTTTCCTCTCAATAACAAAATAACCAACAAAAATGACAGTATTGAATACAGCAGTTAAGAAAGGATCTGATCGTAGCGATGTGGAAATGTTGGCACACAATCTGCGATTCAACGGCATCATGTCAACAGATGAAGTAATTCAAATTACACTTATGATAGTTTGATTATAAAGAATACGTGAGACTATATAGACTGACTATATAGATCTGGCTATGTGAGACTATAGTTTGAATTAATCCCTTTTCGTTGCATGATGTATTGACATTATGGTAACGATGATTTGTATTTATTTATCCTGAACATTGTAAGCATTAGTTTCATGTGTCACAGAACTGCGCGTAAACGTCACATCCTTTATATTTTCCCGGCAAAAACATCCCGAGTCCTTCACATAAAAATCAGTCTACAGGCTTTCATAGACACAACCTGGGAAGTCAGGGAAGGTCTCGTTTAAGGTTTACAAACTGTTTACACAAAGTGAGTAATTCATATGAAAATTCTTACATAAACATTTAGTGAATAAAAATACAACTTGAACAGTTAGTTCATGTTAGCTCAGGTCCTTTAATATGAATAATAATTATTCATAATATTAACATATACAATCTTTTATATTAATCATGCATTAGTAAATGTTGAAATTTACTTTAAACTAATGAATTATTATTGAATGCTTAATCTAGCATCGTGAGGTATTTTCATTGTTATAGTTCAAACTAAAGTTAACAAATGTGACCTTATTGTAAAGTGTCACTAATATCTTTGTTTTTCTTTCAAACTAATTTTAATTCAAATAAAACAAAAAACGTAATGCTTTGGGACTTCCATGATCAAGCAAATTTCAAGCTGATTTCCAGGCCTGGAAAAGTCATGAAAATGTTTTTTTATTACAAATATACAGTTTTCTATTTATTATTAATATCTAGTTAGGCTAAACTTGTTCACAAGCCATAGTGATGTTTTTTTTTTTTACTGAATGATTCATTAGCAAATTGTACTGAATTTGAGCGAGAAAATCCTTATCTAGTATTTACAAGCCACATCCGGTGTTGAACCCTCCCAGACTATCTGTTCAGTGCACACAGGGTTCTGTGAAGGGTTGCACATAAGCTGCTGTATTAGCGGGGTCATTCTGTGGCGTTAGCCTGAATTGCGTTGTCTGGATTCAAAGAATCACCCGTCTGGTACAGGCTCTCGAATTAAGAGGAATCAAGAGGACATTTGATGTAAAAACCCGTCCCTTATCTGTCCTTTTTGACTCCATTTAAGCTGGTTTTAATTCCAGATGGCCCCACAGAGGTCACAATGGCAGACATCGAGACATTAAACCCCCGTACGGCACATTCACAAATTATTGACATGCAGCATATGAGACAAGAGTATATATTTGAATTACACCAGTGCTTTTTTTTGTACTCATGTTAACAGGTTAACCAGGTTTACATATGGAAAAAACAACAGAAGTTAAACCAACTAAAACATAGATGCTTTCAAAGAAAACCATCAAAAGCAATCGTTGCAGTTCACTAGGATTAAATAGTTGGGATATCGGTGCACATGGAACTGGTACATTATAGAGGGGTTCACAAGGGACAAAGATGGACTATACACATGCAAAGTCATATACCCAATTCAGCGCAATGGACATTTTGGATTAGCATTCAGTCATTTGAAGTTTAAGCTTCAGAAACAGGTCTTCTGGCAGGATACTTTGCAATGTTATTCATATCTCCTTGATAAGTGGTACGGTTGAACTTGCAAGAGCTTGAAAACTGTGTTATTAAATCAAACATACTGGGCCAAATTCATCTGCAAATGAATCCTTGATTTATGACTAGACAGAGATTAGATAGCTTGAGTGACCCATAAACAAACAAAACAGGGAAATCAAAATGGTAAATATCTTCCAACAAAGCACAATAAATTAGGAACGTTTACCTGTGTGAGATGAACAAAATGGCTTCGAAGACAACAAAATGAATAAAGTGCAAATAAATTTCACATTGACCATGTAAAGTATCACATTTGTTTGGCAGAAACTCACCTCTGGCCCAAACTAAAGAGTAAAAGATCAGGGATAAGGCAGCTTAATATATATGTGATCATGTCCCTTTAAAACATATGCAGGGTTTCAGGACTCGGGTCTTTGTTTAAAGAGGTTATAATGGGGACACATTTAAAAACAATTTCCTGGAAAAACTGCGTTTGATCACAGGTTGAATCGGACAACATTCAAGGTAGCTACTTTCCATTACGTGTTACGCTTGTTTTCAGAGCATGTACAAAATAATACATTCCCAAACCCTGAGCTGCCTCTTTCTCCGACAGACAGGGTTTCATTACATTTGATGGGTTTTTCCTCTTTCATTTCATCAGCTCTGGTTGATATGGAAGCTTGTTTCCGCCACTGAATAAAAAAAATAAAATAAAAAAAATGCGACTTTTTATCTTACAATTGCGAGATATGAAGTCAGAATTGTGAGAAATAAAGTCGCAATTGCGAGATATAAACTCACAATTATGAGAAGTAAAGTCGCAATTGCGAGAAAAAAGGACAGAAGGACAGGTATTCTGACTTTATAACACATAATTGCGAGTTTATATCTGGAAATTCTGACATCTTTTCTCAGAATTGTGAGATATAAACTAGCAATTGCGAGTTATCAGGCCAATTCTAAGAATTCTCAGAATAGTTTATATCTCACAACTCTGACTTTACAACACACAATTTCGACTTAATATCACGAAATTGTGACTTTATATCTCGCAATTCTGACTTTATATCTCGCAATTCTGACTTTATAACACGCAATTCTGACTTTATATCACACAATTCTGACTTTATAACCTGCAATTGCGACTTTATATCAATAAATTCTGACTTTATATCTCACAATTCTGACTTTATAACACGCAATTGTGAGAAAAAAAGTCAGAATTGTGAGATAAAAAGTCGCAATTACCTTTTTTATTTTTCATTCTGTGGCGGAAACAAGCTTCCATAGGTTGAGGAATAGTTCACCACAAAAATGAAAACGAGTCATTTATTGTTGTTTTTTCTTTCTTCTGTGGAACACAAAAGTAGATATTAGGTCAAATGTACAAATGTTTTCCCTCCAAACAGACGGTGATTTAAACGCTATTTTCCAGTCTTATTTTAGGAACAAAATGAATATGCATTTTTCATACTGTACATGTTGTGATGCCTGACTTTGCTTTTAGCATTTAAAAAGGTTGCTTTTAGTCTTTAGTATTTCTTTTTCTTTTTTTTTGTTTAACATCAATAATTACCGTCTTATCATATCGGCCTGAATTTTAATATACTTACACTCTCATTCGAAAGTTTGGTCGGTAAGATGTTTTAACGTTTTTGAAAAGTCTCTTTTCTGCTCGCCAAGGCTGCATTTATTTAATAAAAACAGTAACATTGTGCGATATTATTACAATTTAAAGCAACTGCTTTCTATATGAATTTATTGTCAAATGTAATTTATTCCTGTGATTCAAAGCTGATTTTCAGCATCATTACTCCAGTCTTCAGTGTCACATGACCCTTCAGAAATCACTCTAATATGATTAATTGCTGCATTATTATCAATGTTGAAAACAGTTGTGCTGCTTCATATTTATGTGGATTCTTTGATGAATAGAAATTGATATTTTTTCTAAATAGAAATATTTTGTGACATAATACTTTACTGTCACTTTTGACCAATTCAATGCATCCTTGCTCAATTAAAGTATTCATTTCAAATTTTTTTTTTTTTTTTTTTTTTATCGTACCGACGGTAGTGTACTGTATATGGTCCTTTTTTTCCATTTTGGAACAGAATAAATCACTGTATGGAAAAGTGCAGCTCACACATTCTGCCTAACATCTCAAATTTGTGTTTCACTAATAAAATAAATGTTCATTTTTGGGTAAACTGTCCCTTTAGAGGCCTTTGGACTGAACTCGCCAGAGATATTAAAGCTTGGGTTGCTCATTGTAGACCAGTGCTAAATATAATAAGTCAAGGACTTTTCTATGAATGATGTATCTGCAACACTACAGTAATATATGCAAAGAACAGACCTCAGGCACGAGACCTCGGTTTGACATTCTGCGACCCCTTCAAAGTGCCTCAAACAAAAAGTGCTTCTCTTGGTTCAGAAATGTTCTCTCGCGTAAAATTTGCACTTATTGCCTCAGTTGTGATGTGGCCGTTGTGTAGACACTTCCACTGATTTTTTCGGCATAGCTTCCCTTGATCTACTAAAGCATGTCTTATTTACAGTTCACGAGCCCTGTAACTAAACATAATGCTGTTCTGCAATGCATTACAGGGCGTCTAGTCTATTTCGGTACCTCTTTAATCACTCTGTGTACTTCCTTGGCAACCTGCCCTTCTGCTCAGCCGTTCATCCAATCCCGTCTCGTTTGCATAAGCTCCTCCCCTCAGTGAGACATTGTGGGTGTGTCCCGACCCCCCATCTGTGTACTGTATCCATTGGCTGACTGAGGCATTCCCTCGTGTCCTTCATACTCAGGCTTGACCGGAGCCGTGGGTTTGCGGGAGCGCGAGGAGCGGCCGGTGAACAGGCGCAGAGCTCCTCTGCAGATCAGGGAGAACCAGTAGAGCTGCGGGGCCATGAGCAGACCCGCTCCCAGATTACACTGCCAGGGCACCACAAAAGGGACCCGGTAGAAGGGAATCGAGGCGTACCTGGAAAAGAGAGAATGGACGGAGAATGTGGACGGAAACTAAAGAAATTGAGTTCTAATCAAAAAGCTAAAAGAGTATGTTTCTCCCTAAAGATGGTTTCGGAATCATTGTCACCTCAGAGCGGGAGTTAGGAAAAGGAAGGAAGTTATAGGAATAGTTATGAAAAAAAAAATTCAATTATTTACTCACCCTCATGTTTATCCAAACCCCAACATGGCATCATGACTTTGCGTAAACATACACGCCACTTTCAAGTCAAGTGGCGCGTTATCTATACGCATTTTGAGCTATCCGCGTGTATGTCCACGCCGAAACGAACCGTCATCTTTTGCGTGTATGTCTACGCCGTTAAATGTCCGATCGAAACGAAGCAAAATGTAGATCTACATCTGGGTAGCGATATTTTTTTTCCTAGGATGGTAGGAGAAGACTCATAAATGGTATTAACCCCAGTGACGGGTAGGTTTAGGGACGGGGTTGGGGTAGGTCATTTATTTATATATACAGTAATGTAACGTTAAGTCAACGGCGTTGATAAACACGCTGAAAAGCGATTATGCGTGTTGATAGCACGCCAAAAATGGAAATACGAATTGGCGTTTTTCAGTGCAACCCTCTACAATGCGAGTAAATCACTCGCATATGCCACCAAATATCATTCTAGGCGACTAAAAATGTCTTAAATTAGCCAATGGCTAGTAAATTGTAAGATTTCCGTTGCCTGAAATTGATACGTTTAGCGCAGATTTAATTTCATTGCTGCTTGGCTGAGAGCGCCCACTGTCGCTTTCTCTCACACATGCGCACTCAACCTGAGAGAAAGAGAGAGGCTTACGCGCGGCACGTGAAGAGAACTGGTGCTAGATCTATGCAGGGCTCGTATATAATGACTGCCAAGAGTTGACAGAACTGTCACGTGTTTTTAAACCTTGCCAATTTAAACATTCAAGCGCAAGGAGACGGGAAAATAACTCGCACATCTGAAGCACGTACCCAGAAAGCCGCGCCTGACAACACGCGAATACTGAATTGAGCTCTTTCATGTCTTCTTGCGCTTGAGCGGACAGTTTAACACAAAATCATGCCCGTCTTGGCGAGTATCCTAGTAAACATAGTAGGTTATGTCTTAAGTGAACGAAAACAGTGAAGAAAGAAAACGCATGTGTGACGCTATCAGAAGGCCTATATTGAACATTACTTCTTAAAGTGACAGCAGCCTAATATTCCTGCTATTTTTAATGTTAATCAAACAACAAAAGACTCACTCAATGCTCTCGACTAAATAACTTTTGTAACTTTAATAAGGATTCATCTATATTAATGTATCCAGTGAAGACTTATTTTACATTTGATTATTCAACTTCTGTACCTAATCTGTGTAACTATTGTTAGATCTACCTGAAAAATCAATGTTTATTTCATTTGTATTTTTCTTCTTTTGTGTTTATTTGTGCTTGTAGTTTGATTGTTTGTTCTTATTTTATTACAGACTCCTTACGTGTCTTTAAAAATAGTGTTTAAAATGTATATTTTATAGTATATTTATGTATTTTTTATTTGCATTGTTCTTGCACTCCATGTAAAAAGTCTGGCGAGTAAAATAAAAAATGTACTAGCCAATGGCGACTGGAGTTTCAGTGTAAAACTAAGAGTTCATGTACAGAAGAACATTTTACTTTTGTGTTCCATTGAACAAAAAATAACTAGCGTTTTACAATAAGGTTCTATTTATTAACATTAGCTAACTACATTTAACATGAACTAACAATAAAAAAATACTTTTAAAGCATTCAATGGACCTAAGCTAACAAAGTTAACAAAGATGAATAAAAACTGTACCAAATATATGACTCGTTGTTAGTTAATGTTAACTAATGCCTCAACTAATGTTACCTAAAGGCAGGGGCGGACTGGCCATCTGTGTGATCTGGAGAATCACAGAACGGCCGGTACTCCAGGACGGCCGGCGGGCCGGCCCACCACCCGCCACACACGCAGTCACAGACATACCAAGTCTCACGGAAGTTCCGGGAGTCTCCCGCATATTAATAGCGGCTCCCTGATGCCCGCAAATTAGTTAAAATCTCCCGGAATCTAGAGCGAGGAAGAGCGCGCATGCGTAGCGCGCGCACGGCAGAGAGAGGGAGCGAGCTAGAGACCTTGCGTGTGTGTGCTAGTGTGTGTGTGTGCCTCACGAAGCGCATACAAGGACCCAACCAGTGCGGGCTGGCTTTTATCTTTACTACTCCCGAACCGAATTAATCAGAAATTAATTAGCAAGTTACTTGCTAGGGATGATGTTAGGAAGTGATATTCAGCTTGCTACATTTTTAATGATTACAGTAGTTAAAACAGCTAAACTTAAACATTTTAGCTGTAAAATGCAGTAGCTAATATTAAGAAATATGTTGTGCTTTTACTTTTAAAAATGTTGGTAACGTTACAGTTAATGCTTACAAACTTTGAAGATTTTTAATACAGAAGTTACATTTGTAATGGTGTAGGGCCTAGCCTATTTTCATTTAGATGTGGTATTATTATTTGTGCAGTAGCTAAGATTAATTACTGCATAAATTAATTAAGATTATTAAGTAATAAATTCATTTTAAGACAGCATGGAATAGATTGTATAATATGCTGTTAGCTATAATTTGGATGGTAGTATCATAAGCCACAGTTGAAGTCATGTGACACTCATGCCAGACGGCAGGCGTTATTGTTGTCGAGTTTCCGCGCGCCGATTTCTTTGGGCCGGGCCTAGTCAAAGTCCAGGGCCGTTTTTTTAGTCCCAGTCCGTCCCTGCCTAAAGGGACCTTTGTGTATGAAAACAACAATATACAAGCAGGAAAAACATGGGGGAGAGTAAATAATGATATGATTGTAAAAGTGAAAGAAGCTTTAAAAGAGACATACCTTCCGTAAACGTAGTAGAGATAGGGGAAGAGAAGGACTCGACAGAGGAAGAAAGTGATCAGCATAACAGCTCCATTCACTTTGTGAAGAAGTGTGTGCTGTTGCTTGTACTTAACAGTAGGAAAGAAAGAGAAAAAAGACAAATAGAGAGAATAAGTAATGCAACTTGATGAAAGAAGGGGAAATAAGTAAGAAGAAAAAGAACGAGTGTTATAGATTTCAAAATGCTCCTCTGCAAACTGTGTTGAGAATAAAAGGGTCATATTTATTATTATGTTTTTCCCCAAGACTCCCAACACTTATGGCGCTTTTCCACTACACAGTACCAGCTCGCCTCAGCTCGACTCGACTCGACTCGACTCGCCTTTGTTTGGTTTTCCACTGTGTAAAAGTTGTACCTGTACCTGCTTTCGGGTACTTTTTTTCGTACCACCTCCGGCGAGGTTCTAAGCGAGCTAAGGCGATACTAAAATGTGACGTGAAAACAATGCCGACTGCTGATTGGTCACAGAGAATCTGCGTCATCATTGCACGCGCCAGATGGAGTATCCAGAATAACCCCGCCATTTTTAAATAGTTTGGCCAGAGATAGTTACTAAACTTACTACTATTATTATGGCAACTCGGAAGAATACGCCGTGGTCAAACGAGGAGGTGCAGACATTCCTTTGTTTGGTTGCCGAAGAGAGGATCCAGCGAGAGCTTGATGGGGGAACGAGGAACGAAAGGCGTCGCTATGACGACCGGGTACTATTTGTGGCGGTACTTTCTGCAATGGAAAACGGAGCGAAAAGCGAGCCGAGTCGAGGCGAGCCAAGGCGAGTCGAGTCGAGCTGGTACTGGTAATGGAAAAGCGCCATTAGTCTTTAGTAATATTTTACAATCCGTTTAATCATAATGATGTGAGAGAACGAGGTGGGACAATGGCAGACAGAGGGCAACAGATGGTAGGAGTGTTTTTGGAAACCTGTTAGGAAACTATCCTTAATATTTTCCATTCCCACTTCCAGAGTTGATGGGCCCCATTGACTTCCATAGTATTTTTTTTTTCTTACTATTGAAGTCAATGGGGTCCATCAACCGACATTCTTCAAAATATCTTTCTTTGTGTTCAGCAGAAGAAACTCATACAGGTTTGAAACAACTTGAGTGTCAGGAAATGATGACAGAATTTTCATTTTTAAGTGAACTATTCGTTTAATGACAGATCAATAGCATAAATAGCATACTTCACCTTAAAGGAAACTTAATGTTGGATGTGTAGCAAGTAATTAAACACACTTATTCCGTACACTCAGCAGTGGTAAAAACACACATGCTGTCACCTGGCTCGGTACCAAACTAAACTGTGTGTTCCCTATACTGGAGGCTGGGAGGGAGGAGGGAGGAGGGGTGGACGGGGAAGAGTCAGATATCATATTATGTGTTAAATCTCATCTCAATTCAGAGAGCTATATTCAGAAGCAGCTGTGGCTATCAGGCTATAGATGAGGCTGTGAGAGGGTGAAGCAGGAAGAAGAATCAGCAATGCATTCATCCATCTTGACACGTTCATTCCGAACACACCTTTCTATTAAAAGAAGTTTTAAAGGCATACATGTCTATCTCATGTCACTCTATCTATCTATCTATCTATCTATCTATCTATCTATCTATCTATCTATCTATCTATCTATCTATCTATCATCTATCTGTCTGTCTGTCTGTCTGTCTGTCACGTTCCTATTTAACACATTTAAGTTCAACTAATTACATAAATACATCTTTATTTGTAATTTCACAATTGCTTCTGTTGTCTTAGAAACATGCACTGACAAGAATATATGATAAACTAAAATATATTTTAATGTTATTTCGATTGAAACTTGTGTCATGTATTTAAATATATTTGAAATTACACATTAGTAATGAAGTTGTAATCAAGTACATTTAAAACATATTAACTTTAAAATGTAATATCAAACAACAAATTATAATCAAGTACTTTACATGTGCTTTAGCATGCGAGTCGACAAAAGATGATTAAAACAATGATTTAAAATGTAAAGTTAAACTTTCAAAGAGCACTTTTTTAAAGCGCGTTAAGAAACAGTCATGAAAGTGTACTCTCTTTACGAGGCCTTTTATTTCAGTAATATTATATTATTTGCAAGTACAGGTTTTTTTAAAGGCTTGAGTAAATGATTTTAATAAATAATTTTGAGTGAGCTATCACTTTAACTCACTGTGTGTGTGAGTGTGTGTGTGTTTCCTTTCCAGTAATTGCATTGGCATTTATTTATTTTCTGTCAGGGTTCAGGCCAGACTTGCATATGTGAAGTCAGCACTTCTGTAAATACACTTTCCTATGAATAATGTATTAAAGTACGACATAACTGAAGCTGTGCTTAATGTCATACACACACCGTTAAGACTAAAGCAGAGCGTGATGGATCAAAGAAGCACTCGTCAGATCAATGATGAATATACCTGGATGAGGATTTTCCCCAGACAGACGGACGGTGTGCTGAGTTCAGCCAGGAACATGACACCCTGGAAGTAATCGCCCTTTCCCTGCCTCCAGAACTGGAAGTCAAAGTGAGAGAAAGAGCACATCTGAACATGAACCGATTCTCGGAGTTAAAATGCTTCATTAGAGACTAGAGAGCATCGCCTCCGTCATGACACTTACCACAGAGATGGGGAAGCATGCGGTGACCATGACGACGTGATGTAAGATCATGAGGAACTCTCGGCGGAGATAACCAGGGACTGCCACGGCCTTGGATCTGGAGCCGTTGTCCACCTCGTGACCTTTGACCTGGAGCTTGTGCCAGTAACACAGGAACATGGCGTAGATGTCATACACAAAGTACGGCACGGCGAACAAAATGTAGGAGCAGGTCAGCCAATGTCTGAGGAAGAAAAGCAGAGACGGATGGACTGAGAACGGGTCAGGGCTTTCCAAACTCTGATCCCTCTGTGAGGAAACACTTTTTTCATGTAATGGATGAAGACATTAAATGCAGAAATAGTAAGTATGATATCATAAAGACATAGTTTTGGTTAAATCAAATCATTGGCTTTTAAATTCTCATTGTACTGAAGTCAAAATAAATCTTAAAATATTATCTGGAAAATATGAAAAATTGAAGTTTGACAGCATCCTCCTCCCTTCCCTCCAAATAAAATTGTTAATTGTAAATTTTTGTCAAATTTGCGCCCTGATTTATTGTGCATGCTATAAACCATTAAAACATTAGCTTTTCTAGCAGTGTTAGTATAAAATTTTTTTTTGTAAATCTATAAAATGTGAAACATTGCGGTTCTTTAAATTATATTATCAAATATATATTTCCGTTCAAAGGTTTATGGTCAGCAAGGTTTTTAAAAAGTATCTTCTCCTCACCAAGGCTGCATTTATTTAATCAAAAATACAGTAAAATTATGAAATATTTTAAAATATATATATAATTATTAAAATAACTGCTTTCCATTTTAACATATTTTAATAAATATATATATAAATAATGTAATGTGTGATGCAAAGCTACATTTTCAGCATCATTACATTCAGTCACATGATCCTTCAAAAATCATTCTTATTTGCTGATTTGCTGCTCAAGAAACATTTCTTAATAATGTCAATGCTTAGTTTCTCATGATTCTTTAATGAATAGAAAGTTCAAAAGAGCACCATTTATTTGAAATTAAAATATTTTTTAAAAATAAAAGTTTTGCTGTCACTTTTCATCAATTTAATGCATCCTTGTTGGATAAAAGTATACATCTGTTCCCAAAAACTAAACAAAAACAAACGTTCCCCAAACTTTTGAATGGTAGTGTAATCAAATAAATCTGATTATTTTTCTCATGGCTTTTTGCTGTATTATTATTGAACTCAAAAGTCAGACCATGGTAGCATCATCATATCTCACTGCACAAATACACGATCATAATTGTGTGTGTATGGCCTTTATGCTTTTTAAACTGACCAACAAATACATCAACAAATCAAAAGGTTTTTATTTATCTTGTCATTCGGAACAAAGAGCGCCAAAACTACATCTGTTCTGATTTAGATTTGATATGAATTGATTTTATGTCCCAAAAAGTGATGACTGTTGCACTTACTGGTCCTCGATGATGTCCTGACAGGATGAGGAGATGATGTAACCAGCCGTAGAAGCCATTATAGCTTGGATGGATGACACCAACCTTGAAAATATTACAAAACAAGTGCACCCAGTACTCTTCAATGTCTTTGTACGTCTCCATATTGTCCAGTAATGTTTCTAACAAATTAGAAACATTACTAACAACTTATGGCCAAACATAAGCTGTTTAAAGAGGACCTATTATGCTTTTTTACATGTTACTTTCTTTAGTGTGTGATGTTGCTGTTATGAAAAAGGTCTGCAAAGTCACAATAATTCCCGCCCAAGGCATGTGTAGAATAAAGGGTTGGGGCCTGGTGGAGTTAGTTAGTAGTGTGTTGAAACGGCTGGTTATTGTAAGGGGCGGGACAACTCCCAAACACTCTCGAAGAGCTTGACCAATCACAACACACTGCTCCAGCCGACCAATCAGAGCACAGTGTGCTTTTCAGAAGGAGGGGCTTCATAGAGACGGGAACTAAACAGAGCGTTACTGACAGAGAGGTTGCTATAATAATGTCAAGTATGTGAAAAATAATGTTTTTTGAGTATTCAAGCATGAAAACTTATTCTAGTAGAGTCCAAAAACAAAATCAAGACTTTGTAAAAGGGCATAATAGAACAACTTTAACTCCTGTGCAAGTCTTTACCTGGCTGACACGATGACGGCATCGCCCTCATTCCAGCGCAGTCCAGGGATGGATTTGAGACACTGCTTGGACAACAGGAAAAGGCCTGGGAAGAACACAGACCCCGCCGCTAAGATGGACAACATGGTCTCTGGTAGGTGAACTCTGATAATACTGTGTTCAAAAAAGCCCTCCGCAGACGTCCCGTCCGGCTCCCCCTTCTGTAACAAAATACAGCGAGGAACTGAAAGCTTATGAAGAAACAAACTAACAAATGACTGAAGCAACATTTTCAAAGTAGCTTTTAAAATGGAAATAGTAAAGAATAGGAGGGGGAAATGGATTCTCTTTAGTATGAATTGTGTTGCGTAAACCAAGTTATTATGTACGCCCCATATGGTACCACATGTGGCCCGTCACAAGCAACTTACTGCAAACCAAGTCACATGTCATCGGCAGAACTAATGTTCAGAGTCAATAATATCCTGCATTTTCTGCCCTGAATCACACATGCCCTGTATTAATATAATACAACCCACTGTAAATGTTTAATGATGACGGACAGTGACCATTCAAAGTGAACAGTCAATACATTTTAAATAGAACATATTAATATACATTAACAATACACTAAATAAATGTATTAAATTAATTACATAAAATACCTATGATTACTTCTACTCTTCAAACTTTTTTATTTGATGCATACTGTGGTTACACGAATAAAAAAATACGTTGAAAAGTATCAGTAAAATAGAAATCAGAAAAAATACATTAGAAAATCCACAATGTAGTGTTTTTGTAAATATAGCTGTTTATGAAGTTAGTAAGCAGAAATGACATAAATATGTATAAATTAAGTTAATAAACATTTTTAAAATATTTAATAGTGAACTACAATATTATAACTAATAATTACATCATTTTTAAAACTGATAGAGTGCAATAATATTTTAAAGAATACATTATACATATTATTACATATATATTTATGAAATAATATAAATATATGTATGAACTGTTTACAGAAGTTAATAAAAATAGGCCTACATGTTTATTATTACATAAAATGTATAAATGTATTGTTATTTAATATCAGTCAATTAACATTAATTATAATCATATTTATACAAAATAATTATATAGAATATTTTAAAAGCAGTCCCATTATGCAATAGTATTTGACAGAATATATGATGCATACTAAATGCTGGTAAATTATTATACTTATAATATTATTATAAATAATAGTAAACATAAAACACAGTAATTAAAGGGATGAACGTGTCATAAATGCCCCAGAAAACAAGTGATGGGTGAATAGTGTTTTGACACAGGCCCCTATTGTTGTCCAAAACAAAGGATGTGACCTGCATCCCAACATCATCCTCATCCTCATGATCACTAACGCTGTTGGACATCCATCATCACTCTCCCCTACACGCAAACACGCTTCCCCACAGCTGCACTGACCTCCCCATTAAAGCAGCTATAGCATTCATATTATTTTAGAGGAGCATTTATCATTTCTAGCCTACAGCTCGTAAATCAGCTGATGTAAATGCACGTGGACCCCAGCTAAAGGCACAGGCAAAAATGCGCAATGCGCTATCGTGTAATCACAAAAAACCCCGCAGGTTTAAGAAGAAAAGTAGCAGCACGTTGACTCAATCTATCTACATAGCCCACAAAATGGTCGACCACCCTTTTATTCAAAACATTACTAAGTGACAAACGCGTCCCTCTCTCGAAATGACGCGTTATTGGTTAACGTTAATGGCAGACAATGCTCGTGTTTGCGTGGTAATAATGGTCGCAAGCATTGGAATAGTTTTGCTGCCAAACTAACAAACATATTATGAAACATGTTCTGAATGACAAAATGAATGAAGCGAGAGGATGAACATACGTGACTGTCAGCGGCCTGTCGACCCTCGCGTCCTCCTGCAAACAGATAGCGAAGAGCGGGTGCATGTTTTATCTACTGACATGGTTTTTGGTGTGTATTTGCAGTGTCTCTGAAGTCAATAATTCTAGAGTAGAAGCTCCGTTGCTCAAATATGCGCTTGCTGTTTCTGTTCAGTCCGCTTTTGCGCACAGAATCGCTCGGAAATCTCCCGACGTCGCTTGAATGTCTCGGTTTAGTTCCTGTGAGACGATGTTTTCAGCCACTGAAACGCGCCTCAGACCGCGACACCTCCACAGTGGTGAGATAAAGTCCGTTCCCCTGCCTGGTCTCATGCTACATTATCGATCAGATTCCCACAGAGGACAGCAGTGCGATGGCAGCAGCAACGCTGCAGCGCGCGTGTCCATCACCATCAAATCAATAACGCAACTCCTGATCGCGCTGACTTTACAAACCATACATACAGGACCCCGACGCTTGCTCTAGTGTCGACCTTTCCACCCATAAGCTGCTGTTATGTAGGTCAGTGGAGAGCTTGAGAGCACCATCATCACCAGAACATCTGAGGTGCGGATTTCACGCTCTTGTTGTGATAAAAACAATGAGCGGAACGGAGAGTTCCCTCCGGAGAACAAAATGAGGACGCATGTGGGATCTGCTAATTGTTTGTTAGTGGATTCGGGCAATTCTTTGGGGGGAAACCCTATGGGGGAAACGAATAAAAACGTCAGTAGCAATCCCTCGAGTCGAAATGTATCCAAAACTGTTACCACACTAATGGAAGCATTTATGTTTTATATCATGCAACGTTACACGCTGTCAACATGTGGGTGGATTGTTGTCAGTTATGGGCACTTGGAATGTTAAAAAATGTATATAATCTTTCATTCTGTGTTAAATCGTTTATCATTTGGCCCAGAATAACGATCTGAAGTGTAGCTTGGAGTATGTGAGACGTGTGGACAACGAGCTGACACACATCACTTTTTGGAAAAAGAGTTGGAATTTGGAAAGCCTTGGATTTGAAAACACAAATTAATTAAATCTGAATGCGTATTATAATAAAACTGACTGTTTCCGAATTAAAATTCTCAAATACAGGCTGAGCTGTCCAAATACAAACTCATTTTTTTTCTATAAAATGTTTGGTGATGGTAATGGCTGCTGTATCAAGGACGGTAATTGTGTTATATATGAAAACAAAATATAATTTTTACACTTACACTTAAACGAGTACTATTTAATTAATAACCATTTTAAATTCTAACGAAAAAAATAAAGTCTATAAATAGAGAATTGATGATACATTGAACATTTCAACACTATAAAGGCACTTGCAAAAGGCTATAAATCTGCATGAGTAAAAAATAAATGAGTGTTTCTGAATTTAAATTCTGAAATACCGACTGGGCTGTTCAAATACAAACTTTTATGGAAAGATTTTCTTATAAACTGTTTGATATGATACACACACACACAAAATAATCCCAGCAATAATGATCCAATAATTGACTCTTAAGCATTTGCCTATTTAAATCCAAACAGCAACTTTTTTTTGGACTGGGCAGTGTATATACTGTGCATCATTATATACACACACACACACACTCTTAAATACCAAATTAGTTTAAATTAATATTTTTCTTATGAAGTTCTCTAGAAAAAGTTAAAGTCTAAAATACCGAAATTATGGCAAATTTAACATTTCAACACTTACAAATAAAATATAAAAATAAAAAGTACAAGTACATATTTAAATTAAAAAAAGACATTGTAACATTTAAACCCCAAAATAAAGCAAGTAGTCCAGGCTGAATGAATGGTTAACGGTGTAGGGTAAGTGTCTGAGGGATACCAATGCTGCGTTCAGCACTGTAACAATCAGTCATTTATTGCTTGGTTGCATATGTTGATGTAACCGCTTTGAATTTACACGTATAATGAGAGGACAGTGAAAGGGCACAAATATTGACACCTGGAGTCCTGGGATGGATCCAACTGGCCACAGTCCAGCTTCCAACACGAGGTCGAAAGCTCACCACATCTGATGATTACACCAAAGCGTTGCATGAATTATTGATGTGCTCAAGATAAATTACAACTCAGACAACAGCGAGACAAAGACTCGTCTTCAGGAAGATCAGAAAGCACTGTGCGGTTCACTGACTTCACGTGTTTGTTCTCGTTTTTCCTGCTTTCTCAGTGACCCCATTTAGACTGATATGGATTATTATTTTAGATGGGCAAATATGATTGTGCGGAAGAGGAGGTCAAGGTCAGATCTGTGCGCGCACACACACACACTAATCTTGACAATATAAGTCACGTGACCCACAGAGATATGATTACTCCATTTCCTTTTAATAGTCAAAATTACAAAATGATAACATGATCTACATCATCTACAAAATAATAACATAATATCCATGATCATAGTAAGCATCAACATTTTTGTTTTGCTCGGTTTATAGACATGCATACTGCTGAGAAATATAAAAATATAAATATAAATACATCCCATTATTATCTTACTTTCCTTTTTTACTGGTTCATCGTCGACTATAATTTAAAATAGTTGTAGTGTTTGACAAATTAAATGCGGTAGAGTACAATAAGGCATTGAGATGCATTGCCAGAGCTGTACAGAGATTAGAGGTATTATTTCATCTTAATGCTAAATTAAAAAGAACCTAAATATGATCTGAAGCTTATAATAACAACTACGTTTCTAGACAGAAAGAACAAATCTCATATTCAAATTAAGCTCATGAATAACCAGATATACCAGTATACAGTACCAACACTAAACTGATCAAACGAATCACTCCAGTACAAAACCAAGACGAGTCTTTTTTTTTTTTTTCTCCATCGTTTTTAAACCTTGAGCTTGTGTGAAGTTCAGTTTTCCTTGAGCGTACATGATTAAGCCCTTCTTTAAACACACCATTCACACGTTCATAACAGAAAAAAGAAAAGAAAAAAAAAGAGCCTTTTGCTAAAGGTCTCAATGGAAGCAGTAACAACAGCTGCACTCCTTTCATTTGACGGCCTGCTGCTCAGAAAAATAACACGAGGACAAATCTGAAGGAAAACAGCAAAGCCTTTAAACACTTCTTCCTATTATCTTCCCTCTCTTTGAATTTCCTAGTTCTGCACCTCCTTCTCATTACACAGGAAAAGTCAGGCAGAGGATTCATAGTTTCTATAGTTCATATTCTCCTGTCGATGGAGGAAAACGTGGATATTTTAAAACCCTACAGTACAGTCATGACCAAATGATTAGACTCAAACAAGCATTCTACAATATTTTAGGTTTGATCACGTCTCACACAACATCAAAAATGTTCATTTTTACATTCTAAATGTAACCATTTAGGACAGTCCTGTAAAAGAAGCTAGCAACTAATAGTTAGGGAAAATCTGGGCGTTCTTACTATGCATTTCTTTTGTTCCAGGTGATTTATGAGCAGTCGGCACACATCAGGCCAGGTTCCATGTCTTGTACGGTTGTTTAAACGAGTATAATGGTGGTCTGGATAATCAGTGACAAATTCAAAGTCTCACAGACACAAACAGAAACAGAGTTTAATTATTTGGCCAGTACCGTACATTTATGACTGGATGTGTGAATCTCCAGTTCACGTCCAAAATAATAATATTAAAAATAAAGGACCACTATTACTACTAGTAGACTATTATGATTTTGGCATTGTGACATTATTTTAATGAACGTTTTATATTATTATTAGTAATACACATTATTTAAAAAAATTTGGTTTTGTTTTTACAATGTTTAATCAGCATAAGGCAGCGCAGTGCGAAAGCCATGATGTACACTATCATTCAAATGTTTGGGGTCAGTAAGATTGTTTTCTTTCTTTTTTTTGAAAGAAATGAATACTTTTATTCAGAAAGGATGCATTAAATTGATCAAAAGGTGACAGTAAAGACCTTTAAGTTACAGATTATTTCTATTTGAAAAAGAAAACTGTTCTTTTGAACTTTGTTCAAAGAATCCTAAAAAAAATCTGTTTTCAACATGATAATAATCAGAAATGTTTCTTGAGCAGCAAATCATCATATTAGAGTGATTTCTGAAGGATCGTGTAAACGTGAAGACTGGAGTAATGATGCTGAAAATTCAGCTTTACATCACATGAATAAATTACATTTGACTATATATTCACATAGAAAAGAGTTATTTTAAATTGTAATAATATTTCACAATATTACTGTATGTTTGATCAAATAAATGCAGCCATGGTGAGCAGAAGAGACTTCTTTCAAAAACATTCAGAAATATTTCCGACCCCAAACTTTTGAATGGTAGAAATACTTTACAAATGTAATAATGTATCTTTGTTTTGTTTTCAAATTATGGTAAAGAGAATTGGGTGAACTACTTTCATGCAAATAATGCCACAACGACAAATCTTTTAATGGACTTAAAAACAGACTATTTCTTTTGTCTTTCTCTTGATTTTGGAGTGAAAAATAACCTGCCATCTGCCATGTGTATGTGCAATTGTCTTTGCGGGACGCAACTACTTCCTCTTACATCTCATGCAACCTCTCGTTTTCACCTTTCAGCTCTTTCTTCTGCTTTTTTGTCTTTCGTCAGAGTCACCAGAACCATTATGACTTATGAATGGATCTTGAGACCAGTTCATGGCGGTGGACATCTGGCAAACAAATAGGAAATCATATTACAGGCAGAAGAAATACAGTAGCAATACACAATCAATCACAGTATCATCAGAGTCCTGCAGCGATGAAAACAGACAAGTTGAAAGGGAGACGACAACGAAAGAGAGGCCAGCGCGATGTGGCCGTTTGTTTTCTTAATAGTGATCGTTCACCCGACATTTACTCACCCATATGACTTCCGTTTTCCGTAGAACATAAAAGAAGAAATTTAGCAGAATGTCTGAGATGCTCTCTTCCATGCAATGAAAATCAACAGCCTCCAAAGCTTCAAAGAGGACAAGAAAAGCTCCATTTTGTGACAGAAAGTCATACGAAATCTGAATAAAAGTGAGTAAATGGGCGAACTTCCGCTTTAAAGGAAAAATACTGCCCTCTAAGTCTCTTTTCCCACCTTTATGCCCTGATCCTTCTTGTTAAGCCAAGACAGCCTAGGAAGACTGAATAGTCATCCTGCAATCTCAGCAAGACAAGAAAATGTACATATTAATCTGGTTTTGAGAGGGATACGTGTAAAGCGACTGTCTTAATATGTGCATCATTGAGAGGTGTTCTTTCCACATGTATCATCATGCTACAGTAGTTGTCATGTATGTAATGCATGTCATGAAACATGAAAGACTCCCACTCAGAATGCCTTTTTTCACAGTTTCTCCTTGGCTTCTTGTGGATCTTTAGTGTAATAAATTGTATAAATGGCTGTTTTGAGTCACACGTGTGTAGTAGCTACTTTTCTTCGCTGTGTGTTGTATGTGTGAGTACTAGCGTGTGTGCGCTACAGGCCTGCTCTGCTAGCTTTGAGGTTGCGGGATGATGCTGGAGCAGTCGGTCACCAGCAGATCCACCACCGTGTTTCCGCTCACAAACATCGTGGGTGCCGAGACCATGTTGCACAGGGTGACGGTGCTCCCCGGCACCGCATCACTGGTGGTGGTGGTGGTGGTGGTGATGGGGCCGGAGTCGCTCACGGGGGAGTTGTGGGTACCCATGTGGCCTTGCAGCTGTGTGGGGGTCTTGCAGTGAACACCGCAGAGCTGACAGACCAGGACGCCTCCAGAGCCTGTGGTGCCGAAGCCTCCTCCGCTCTCCTTCCACTCCTGACCGTGGTGCTTCTGAGCGTGAACCCGCAGGTACGTCAGCGTGGTGAAACCTGACGGGGCAAACGGTTGAGAGGTGAAGCGCTGCTGCTGCATTTCATTGGCTGATGACTGTGATTACCTCATAATAACTCGTTAATTATAATCACAACAGACAAGCTGATTATGTAATTTTTTGTTTATGCAATTAGTGAGGTTTGTTGAAATACAATGTTGTCACAAACTGAGCATGAACTACAAAGACTTCACTGACAGACAGACAGACAGACAGAAAGACAGACAGATAGACAGACAGATAGATAGACAGACAGATAGACAGACAGACAGACAGAGATATAGATAGACAGAAAGACAGATAGATAGACAGACAGACAGACAGATAGATAGACAGAGATATAGATAGATAGATAGATCGATAGACAGATATATAGACAGACAGACAGATAGATAGATAGACAGATATATAGACAGATAAACAGACAGACAGATAGACAGACAGACAGATAGACAGACAGACAGATAGATAGACAGACAGATAGACAGACAGACAGGTAGACAGATATACAGATAGATATACAGACAGACAGAGATATAGATAGATAGATCGATAGACAGTAGAGCCCGACCGATATGGATTTTTGGGGGCCGATGCCGATACCGATATTAGGGAGTAAAAAAAGCCCTATACCGATATATCGTCCGATATTATTTATGTGTATATTATAATACAGTAGCAATATTATTTATGTGTATTATAGTACAGTATACCAGTCAAAAGTTTGGACACTTTCCTATTGGTGTGTACAAACTTTTGATGGGTACTTTACACAGTAGCTATAAACAGAATAAATATATTTTATAAACACGTTTTGCAATGATCACTCAAATGTGGTAATCAAACACTTGTGTGACACAGATATGTAGGAGGCAGGGGGAATGATAGAATGAGAATTATACAGCTGAGCTGTAACCAAACTAGTTTGCATTGCATGTTATATTATATTATATTCTAAATACTGTTGCATAATCTTCACTAACGACTTTGTCTTTTAATTTAGTCATAACTTGTATCAATAAATATATATAAAAGTGTCACTGACAAAACCTTATTATCTTCTATTTTTACTCTTAATTCCTCTAATGTCTACCAGTGGAGGAAGAACTCAGATCTTTTTTACTAAAGTAAAATTAATAATATCATAATGAAAACGTTTTTAATTACAAATGTACAGTACTTTTATACTATTTTAAATAATTAGTAACCAAAATGTACTAAACGTGAAACTAGGCTACTCTTAATGCAAAATGGCCCTATATAAAGTGTTATAATTATATACATTTTTGGAATATTGCTTGATGTTGTAACGTAGCGTTATCAGGCAGAATGAGCTTTAACACTGTGTTTACACCGGACGCGGCGGTTATTGCTTGCGCCGCAACAGCTGTTTACCCTAGACAAAGCAGAATCAGTTTACTGTCGGAGATCGCTCGCGCCACGCATTTTAATCAATGTTTCATCAACCAATTGCCTTAATAAATAAGAAGTAGGCCTAAATATAGCAGACAATATAATCACGACTTCTCAGCTGCGCGCTTGCAATAGTCACAAGCTCACACAATACGTGACAGAGGGTTGTAGCAGAGAAATCAATTCTGTGAATTACACTGCGCAAATCACAAGTAGGCTACTACCCACCGGATGAAGAAGGGTTGGCTCTCAGTCTCCTCAGGCTACATAAAATATTCGTTTTATTTTATTTTTCGTGTTCGCATTTATGAGGAAAAAAACAATGTTACAGACGCGACAGTTCAGCACTACGGACGTGAGCGCTCTGAAAGCGGCACTAATGCTTTGAAACTTTCACATAGACATCAAACAGAAAGCACAAAACCTTTCGTTTCAAAGTGAATTTCGTTTTGTATTAATTGTATCTTAATTTTAATCAATGTTTCATCAACCATTTGCCTGGATTTATTTTATAAGAAGTAAATATAGCAGACGATAGATAATCACGACACGGAGGCGCCTGCGGGTGAACTGGAGCTCGTCTCATGATCCGAAACTCAGCGTATAGACCTGAGAATTGAAATATATCTATATTGAAATGTCTACTTTTAAACAGAACAATTCAAAACGAAAGACAGACAGACTCATGTAATCGTATGAAATGTGCATTTCTCTCTGGCGCGCGTTCACTGAAGATCGCGAGTCAGCATCGTCAACTTCATCTTTGGCTGACACTGACTGAAAACACTTGTTTATTAATAAACAATTAAAATGTCTCCTTGCTATATTTGTTGTATTCATAATCATTACTTTTGCCAGTTCTTGTGACAGCTTTTAGGTGCTTTATTATTGGCAGCGCCACCCTTACATGAATCACCGCACCCGCATTTTTTTAAATATTCATTTATCGGCCATTATAAATGCCGATACCGATAGTTAGGAAAATGCCTAAAATCGGCCGATAATATCGGCCCGCCGATATATCGGTCGGGCTCTAATAGACAGATATATAGACAGACAGACAGATAGATAGATAGATAGATAGATAGACAGATATATAGACAGATAAATAGACAAACAGATAGATAGATAGACAGACAGATAGATATATAGACAGATATACAGATAGATATACAGACAGACAGAGATATAGATAGACAGACAGATAGATAGACAGACAGATAGATAGACAGACAGACAGATAGACAGACAGACAGACAGATACATAGACAGATAAACAGACAGACAGATATACAGATAGATATAGAGACAGACAGAGATATAGATAGACAGACAGATAGATAGACAGACAGATAGACAGACAGACAGATAGATAAACAGACAGACAGATAGACAGATAGATAGACAGACAGATAGACAGGCAGACAGACAGACAGACAGATACTCACTGCGGTTGCAGAGGTGGCAGGAGTGATGCTGTGATTGGTTGTGCACCCTCATGTGATCCGTGATGTAGGCCGCAGACAGCAGTTTGCCACAGATGTGACACGGAACCTTCTCTTCATGTCTGATCATGTGAGCGCGCAGTCTGTCCCGTGTGGCAAAGCTCGATTCACAGGTCTGCACCATTTAGAAAAAAATATTCACACAAATAAGTAAAACAATATACCAAAATGTTTGTATACGTTTTTAAGAAAATATTATGTTATAATATTATTAAAAATGTATTTAGAAAATATATATATATATATATATAATTACTTCAATATTTAGCTCGTATAAATGAAAATGTTCAACTAATAATACATATCTCAACCTTTTACCTCAGTAATGCATTAAAATCAAGATGAGATTTTTTTTCAGTGTAAATTAAAAACAGCAACAGAACACAAAACAAACTTCCATACCGGACATTTGAAGGGTCGTTCTGAAGAATGGACCTGTCTGACATGACTGTTGAGATGATCAGGCCTGTGAGAAAGAGTGAGAAACATTTCATTCACAGTCAAATGTTTTTGTAGAAGCTAAAAGCTCTAAGCATAATCTAAGGTTGTTTGCTTAGTCCCGAATAGGATTGGGTATCGTTTGAATTTTAAAGTTTCCAATTCTGTATATCGACTCCGATTCTTATAGATTCCTAATTTCGATTCCAATAAGATATCATTCACATTTATTCTAAGTTTATTTATTCACAGATATTCAAGTACAGAAACTAATCAGATGTAAAACACTGCACTTTCTTTTTACATTACAAATATAGTTTCAAAAGTTATTCAGTCAAGAACAGCGAGTGACTTTCCTCTGTCTTTTGTTGTTTGATTAACGATATTATAGAGATGGTAGCAGGAAAAAGTATGGCGCCATCACTTAAAGAGCTGCACAGATCCAATATACTGTTACACATGCCAACCGTTTACGTTCACGGAAGAAATAACCGACTGTTTATGAGGATATTTAGACATATTTTTGTGTATTTGTCTGTTCAAGTGCAAAAAGACGCGAAAGAGACCTCAGTTCAGCATCGTACACTACACAGTTTTTTCGATTCCCAACCCTAGTTTCGGAACGGTATTAAAATGTCCAATTTCTCCTTAGTTCAGTTCGCTTTCACAAGGCAACATTTCGAAGTCAAGTTTGAGTAAACCGTCCTCTCATTGGTCAGAGTGCACCTGAAACACAACATCAGAGGCGTGTCCTACCGTGAGAAAGCTTTAGCACAGTGCGGGCACACGTAGGGCTTCTCCACGCCTCCCTGGTGGGATCTGACATGATGGCTCATGCGGTCCTTCCGCTTGAAGCGCTGCTGGCAGATCGGGCAGGAAAATGGCTTCTCGTCCGAGTGGGAGAGCCTGTGTCTGTTCAGGTGGTACACATCCCTGAAGGCTTTACCACAGGTCTCACACGCGTGGTTTTTACGCACAGGGTTGGGGTTCTGGTTTACTTGCCTCTAAAGGGGGAGTAGGGAAATGACAAGATCATTCAACTGTCTGAAGTACAACTGCACAGCTAGAAAATCAAAATAGTCCACCTGTCAAATCACCCAGGCTGCGATTTAATCAGATAAATATATGCGCTACAGGAGAAGCACGTAATTTAAACGTGTTTAAGCGTCTCAGACTGGCTCAGCTCATTTACTGTGAATCGAGCAGTTAAGACGCTGATATCTTTAAGTGATATGGGTAGTTCACCCAATTTCTCTCTTCAAATGCAACCAAAATCTATGAAACAACTTAGGTTTAATAGATTATCCATGCATCTTTTTTTTTTACATGAAAAATCATGTTAAAATGTGAGTATCAAATATGATCCATCAGGCTTTTGAGGTACATTTATTTGATCATCTCTCAATCATCATTGTATTGTATTAAAGCAACACCAAGTAACTTTTCCTCTGCGGTCCCCCTACAGGTTGGAAGCGGAATTGTCCATTACCGCTGTCGTAAATAATTTAGCCTACCGCAGCCTACTGTCGCACGCGCACGCTCGCTGGTTATCCAGCGCCGGCTTTGGAATCAACAATGGCAGACATCCCAACCGGCAAGAAGTCATTTCAGGGAGGTATATCTTGGTGACTGGATTGTTGACGGGAGGTTGGCGGGTTGACTAGCTTTCGTGAGGCACACTCGCAAGGTCTCTCGCTCTCTCCCTCTCTGCCGTGCTCGCGCTATGTATGTTATGCGCGCAGTATGTTCTGTCTCGCATGCGCGCTCTAGATTCTGGGAGATTTGAACTAATTTGCGGGCATCAGGGAGACGCTATAGACTTGGGATGTCTGCAATGGCCATAGACAATTTGAGGAAGTGGTGGGGGAAGTGACGTATGCCGTAAAGCAGTCGAGTTTTGTAGTTCTTTTTGTGCTCGGGTTATACCCGAAACCCGAAGTTACATAGTGCGAGTAAAAGCGATACAGACCACGTCAGGCTATGGCAGACGTGTCATTTAACCCTATTGTAAGTCGATGTACCATCACAAGGGTCTTGGAAACATATTATGAAGGTTGAAAAGTTACATAGTGTTGCTTTAAATGTTTTGCCTCACAATAATAATTAGTAAGATGATATTTAAATGCATAGTCTTGTGATCAAAGACATATTATTCAGAGGATATACAGTGGCAACTGATATTTATATGCTTTTATGCAAGTAGTCTACTATACTATTAAGATCTCACTGATTTACAATACAAGCTATCATATCACATCCTCCTTTTAGCCACATAAATATCAGTATCTGCTCAAATTGCTTATTTTTGCTCAGTTTGATCCTCTGAATAAAATTGAGGTGTTTTTCCGAGATGGTCCTCACTGCAGAACATGAAATCCACGGGGAGGAGTCGAATCCAGATCCAACTCCTTCCACCTTACATATACCTAAACCTACCCATCTCCGCCCCCTGATCCCTAAACCCACCCCTAAACCTACCCATCTCCGCCCCCTGATCCCTAAACCCACCCGTAATCCCTAAACCCACCCCTAAACCTACCCATCTCCGCCCCCTGATCCCTAAACCCACCCCTGATCCCTAAACCCACCCCTAAACCTACCCATCTCCGCCCCCTGATCCCTAAACCCACCCCTAATCCTACCCATCTCCACCCCCTGATCCCTAAACCCACCCCTCATCCTACCCATCTCCACCCCCTGATCCCTAAACCCACCCCTAATCCTACCCATCTCCACCCCCTGATCCCTAAACCCACCCCTAATCCTACCCATCTCCGCCCCCTGATCCCTAAACCCACCCCTAATCCCTAAACCCACCCCTAATCCTACCCATCTCCGCCCCCTGATCCCTAAACCCACCCCTAATCCCTAAACCCACCGCTAATCCTACCCATCTCCGCCCCCTGATCCCTAAACCCACCCCTAATCCCTAAACCCACCCCTAATCCTACCCATCTCCGCCCCCTGATCCCTAAACCCACCCCTGATCCCTAAACCCACACCTAATCCCTAAACCCACCCCTAATCCCTAAACCCACCCCTAATCCCTAAACCCACCCCTAATCCCTAAACCCACCCCTAATCCTACCCATCTCCACCCCTTGGATCTTGATCCGACTCCTCATGTACTGTATTGAGGTGCTACTGGTTTTTCCTCCTCTAGTGTGAACTCCATTTTCAAGATATGAGCCATAAAAGCCTGATGTATCAAATATCACTAAAAAAAACAAGAAACAAAAGAACAAACAACTTGTGCTTAGCTCATGTACAGTTTCTAACCACACAGACACACAGTCAGTGTAGTTACTGGTTCGTTTAGAGTTGTTTTTTCCACCTTATGTGTACACAACCAGCAAACATGAACAGTAATATAACACTGGCTATGTCAGAAATTAATTCTTGTCTGGATCTTATGAGCAGTTAAGATGCTGATTTCATGAGTGATATACAGTACACAGTGCAGCGCTTCACTCTGAAACCGACAGCTGGCAACCCGTCAAAATAAAAGTTTGATGGGTTACCGTTTGTAAAAATGATGTAAATATTGCTACAGTAATTCTACAGTAAAATAAAATTACTTTTAATACTTAATTTTTTATTCTACAGTACAATCGTGTTATTACAATACATGTATTTGTTTAATATTTGTGTTTAATGATTACAAAGAAACGGCAAGTAACATTACTTTACCTGTAAATTATCAACATGATCAAAATTTTGCTAAAAAAATATGTTGCACAATCTACTACATGCTTTCTGTTGTTTGATTGATAGGTCATACTATTGTACTGTAACATAAAAAAGTAAGTATTAAAAGTAATTTTATTTTACTGTAATATTATGGTACCAGTATTTACATCTCAATTTTTTTACATTTTTACAAACAGTAACCCAATCTAACTTTAATTTTGACTATTCAGAAATAACTTTTATTCAGACTGCAGAGTGAAGCAGTGTACTGTAAATCACTAACAAATAAACAACAATGTGACATTTTATTACGCAAAATATAATTCATTTAAATAAATTCTCTTTTTGAGTAATTGGGATGTTACCTAAAAAAATTAACAGAATAACAGATTTATTTGATAATATTCAAAACTTTTTTGCCTAGTTTTAAAAACGAAGAAATATATAAAATGTTACAAATCAAGAGAAGTAGTCATTATTCCTCTTTTTATATCTAACAGCATATTTCTGTGTATATGTCAGCTACCAAGCTTTTGAATTTTTATCATTTAATTATATTTATTAGTGTGTAGATAACTCCAATAAGAATCTGATCTTAATAAAACTTTTTGTTTTCCCTGACCATGGGAATTATAAAAACAGTCTGCAAAGGTTTGTGCGACCAAGTATTGAAAAAGTTTAGCTTCTACATATGAGAAAAACAACTGTATATTAAATTGGTCACAACATTATGTGATTTAATGTATGCCACTGAATGCAGTATCTGAGAATACACACACACACACACGTATGCCCACCTGTACAGGCTCCCCTGTTGTCATGACAACAGCAGCCGGAGGAGGGAGGGCGGTCACAGTGGAAGCCATGCTCTCCATGGTAACATTGTTTCCATCTTGAGTGACCAGGATTTGTGTGTGGGGAAGGGGCAGCACGGCATTAGGGGGCAGCGGTTGGGTTTGCTGTTGGGGTATGGAGAGGTGAAGGAGAGAGAGGGGGACTGTGTGTCTTTCTGCACTCTCTTTGGCCACAGTCTCCTGGCTCTGGGAGCCGCCCTTCATGCGGATGCCAGTGTGGACGGATTGATGACGCCGCAGGTTGTAGCTGTTCTTGAACTGCTTGCTGCAAATTGAGCAGATATGAGCCGCACGGGCCGTCCTGGACACTGGCTTCACTGATGGGATGGAAAGTCAAAAAAAGGTGTTACTAATCAGTAATAAGAGTTAAAGGACAAGTTCGCTATTTTACACTTAAAACCCTGTTTTAAGATCGTTTCTGATGAAATTGGGACACATGCTGCTGGCCCGAGAATTTTCGCTTTCTGTGGTTGCACCCCCCACCTCCACAATGGTTGCATAGGTGCAGTGGAACAATCCTTCATAAAACGCATTAAACTTTAGTTTACAAAGACGTTAAACCGAGTGGTCTGGGGTGTTCACTGATACCCTCACACAAAAATCGCTGCAAAAGATCCTTTCCAACAGGTTTTATCGTAGTTTTTGTCCAACTCCATTGACTTGACTTGGACAAAAACTACGATAAAACCGGTTTAAAAAAAAAAGGTACATTGTCTATTGTCAATAGTACAGCGATGCATGAAGTACAGCTCACACAGAAGTTTTAAAAAACCAAGCAGCAAATTAGTGTGATCAATTGCGAAATCTGCATGTGGAAATATTTCACCCTCATGAGAAATTCCTGTTCGCACGGATTCCTATTGAAATGACTGGACGTACAATGGTAAATGTGACGGCACCTTTACAGACACACTTTTTGACCTACGACTTTAGGGCAGAAAAGGTTCATTATCTATTGTCAATACTGTAGCGATGTATAAAGCACAGAACTTTTTGACCTACGAATTTGCGTGTCCAACTTGAACTCTTACTCTGCTTGGTGAAATCTTTCCCAGGCGGATCGGATCCCTATTTAAATGACTGGATTTTGCCTGCAAAAATTGCGTCACTTACAAACCAAGTAGCTTTCTGTTGGTCCATGCGGCAATTTTGCAAGACCAACTTGAACCAGTTTTTAAATCTACATGGGGAAATCTTTCTCCCTCATGCCAAATTCTCGATTGAGAGGATTCCTACTGAAATGACTTGATTTTGCCTGTGAAAATTCAACAGGCAAAAAAGATCTATTGTTGATATTGTAGTGATGTATGAAGCACACCCTGAAATTCCTGATTTGACACACTTTTTGACCGACGACTTCAGGGCAAAAAAAGTCCATTATATATTGGCAATAGTAGTAATTATGAAGCACAGAACTTTTTGACTTTCCAAAAACTTTGGCAAAATTTTGCAGGCAAAAAAGGTCTAGTGTTGATAGTGTAGTAATGTATTAAGCACAACTCTCAAAGAAAGCCAGTTTAAAATATATATATAATTCACCCTCATGAGAAATTCCTGTTCGCACGGATTCCTACTGAAATTACTTGTTTTTTTCCAGCGAAACATTTGAAGTGGATCACAAAAGTTCATCAAAGTTGTCTTAAGACAAGAATGGATATTGTTCAAAATGTATAAAGGTTTTGATCCACTTCAAATGTTGACTACTGTATATATGTGACCACACCTTTACAAATACACTCTTTGACCAATGACTTTCCAAGAATTTTATGAAATAAATTCATTCCTCTATACCAATTTCCATCAGTTTCCCCCCATTTCCAAGTTTTTTATCACCGTGTTCCCATTTCTAGAGGTAGGATCTTAAAAATGTCATAACGAAGATCAACCGTAGGGCCTTCGCTGAAGATAACATGACTATATTCCAGACAGCCGTTCTACTGCACTGCTCTATGTGATCGCAGAGGAACTGAGCAACCACAGAAAACCTCCAACCCCTCCCACCCAGCTTCCTCACTCTTCTCCAATCCTCCCTCCCTCTCACCCACCAGGTACAGGGTCCTCATTGAGAGCAGCAGTGTCCACTGTCGATGGAGGCGGAGCTATGTGCTCGTTGGGCGGGGTTTGAGGCGAGGTCGTGTGGACTGGCAGAAGCTCTGATTGGAGGGTCCCCTCCACTTGGGTCTGGGAAGGTGTGGTCTGGGAAAGAACAATCACAAAGTACTAAGTTTGAATTTAAAACTTCAGTGTAGGTAGGTAATAGGTATCACTGAGGTGAACCTCGTCGCAATTTTAATGTAGTAATGTGGTTACAACTTTGTAATAGCATGAATTTCACATCAATTTACATTTATTTATACACACACAAACCGTTAAATCTCACCTGGAAGAGAAAATTGCTCCACGCGGCATCCATTTTGTTCCACAGCGAAGAATATTATAATCAACTACACAATCATCAAGATTAACAGCGCACAACTGACATCCTTTCAATCGTCTGTAGTTTGCAAAATAGTGTTTAAATGTGTTTTTAAACTACTCCCCCAATTACATATTTAATTAACAGCCTAGATTAACAGGCAATGATGCACACTATTTAGTGTTTAATTTGCTCCTATCCAAGTTTAACCCGAGGCATTACAACAACGTGCTATTTATTCATTTGCATGACTTAAAATCCGAACCAATAATGTTATTCCTACACTCTTACAACATGCATTATAAAACAGCAGTTGAGGCATTTAGACGTTAAAACAACGGTTATACGTTATGCGCTTGACGCATTTTAAATAGTCAAACTTAAAGGTTTCTATGTATAAATCAGTGTTTTTTTCCTCGATCCCCCCGACAGGCCAATCGGGTGTTTGTCGAAGCCTCGCTGTAGGATTCAAGCCGTGACCCGGACGAATAACACTCGAGCCCGGCCGCAGCCCGCCGCTCCACCTCGGCGCTTCAATTCACAGGATGTCATCTTTCTTTTTTTATCGCGCGCACTCTCTCTCTCTCCCTCCCACCCCTGTCTCTTTCTTCCTTTTCTTTTTTAATTCCTCTTTCTTCTACCCCCTCCTCTCCTTTTCCTCTCTCCGCTATGTCCCAGTTGTTCTTAAAGGGATGGATAGCTCTCTCCCCCTCCTATTTCCGTCGCTTTTCTCCTTCCTCTCAGAAAATGAGCCGACAGAAATACAGTTACAGCATCGAGCTGTTGACGTCACATGACTAGTCTGTTGACCGAGACTAAATGACCTCTAGAAATGAATCTGCACTGCGTTCATTTATATAAAAAAAAATTGTGAACACGCTATCTGATTATTTGCTTACAGTTTTTTCATTGTTGGTTAAAGATACTGTTTGGTTTTTATAACCTAACGAACCCAAAGAGGATGTGTAGCAATTAATATTTATACTGTTACAAGCCGAATTCCATATACATTTTTTCCATGAATGTAGGCTACATCATTTTATTTATATTTATAAGATCGTACTTTGTGTCAGTCTCTTCTAATTGAATGAATGAATGAATGAAAACGCAGTAAGCTCGAGCCCGTCTTAAAGGGCACGTCGCAATGACGTAGAGGATTTTTCACGGATTTGTTATTGATGCCAGACATCAATGTCGGATATAGTGACGATTACATGTATGTAAATGTAAAACCTCCAAAGAATTTAGGAATGATTATATTTTTCTATGCTGAACAAAATGTGTAATGAACAAAATAAAAACGAGACAAATCCACGTTAATATCAATTTATTGTCATTTAAATTGTTTTGCGTTTATTTTTCTTCCACGTGTTTTCTCCCTTCAAGCCAGAAATGGCTTGATTTCAGAAATGAATTTTTCAAGAAATGTCCTCTCAGAAAAACCTCCACTTTGACCCAACAACCTGTTTCACAGCCAACACACACATACACAGATGATAGACAGATAGAGTCTATCTCTACAATTCACCCCTGACTAACTAGGAGAGCCTCCTTTACCACCATACATGAATCCAGACTAGTTTGACCTGCCCGTGGACTTGCTTTTGCAATATAAGCTCTAACATTCAACATTATAATGGGATCGCTGTCCTAAGATCATGAAGTAACATCACACCATATCTCACAAACAAGTCAGTCCATTCAATGGTACAATCTCATTGGCCCTCCAAACACTATATCTGACATCCTCAATACATTAGAAGTTCTGCATGCACTGTTTTACTTTAAACCAAGCATAAAGTAGTAGGTTATACAGAGATATCAGAGCTGGTGTTTCTCGTTTGATTTTGGAGTTCATCAAGTTCCACTTGTGTTCTTCTTGGATATCTCTGAATGCATCAGTGAAAACACAGCCTTGGCGATGCACAGCTGAGTATCTGTCGAATGCTCAAATGCTCTCTTCATTGTCAAACACACTTTGCAGTATCCCACACGTCCCAAGATCAGAGAACACTGCAACACATTTTTATACTCACACAAGCACACATACACACACACGCACTCAGCTTAAATCTAGACAGAAACACAGCTATAGCAGCCGCAACATTCTCCCCAAAGTTCTTCACATCTTCATTGTAATAAAGAGTCTTCCATCATATGATGACTTACTGCACCTGCCTGTCTCTGGAGAGTTTCAATAAATGCACCCAACCTCTCAACATTCAAAATAATACACAATGATTCAGCTCTTTCCAAAAGATTAGTGATTGTAACTCGTAATTCAATCAAGTCTGTTTTTATTGTCTAGGATATGAATTAAAGGATGCTTACCCAAGTGAATAAGCCAGATCTTCCTTTAAATCATGTCTTTCTTTTTTTTTTGGTGTGTTTGTGTACAAAAGTGGCAATATTACCAGACCGCATCCCATTCAGCGAAAGCATACACTCAAAATGACTATAAACCATTGTTAACACACTAGACCAGATTAAGCACATTTTCTTGCTTTTAAAAAGTACAACCAGATGCTTTGAGAAATTTTAAAAATGTTGTCATGATGACATCAAACATGATATCATGAGTTACGCCATCCACTCCAGATCCAATTTCTACAATTAAATGTTAGGTCTATTCTGTTCATATGTTATTTTATCAAAATGGCAATAGTCATAAGTACTATAGAAAACTGTGGACACAATGCTTCAACACTTTAGATACTATATATTTATATATATATATTTATATATACACATTAAAAGATCCAATTGGTGGGAGAATTACTCAAAAAGTCCATGGCTGCATCCGAAATTGCATACACCCCTTTTGAATAAGTAACTCACAACCATTAAAAAATGTATGAATGTTATCCGGAAGTACTACATTTGTCATGTGACCTTACCAGCATCAGTTGCGTCCGTTCACTGCCATTCCCAAATCCTCTCCCGTGGCCTCATGGGATAGTAAAGTGTCCATAATCTCGCCGGAAGTAGTACTGTTTTATGAATACTGTGAATTCGGACATACTACTAAGGCCACGTTCTGTTTTTCACCTAATATATTAGGGAAGTATGCAATTTTGGATGCAGCCAATTTTGTAAAGGTAGGTGCGGTCACATTTACCGTTGCAAGACGAAATTTCACAGGCGAAAATCCAGTCGTTCTAATAGGAATCTGCGCATTAAGGAGTTTCGCATAAAGCAAAAAAAGAGTAAGGCGACAAACTTCCACACGTAGTGCTGACCAACAGAAAGCTGCTTAGTTTGAAAGTGACTTCTGTGTGAGCAGTGCTTCATACATCGTAACGCTATTGACAACAGACATCAACCCTTTTTTTTTATCCGTGAAATTTCCCTGAAACTTCGCTAACGTGACCGCACCTTTACATCTCAAATGTGACTGGATAACATATGAATACAAATGTATTTACTACATTAATCTCATGCATTGGAGCAACTCCCATAGATGTAAAGTATTCATAAAGCCTGACTGACATAGAACTTTATAAACATTCTGTGTTCATACTGTAGTGTGTGCATGTACAAATTCTCCCCATCACACTAAAGAAGTCGCGCAACATCCCTTTAAGATGTCTAGAAGGCAGTGGTGATTTTCCAAGCCAGTTTCCCCTTCTTTCTTTTTTTTTTACAAAGAAAAAACCCCAAAAACAACAACGAGCAGGGAAAACAAAAGCAATAGGACAAGTAAAATGTGCTCTCACTCGTATTGTAATGGCTTGAAGGAACTCAACAAAGCAAGCCCGACCTCCTTACTCCGTTCTCTTAAGAGTAGGAGAGGTGGGATCCGTTGGAGATGTGCGAGGTGACCGAGGTACTACGGCTGAGGACTCCCTCTCCACCACCAGACCCTCCTGGGCCGCCGCCAGATGCGGTTCTGCGCAGGGGCTGCGGGCTGTTCCTCAACGCCATCAGGTTGGGACCCCGAACCACCAGCCCTCCTCCTCCTCCACCACCTCCTCCTCCTCCTCCGTAGACTCCTTGAGAAACCGAGGACGACTGGGCGGACGAGGACGACAGTGTGATGGAAGGTGGTGCGGGAGGAGGAGGAGGGAGGAGAGCGAGGGACTGGGAGGAGGAGCGGGAGGGAAGGTGGTGGGAGAAGACGTGGGGGTGTGCGAGGTCCCCCCTGCTCCCTCCGCCCCACTCCTTCTCTTTCTCCCGCTCCCTCTCTCTATCCCTCTCTCTCTCCCTGTACAGCTGAGGCGTGCTCTGGTGATGGTAGTGCTGGGGAAGGTGGTGGCGGTTGTGATGGGAGGACGAGGAGGAGGACGAAGATGATGACGAGGACCGGGGGGAGTGGTGCATAGGCCCGTCTCGCGGTAATCCCAAGGCGTGGGAGGCGGACGATGAGGAAGAGGATTGGGCCCGGCTCGGACCCCTGCGGGAGTGGGGATGCGGCGCTCCGCCGTGACTCCAGTGGCCGGATGGACGGGGGGTCTGGCTAGACGGGTAGCCCTGTTTGGGATGAGCCTCGGAGGGGATGCCCGTCAACGCCAGGCTACTGAATCCCAAGCGGAGGCTCTCAGAGTCGAAGGCCTCGATTTCGGACGCCTGGCGTTCCAGGAGGGAACGGATGCGCTCCGAACGCTCGTTCTGCAGGGCCAGCATCTCCTCCTCGATCTGGAGAAAGAGATCCATGGATGTCAGAATTGCACTTGTACAAGAGTGGTCCTCAACTGGCGGGTCATGACCAGGGGCTAGACCCTATTTACTGGGGCATGAGCCTCACTGAAATACTGTTCCCAAGTAAAACATTACTGATGAATCACATTCTGATGATGGAGATATACCAACCTGATAATCATTTTAAGTCATTGTACATCCTAAAAATGAAATAATGGAAAAGGACATTGCAAATGTCACTCTTTCGAATTAAATTAATTACTTGTTTTAATTCGAAAGAGTGCCATTGTCATCCTGAAGTTTTCTTTGATGGACTATTAAAAACCCTAAACCATAGAGCACCTTGACTGGACACTTCTCCTTAAGATGCGCTCTCTAATATTGGACTTTGTTTGAAGGACATTGGATATTTTTGTACAATTTAGATACTGTTTAGTTGCCACGTGATGCGTAACCAGTTGAGAACCACTGCTTTAGTTTCCATTTGTCAACCATCATGGCCAGGAACGAATGCAGTCAGCCTTTACCCTTTGTTCCAGCAGGGCTCTGCGGATGGACACTCTCTGCTCCAGGTCTTTAACCTCCCTCTCGTGCTGGGTGTCAGTATGCATCTTGATTTTACTCTGGTACGCATTGAGCAGCTCCAACTCCTGCTGCAGCTGCATCCTCAGCACCTGATACTCGGCTTCCTGAGTCTCATCCAATCGCAGCTGGAGTGAAACAGCACAAAACGGCAAAGGTCAATGAGGCAGGGGTAACTCTGATGCTGGAGTGTGGCTGCTGGGATCAGATGTAGGGTGATATACCTTACCATGTACAGTTTTGAGAGTATGTCACTGATGATGTAGGTTTGAGTGAGGGTTTGGTGGTCAGTGGGATGGGAATTGTGATTGATGTGTCCTTGCCTTACTCACAGCCTGTGTGGACAGCATGTCGTTGATTGAGTGGTCGTATTGCTCGGCCAGAATAGCCAGCTTACGAGTCTGCTCATCTTTGAGACGCTTCAGCACGGCCTTGTGGTCCGATTTCGGTGTGTTCTCCAGCAAGTGGTTCCTCAGAGCTTTAAACTGACGTGTTTGGATCTTACACGTGTCCTGGAACTGACGCTTAATCTGCAACTCTTTGGACTACAGGAACAGGGAAGAGGGTTGTAACAAGGTTCGACAACAGACAGATAAGAAAGAGTGGAGGGGGAAGGACAGAAGCGTCACAGCACGAATGTGCCGTCATTGGTCATAAAACACTTTAAAACAATGTCTTTATTTTTAATGTAGCATGACATTGTGGGACATGAAACAGCACAAATCATTTTGAGTAGAAATCTGTAAATTCAGATTCTGTTTTTGTTGTCTTTGTTATGCCAATTAAAATTACTCACTTTTTATTAATGTTTAACCTAATAAAACATTTTATACTTGGTTAAAATTACATATTTGAGTGTACAATTTAATAAGCTAATACCGCCCTCAGTTAAACATAAGTGATGATAAGAATTCATAAGACACTTCATTATAAATTATAAAGACATTAAAGCAGCAGCATCAAAGCTATATGAATGGAAAACATAAAACTGGGATGATGATGATAAGACAAAAATACTTAAAATAATGTAAAAAATAAAATGAACCAAAGGACAATGATTATAATAGAGAATTTATTTCAGCAACATATAACAGAAATCTTTGTTTAAACTTGAAGTAAACATCCATTCATGCACAAACACACAAAATGAGGATGAAATGCACACACAATGGCCTTGAAACAGACGGTGCAATGCAACATAAAATAACACAAACATTCATCAAATAATAATTAAGACATAATTTGTGATTTGGGTTTTTCTTTTTTTTAAGGGAGCATAGCATATGTAAACAATAAGCAACAAGACATAAAAATCAAAGACATTTTCAAAAACTGGAACAAATATGGCTAAAACTGAAATGCATCCTTTTGCCAAGAAATTGAATTTTCTTAAAATATTTATATTGTATTTCCTCATTACTCATGTCTCATTTCCATTGCAGTACACAAATGGTCCCTTTGATAATGTTAAGATTTCTATGAAGACCTTTTAGTATTTGAGTTTTTACAGAGCGTTTCATATATATATATATAATTTGAGCAGTGCAAGTTATTTTTCATCAATCCAACCTCTTCATTTCTTATGTCACAACTCCGTTTTAATCTTTGGTTTTCAATTTGCATTCTTCTAGTCAAACCTTACATTAAGATGATTGTCAAATGGCTTCTTATTATAGTCTTTGATATGCAGTAATAGACTACTAATAAATATAAAATAACAGTGCCATGCAAACATTGAAAAACTAGGGCTAACCTATGAAAGTCTTGCATAAATGCTTCATCTAAACAGGCTAGACCTCTCTTCGTAAGGATATGTCCAAAACATTTGTTTACATGGTAAATATGATCAGATCATTGCCTCTAGTGCAATAACAATATATTCCCAAATTCAATGGTTTACAAACACATTTCCTCATATACTTTTGTGTAAAAAACTATTTGGGTGCTAAGCTACAAGTATATGAACTTCTATGTGCCAAAAAACACATCAACCACCCACATCTTTAGTAATACAACAGGAATCTAAATAAAATTGCATATCTCATATACTGAATTTATAATAGATCACTCACATTGAAGAGTAAATATTTTACTTAAAGTTAAGAGATTAATGTTTAAATGAACATTAACATTCAATAAAGTTCACTGCTAAAGTGGCAGATCTGAACTAACAGCATTTAGGATTGCTCATCCATCTGATGGTGGAAAACCCCCAGATTATGTGGCATATGATTGCCATTCTTGAGGTCCTGCCTCTAAAACTTCCAGTGAGAGGACTTTATTAATATTTTAGCGGCTTTTAGTTGTTCTGAAGCTTTTGAAATTATACAAAACACTGATTTTGCAACAATATGCAGCCTAGTTTTCAATGTTTTACTATTTCAATACAAAACCTTTTATACACCAGGACTTCTTTGAAAAGTAGGAAAAATCATTGGCGCTTTATTCAATAAACTTCTATTGCACTTGTGGAAGAATAAGCTTGTAGTGTTGCGTTTTTGGGAGATCTATAGTGTAAAGCACAGTATTATAATCCACTTTCACAGTAGACAGTAAATTAATTTAGCATTTAACGTGCATGGCTTAATTGAAAGGCCTATGGTCATTTTCATAAAGAGCCATTTTGGTTTTGGAATATAATACAATTTCAATGTAGAAATCAAGACCCCCCCTTCAAAACAAAATTAAAAAACTAAACCAAGATTGCACAGACATGGCTTCAACAATAACCATAATAACACATATAGCTCTTGCTATTTGAAAATAAAATAACTTAGAGTAAAAAATAAAACCCAGAAACTTTTACAAAAAGCACAATAATCAAATAAAGCTTTCCATTCACTGGCGACTGACCGTGAATGAGTGAGTTGTAAAAAAAAAAATAGTAGGTTAATCTAAAAGGGATAGTTCACCAAAAATAAATATTCTGCCATGATTTACTCACCCTCATGTGATAACACAAATTAAGATATTTTTTCTCTCCCTCCAATGAAAGTCCAGGTAATACATTTTATGACACCTTTTGGACCTTCTAAGTTTTGGTTACCTGGAACTTCAAATGAGAGACAGAAACCCGTAATTTTTGCTTCAATGTTTAACATTTATGGGTTTGGAACGACACGAGGGTGAGTAAATTAGAGAATTTTTATTTTTGGGTGACCTATGCCTTTAACCGGGTACTTCACTGTAAAATCAGGCACAAAAAAGGAGTGCATGTAAGCAAACGGACAAAATAAATCAGCCATAAGATCGGAAAGAAAAATGAACAATGATGGATGATGGCATGTGTATGCTCACATACCTCCCTTCTTCCATCTCAATCTATCTCCAAGGCACTATCTTTCCTTTTAAAGTCCTCCCTGAGGCGGTTCTCCTCAACACACTCTCCCACCTCCCGTCTTCCCTGTACATCCTCTCTCTCTCCTCCCTTCTCCTCCTCTCCTTCTCTCGTCTCTCCCTCATCCTCCGCCTCTGTTCCCTCACTGCTCTAGGCAAAAGAATCGGCAGCTTGCTGGGTCTCTCCCTTCGCAGCAACCCGAAGGCCTGCAGCCGTTTCAGGTAATTCTGCGGCAGTTCCTTCAGTACACGCTTGGCTAAGCGCAACACCACGGAGTTAGCCAGGTCTGTCAAAGTGCCGAGAGGTCGCCGGACAAACCGGCGTCCCAAAAGCAGGAACCGTGCGAACAGAACGGAGTGTTTGCTTTTGGCCTCATACTGTGCAAAAAGGCTATTTAAAGGCACAGGGATTCGGGACTGTCGCCCACCCCAGTTGCGTCCGGCTTTAGGGAACATGTCGTAGAGGCTGCGCTCGGTCAGGCCACCCAGAAGAGACTGGCACACAGTGAAAAGAGGCTTTGGCAGTCGAAAAAGAACTCGCATCCAGAGGCGATTGAGTTTGCGTGGAGTGTTTTGGAGGAAGACCCTGGCCGGACGGACGACCAGGACCACCACAAGGTAAAGGGTGAGGAAAAGTGAAGGCGAACTGAGAAAGGAAGCAGAGATCAAGGCTACGGGGACGTAATAAAGTCCTAAGCTTAACGACAAACCCAGACTGAACAGGCCTGAGCCCCAATATGTCAGTGAAAGGTATGTGGAAAATGAGAGCGAGCAGCAGGAACGCAGGAATAGATAGGAAAAGAAGAGCGCCAGGAAGGCAAGCTCACCAGAGAGAAGGATCGAAGCGAGCGAAGGAAGAGGAGGGGAGCGGCGCAACGATAGCAGGAAGACGGAAAGGAAAAGAATGGTGAAGACGGATGGCTGCATGGCAGCCGAGAGCGAAAGAACGAGGCAGATTGCGTGAGAAAAGAGCGAGGGAAGGGTAGGTTGGGTAGAGGGAGGAGTGTAGGCGGGCGGAGGTTCCAGCTCTTCTAACGTATCCGGAAAGTAGAACTCGGAGAGTTCGTCTGCGTCACGCTCTAGTGGGCGGCGCTCAAAAGAAGGGGCGGGAATTAGCTCTGATGGACAGCCATCGGCCACACCTCTATCCTCGTCCTCACACTCTGAGTCGCTAGCATCATCCCACAGAAGCCCTTCTACTTGTCTGGGATCGGCGTCAATTTTGCCCTCAACATATTGCTGTTCATCTAACGACATTTCAGTTTGATCTTTTGCACTTTCGTTTGCATTGTCAGCTGATGTTGCAGCATCTTCCACTTTCCCTTCACTGTCTATTGTTTCACATTGGTCAGTAAATATCTCTTCAGTGTCATTTCCTTCAAGAAGCTTTATTTCCCTCTCAGCTTGCTCAGCTGTGTCTTCAACAGCACCTACCGGCTGCCTCTCGTCCCCATCTATCTTTTCTCCATCTCTCTTTCCTTCATCCTCTAGCTGTTCCTTTGGCTCCACCCCTTCATTTTCAAGCCCCTCCCCCTCCCCAAGAGGCCCCTCCCCTTCTGTATCCTCTGTAATGTCACAGTCACTCACTCTCAGACTCTTGGGTTGCTGGCGGACTTCGACGGCGTGCTTTTGCCGAAGCTCTTGTTCACGCCGTTTATTGTACTCCATCTGGTTGGTGAGCTCGGTCTGGTGCTGCGTCCGGATCAGGTCGGCCCGTGTGCGCTGCACCAGACCCAGCTGCCGAAACTCCAGCTCCTGAGTCGACTCGTGATGGCGAAGCAACATGGCGCACTCTAGATCTTTCAAAGTCTGTTTCTTGTTCAGGTCCTACATTGAGACAAGTATATGGAAAGAAAGGAGGCAGAGATGGAGGATGGTGGTTAGAAAAGCATCAGGCAACTGTGGTCAGGCATAAATGAGTACATGGTATTTAATTAGTAGTTTACATTAGAATGGTGTCTTTTAAGAGCTCCCTTTGGAAAGTGTTGGCTGTGTGGAAGACATTCATTTGCAGTTGCGAGTAGGAGCATCTACGTCAGACCTTGATCATTAAACTCGCTGCGGTGTTAAACATTATCATTAACTAAAGCTAAAACCATAAAAAACATTCTCATTATTTGAAATAAAAAAAATTGTTTACACTGGCCATATTTGCAGTGTTTCCCAATAATTGCCTAGACTGTGGCGGCCCCCCACAATTTAAAAAATATCTTTTAGCCTTATATATCTTCTGTCAACTGAGCTAAAATCATAAATCACAATATGGTTTAGTGTGCTTATCAAATAATTAAATCATAGCCTCTTGCTAAGTAACAAAGTATATAATCTGAAGCGCAGCAGCAGCACATCCAGTGTTTGCGGCGTCTTAGAGCGGCTCGCTTCACAGTTAATGCAGTGAACTCCATTCTTGATGTACTGAGTTTAACGTGCATTTATCAGTCCCTCCAGAAAAACGCGATTATGCGATCGCATGATTTAGTGCATAATCAGCCAAAGTCCGCATATTTATGCGGGGGCCGCATTTTTTCAAATACGCGCACTTTCGCCGCATAAATTGACGATTTCCGTGCAAAATATGCAGGGCTTGCATGATTTCATAATCCTCGCATTTTCATTGCAAAAAAGTTTGCTTCACACAAGAGCAGCCGTTTCCCCCTGTTGCCATGGGAACGCTATGAAGTGACGCAATTACGTGGTGTGAACATCAACGAAAAGCTGTAAAACAGGAGCACACTTTATTTTTTATATTTTATTTATTCATTTTTACAGAAGTTGTAGTATATTCCTTTTGTAAAACTACAGAACTAGTTTGACTCAATGTTTTGTAAGTTTGGTATTTTTATTAAGGTCTGAAATAAAACAAGATGAGAACTTAAATATTCCCAGCACTTTCTGTGATGTAGTATGCTTGCTTATCATAGGAAGTAATAAGAAATTATTCTTTACATTAAGGTAGAAGCCTAATGAGAACAGGGTGTTGGGGGAATCACTTTTTTCCTCTTTTTCATCAAAACGCATTTTTTGCAAGTTCCCACAATTTCATCGCATTTTTAAAGAAAACGGGGCACATAATTAAGGATTTTTGCCCGCAACAATCACAAAAAAACTCTGCGTTTTACTGGAAGGACTGATTTATGAATGCTATGTGTACCAGTTACGCTTTATTTTCACATTTGCCAAAAAGTTATGGACTTAACTCTTGCAAGTGAAGAAATTAAGTTTTGTAATTTTACTGCTGTAGTGTGTAGTATAGTAATTTATATACTTATTATCAAATATTTATATTTTATTTTACAATGCAGTTGTATTACAATGCAGTTGTATTACAATACCAATATATTCCTTGGAGATAATAATAATAAAAACTTAATCTGGTTACTCATAAGTGGTTGGTGCTGTTTCTTTTCACAGGCATTAGATTGATGCAATTAACTTTAAAATATTCAAAAGTTTCTTCCAGGGGACCATCCACCACAGCCTCACAAAATCCTTTGTAAAAAACTGCATGTGACTGACAACATAAGCAAATAAACCAGTTTGTCCTTTGTGAATAAGCGGTCATCTGAAACACAAGCTGTGTCACAGTAGAGTCATGCAAATTAATAATAACAAATGATTTTTATGGTTTAATGGTTTTTTTCGCTAGTACCTCTCTGAGCAGGTCTTGCTCCATGTTGTGGCGAGATAGCAGCATCTTCCTCTTGTATTGGCGACACTGCAACTCGTAATATTGCCTCTGTCTGCGTAGTAACCCTGCCTCTTCCTCCGCCTGGATCTGCTGGAGACACTCCTTCTGCTGAACCAGCCACTCCTGCTTCTCGCGCTTCGGCGTGGACTGGTTCTCATTGAGCTCCTGCACAAGGGGCGAAAATACTCAACACTACATCTGAGCAAACCCACAGGCAAATCAGATTCTGACGTACCTCTTTAAGTTGCTCTTTTCGCTGCCTGTACTGGCGTTTCTGAGACTCAAGCAAGCTGGTCAACTCCTTCTTCTGCTGGCCCAAGATATGCTGCTGAAACTTCTTCTCTTCTGTGAGAGCACCCTTAGTCTATGGTAAGACAAGGAGAAAAGAAAAGTTGTTGTATTTAAATTCATTGCCATATCATCTTCACAGGCTATTACATGCCAGATACAGATTCAACATTCAACAAACTATAAATACAAACACTTTATCAAATTAAAATATATATTTTAAAAAAAGCAAATATTTTATATAAATGAAAATATAGCCTATATATATTAAATATTTATATAATTAAAGAAATTATAAATTTTCTTTTACAAAAATATGGAGAAAAGACTACAAAATGTATATAGAACACTATCAAAAGATTCTTTGATAATGTACTTGTGATGATAAAATTATTTACTTGTGATACAAAATAAGTTTTTCAGAGTTTGCCATATAAAACCCGTTGTCTCATGACATTTAAAATGGGCAGATTGGCAGAATAAAACGGCTCTCAGCCTGACTTTCACTCACTATCTCTCTTTGTGTGTTCAAGGCAGAGATGGTAGGTTGCTCCTTTAGGGGAGAAAGGTCAGTGGGTTTACTGTTGGGCCAACAAGTCAAGGATGGGGGAAAGTCTCATGTGTGCCGGAAGGATCCTATATTTGGACCGGTTATTCTCTTTTCTGTAGCATTTCTATATGAGGTCGTGTACACTTCTTATCGGATGAATCCCTGTACCACCCCTGAACATATCATATTAGCTACATAAAATCAAACTTTGAAGAAGGAAGCTTAAACCTTCTTCCCTCCGCTGAGTTATTCAATCCTGTTAAATAAAGAACTGAAAAATGATGACGACACAAGAAGAAATCATATAACACAGATAACAAAACACATGCTTTACAGACAGGTCATTTATCTAATTTATACTGGTTGATTAGAGGTCAGGAGGTGGGATTTATAAAGAAAAGAAATCTGAAACCATCTAGCATTGTTTCCTCCACTCACCTCTTTCTCCAGGAAGACCTGGTGCTTCTTGCCAAGCTTGTCTGCTTCACTGCCGAAGTTGTTTCTCTGCGTCTCCAGTTCTTTGTCAAGCCTGAGCTGATGTTCGTCCATCTCTGCCTTCAGCTTGTTCTCCAGAGCCATCAGCTGTTTCTGATGCTGCCGCCTCATGCGTTTGTATCCGGACATCTGCTCTCTCAGCGCTGAGCCCTGCTCGTGCTCCTGGATCTGACGGGTCACCAACGAGGCTGTGCGGATTGTGGCGAAGTGGTCCCGTCCTCGACGTCTGCGACCACCAGAGGGGCCCTGGGGCTGGGACTCCACCTCCGGCTGGTACGGGTCGTCATAGATGTTATCGTGGATCTGTGTGGGGGAATCATGAAAATAAATCTGTGCATGTGTGTATATATTTATACACACACATGCATAAACTACCTGTATAAAAGTTTAGAATAAAGAATTGTTCGTGTTTTTAAAAGAAGTCTCTTCTGCTCACCAAGGCTGCATTTATTTGATCAAAAATACAGTAAATATTGTTAAAAATTATTACCACTTAAAATAACTGTCTATTTGAATATATTTTAAAATGAAGTTTATACCTGTGATTCAAAGCTGAATTTTCAGCATCTTCAGTGTCACATGATCATTCAGAAATATTTCTAATATGCTGATTTGGTACTCAAAACCATGATACACTACCATTACAAACTTTGGGGTAATTAAATCATTAAATTGATCGGTAAAGACATAATGTTACAAAAGATTTCGATTTCAAATAAATGCTGTTCTTTTGAACTTTCTAAGAATCTTGAAAAAATAATCATGTTTTCCACAAAAATATTAAGCTGCAATGTTTTCAACACTGATAAGAACCATTATGAAAAAAATTGAGGACCAATTATAAATGCTAATTATTATTTTTGATCAAATAAATGCAGCCTTGGAGAGTATAAAAGACTTATCAAAAGTATTGATTTTTTTTTTTTTTTATGCAATTTGACGAAGTTGCTTCACCAAAAGCAGCTCAAACAAAGCCATGGACACGTACCAGAGGTTTGTGCAGCACCGAGCTGTTGGAGGTCACTGTGTGTTCGCCCTCCTGCATCATAGCCATCTCTCCACTGTCATCCGAACCATCTGCAAGGCTGTTCACTGAAGAACTCTGGGAGCTGGCACTTATCGACATAGACGGCAGCGAATGGGAGCTCTCCATGCTGTTCACCGTGCCCGTCCGCAACATATACTGCTCTACATCCTGCAAAACACAAGACTGCATTTAAAAACAGAAACTACGATACCAGCAGGTGATGGTTACATTTTTAAAATCACCCGGAAATCCCATTTGCAAAAGAAAAAACATGGAATCTAATTGAAACATTTAACCCAGATCAATCCTATTAAAGGGTTAGTTAGATTAAAAAAACACCATAATGTGTGATCTAGAGCTGTGGAATATAATTGTTTTCATCCCAATGCTGATGTGAAGGATTCTGCACTGATGCATAAAAACTAAAGAATCGCTTTTTTAAAATGTAATTAAATATGTTGTAATGTTTTATTGAAAAATAAGAACTCTTGAGTATTAATAAAAAGTTACTTAGCAAATAACTTACATCCACTACAAACAATTGTTTTGTGTTTACATATTACTTTAAAAAAAATCTTAAAAAAAAGTCTAAAAAGACAGGTTGTCTTGTAATTTGACGTGCTCTTTTGTTTGAAAATAGTTGTTAAAAAATGTTACGCGTGTGTATTATTAACAAAAGAACTGGATGACAAGAGTCAATATGATGTATCTATCCGTTGCTCCCTGAATAGAAATCAAATCATGAGGAAAGATAAGATTCACACCTATAGTGTGTTTATAACCCATTTTACATCCATAATGTGATGGATTACGGACAAAGAAAATGTCCATTGATTGATTAGATTGTGAAAAGTGCTCTTTATAACAAAGGTTGAAAAATACAAAAATACAAAAAGAAAAGCTATTCAGAGTCAAAGCAAGTCATTACACACTATAAAGCTCTCATATAACTAAAATAAGATCATTCGAGAGTTCATATTGACTTTAAGGCTAGCTAAATCAAAGAGCCAATTTGCCATTGTGTCACAAACAAAATCACTCAAGCACAACGGTGCAAAGGAACAAAAGACTCCCAACTCCAAACGTTTGAAACATGAGCTGAAAAACGTCTGAAACGCAAGTGAATAGACAAAACAATTTAACAAACCCTAAATTGTTTATGTCTATTGTTAAAATTCGTCTCTGGTTCAATGATCTAACAATTGGATGAGAGTAGCCACCCAGGCTGACGTGTTTATTGTACTGACCACATTTGATGTTTCCAAATATAGCTCTTCTACTGCAGTGTAAACAGATGAACTGACTCTTTCAAATGTGAGGGATTCAGAAAATCAAAGTTCCTTTTTTTTTGACAACCAGACAAGCTGAAAGGTTCTCCCACCTCTTCCTCCTCCGTCCCCTCAGTCGCAGGCCCATTATGCGTTTCATGGAAGAGGATCTTCTTCATCTTTCGGTATTGCAGGTTATCTAACTCCCTCACAGCGTCTTTAGTGCGTGCTATCAGATCCATCACCGCTGTCACTGGACGCTCACGGCACAGGAAGTGATGCTGGAGAAACAAAGCAGAGATGTTTATAGAGAGCCTAAGTCCCTCCCCTCCGCTTCCGGCTCATGGGTCCTTATTTCCGAAAAAATATGTATGGTAGTCAATGGTGAGAGACAACTTAACTTTTTATTCCGTCTGAACTGTGCCCTGAATAACACATATGATGTTTGTCAATTTAAAAGATAATTAAGTCAAGAAAGTCGCAGTTTGTCATAAAACAGAAGAGTAACATTTAGTTTTTTGTGAAAATCACTCAATGAACTACATCTCCCAGGAAGCGAAACAACGAGCGAGATCCGCTGCTCGTGTGTGTGCAGTCTGGTACAAAACACTCAGGCATGACGGCGTAACGTTACGATTATAACGGAAGACTATAGAACAAATGACAGACGTTAGCTTCAGTAAAGTTAGCTTCACTCATTGAGAGAAAATGTGCGCCTTTTGGGGTTTGTAGTCTTTTTAATTACGTATTTTCACAGTCTTATACCTCAACAGTTTTACATCAAACTGCGACTTTCTTGACTTTAAAATGTATCTTTTAAATTGACAAACATCATGTGTAATTCAGGGGACAATTCAAACGAGATCAAAATATTTGTTGTCTCTCGCCATTGACTACCATACAATATTTTTCCGAAATAAGGTCCCATGGTGGTCGACCGGAAGGGGAGGGGCTTAGGCTCTCTATTTCCAAACAGCAATTACTGGGATGCATCGTGCTCAGAAAGTGTAACATAAACAGGCTTAAAGCTCCTCAAAAGACGTTTACTTTAAGCAGCACATCAGAGGTAGGTCTGTCCTGGGCAATCTTCTGCAGACACGAGTCTACGAAGTTACGGAAATAATCTGACCTGAGAGATTGGGAAACAAAATATGCAAATTAGTTAGTTGAATGTAGTGCAATTCAAAAGGCACATCCTGTTAGAGCTACTTGGTACAAATTGAATAGTGTTAACGCCTTAGGCATCAAGTTGATACTAAATTGGGTATGATTTGACCACGATCTAACAGTCATAAACATGTTTACGTGCCTGCTCTCTGCAGAGCTTTGCAAATCACAGAGATACAGCTACACATGAGAATGATCAAATGCACTTCTATGTATTCAAAACGCCCAAATATTTTATATAATTTGGGTTATACTGTAGATTAGGGTCCAATTCTCACTATTAATCTCGACTTTTGCCTCAAACTCCTAATTGCTGTTTATTAATAGTTAGTAAGGTAGTTGTTAAAGTTGCAATAAGCAATTTCTAGTAAACACTAGGGATGTAACGATTCACTCATCTCACGATGCGATGCACGATACTGGTTTCACGATACGATTTTCTCACGATTTTTTTAACAAATGAGATTTAAGACAAAAGTGTCCCTTTTATTATTTCTCAGACAAAATGCTGCACATTTCTTTTTAATTAAAAAAAAATATTTGTCAAATAATGAAACTACATTAAAAAAAATCCCTTCAAGGTTGTTTCAACTCAGTCTGTTTGGTCAAGAGGCTGGACACGGGTACCTTCGCACACTATGTAAAAAACAGGGGTTTGTTTGGTACTGAGTACCAGAAATGAGTACCAGAAATGAGATTCTAATTTTGTTATAATTTGTATCATTACACTAGTAAGAGTTAAAAAAAACATATTTAGAGAAAGAGATAGTAAAATAAATACAACACCTGGTTGCCACGGAAACACTGATGCACCTTGTGATCTCCGAGGCTCTCGCAATTGTCGCATTAATGACTTTTACATGAAAACGGAGGTGACTGGTGCTTCTCACGGTGGTGATTATTATTAGTCTACGGAAAGTCAAAATGGCGCCACACCTCCGATTTGAATGAGTCAACGCTTGCCGTCGCCATGTCTACTGTTTGACGGCGCGTGCACACCGGTCTATGGCACACACTGGTGCGGCGCGAGCGGAGCAAACCGAGCGTTTTCAGTTCATTCCTATGGAAGTTGAGCTTGGCTCACACAAGATCAAGTTCCATGAATGTAGTGAAAACACTCGCTAGCTGCACGCCAGTGTGTGCTCGCTGCTATTGTGCCTGTAAAGCGAGGTTCACAACTTCACAGTAGGCTACAGTAAACGCGCCCTGCTGTTTAAAATGTGTATCGCGATTCGTTGAACATTTCAACCGACTTGAATCGTCACACATTTTTAACGATTTTCAACCGGATGCGAGTGAATCGTTACATCCCTAGTAAACACTGTTGATATTTGAAATCACCAAAACAAAGACGCCCGTACCCAAAAAGATCCCACCCCGATCTTGATGCCTTTACTTAATTACTCATTTTATTTGAAGGCTCCACGTCACTATAGTATCGTATATATATACACAATAATAAATTGCACATAAACTACAATATTTTAAATATAAATCATATTATCTAGCATTTTAAATAAGAGTATTTTTAACAGCATATGTTTGCTGTAGTATGGCAAATGGTTTTAAGCTTTTCTGCAATCCCTGTTCAGAATGTTTGAGGTATATCAATACAGCGCTGCTGAAAACACATAAAAAGCAAGAAGATCTTTGACAGTGTGAATGAAGCTTTTCTGGTTCCCTACCAGTGATTGGACTGCAGGACTGGGCTCTCGTTCTGGGCGATGTGGTATAAGGCACTCATAGCATTCATGTTAAACAAGGGAGGCTTTCTCTCTGCTACAATAGAGTAAAAAGAAACAAGAAAGCAGTTAGTTGCAAGGCATCTATTATAAGTATATTACTGTAAACTTTCATCTTAAGAGGACCCATTATGCTTTTTTACATATTCAGCTTTCTTTAGTGTGTAATGTTGCGGTTAGATCCCCAAAGTGCCAAAGTCCCTCCAACGGGAGTTATTCTCCATATCAGTGTCACTGTTTCTGAACTCCCTGAAACTCTGAGAATGAACACGTCAAAATATTCCTCATTTAAATAATTCCAAAAACTCAAAAGCATCGTGAGCTAAGTTGATCGGAAAGACCATTGGTGGCAATTAGGGTTGGGCCGATGGACGATATCATCGTCCATTGTGATGGCTGACAGACATCACGATGTTTAGACGGCATCGGCTAAACATCGTGTGCCCCCCCCCCGTTTCCATGGTGACGCGTCATGCTTGGCACGTGATTCACCACAGCCAAAATAGCGCTGTATGACAGATTTAGCGCTTTTATTTCTAAATGTTAACAAACTTGCTTAGCATGTCATGAACTATCTTCTATTCCGATTCTCAAATATGTGTAAGTGAGTTTGTTTTGTCGTTCAAAAAAAACTTTATAAATTATCTTGATCTGTAACGTGAGATGGGCTCCGTGTTTGGGCCGCAGTTCAGAGATTTCTGTCTGTTGGATTTATTACAGCGCGTCAATTCATCAGTTTCTCCCGAAATACATGAAAGTAAGTGGCCGGTGAACTGGGAGAAAAATAGAGTTGACTTTATAGTTATTTACACTGTCTCTCTGATATGAATAAAAACTGTCGTCAAATATATTTGAATGGGTTGTTATTGCTGCTTCCATAGACACCATTGTGTATTTTACAAACTATAAATGTATTGTTTTGCTATAAATTATATGTATTTAAATGTTTAAAATAACGTAATATGGCCTCTATAATATTTTGTCTGTGGTAAGCCACAAATGTGAAATATGTCAAGCATAGAAATGGTACATTTTCACGCCAGAGATGTACTGGTCCCGTGTTCCCTTTCAACATACAACTCATAGGTGTTCTCTTGCACATCACACATGACTCACCAAGCTCTATGCAGGTAATGCCGAGTGACCACACGTCAACCTTGCCATCATATTGCCCTTCATCCATAGCAAGGATTACCTCTGGAGCCATCCTGCAAACAGAGCACAGATTGGTCATAACTCTCCTAACAGTAATTGACCAGATGATCTCATTATTTGCAACAATCTAATGTGCAAGAAAACCATTTAAAATGATGTTTAACTCATGTGTAAGGGTATATTTCTGCCTAATATGTTGATAAAAGGTGTAATTAATGGGAAGTGCTTTTGTACCAGTAAGGTGTGCCCACAAAGGAGTTGGCAGGAGCAACAATGGAGGCAGAGCCAAAGTCTCCCAGTTTGACCTGGCCAGGCTCAGTCAGTAAGATGTTACCTGCTTTCACATCCCTATAAAAGGAAGAAACATTACAGATTCAAAGAAGATATGTTGTAACTGAAGGCGACAGCCAAAATGATTTGCAGAGTTGACAAAACTGGATCATAAAGAAAATATATCAGAATGCGTTTGCATTAGGGGTGTGCGATATTGACGAATTATATCAAGATATTTTCTGCGATTTTGTCAAAAACGACAATTAGACAATATTTAGCTGAATGTGTTTTTGTGCTGGTACCTTGGTTAGTTTAGACCTGTCATAGACATCTGACTCCTGAAGCTTTGCATAGTCGTCATATTCTGTGTGGTGTTCAGTTCACAGTACTGACTGATATGTGCCAGCTTAAGGGGCATTTTTACCTTTATAAAGTTATTTTTCTAACATTATTAGATGCATGCATCATCTTTTACATCATATTCCCTCATTTAATCAATAAATTCAATTAGAATAATAAGACACTATAGGCGGTTAACAATCAAATGAAACTATAAAAAAAAAATCTATTTTTGCACTGCAGAAGCAGCATTTAGATGCATTTACACTGCAATTACAATTGCTTAAATAATGCTATGAGATTAAGGTTTTAAAAAATAATATTTTGAAATGATTTAGACTTTTTACATTATGAAATGATACTTTAAGTATGAAACTAAAAATGCAAGTAGGTGGCAGCATATTGTCCTAATGATCGATTAATTCAACCGATTTGTTCAAACGGCTGATTCATTCTGAGACTAAGTCTGTCTGAAATCGCCCCCATACCCTTAAATAGCGCATTATTTGAGAGTACAGCCGTTTGTAGGAGTGTACCATAGTGGACGTTATCGGGGACATTAAATCCCATGATGCACCGCAATAAGTGTACAACTGATGTATGCTCAACGTCTAGAGAATACCCATAATGCACTGTGACGATTGCGCCAAACGAAGATTGCGAAACATCCATCCATCCATTTTCCAAACCGCTGGTCCAATGTGGCTACAGCGTAATATCATACAGGTATAAATTGCTTTTTAATTGATTATTAAATTGTTTAATTAAGGTTTATACATAGTTTCCATGACAGAGCTCAAGATAAATCTTTTCATTTCTACTGGAGCTGCCAGTTTGCTACGTTTCTGATTATTAAATAGCAAGCACAAACTATGTAGAAGCGGAAGCCCTTCCGGCGCACTCAGCATCCGAATTCACTCACTCGTTTTCATTCACTCCTTTAAGTAGACTATATTAGTAGTAATTAGGGTATAGGGGTGATTTTGAACAAAGCTCCAGTCCTTATGAATGGATCATAGAATCATTGATTGATTTGTGCAAAAACTATAGTTGCTTGAAGATTGCACAACGGTTCTGTTTAGGATTTGTTTGGAACTATTTTCATTGGTGAAAAAACAAAAACAGACAATATTAACAATATTATGTCTGAAATGTAACTTCTTGTTTACTGAACTGTTGTATAAAATCAAATCACATTTGCAACCGTGCTAATATTTGGGATAAACTGCATGCTTGTTTGTGTAATACTGCTCAACTATATCATATAGAAATATAAGAAAAACTCTTTTTAGTCGCCCATATCTTGAATTTTGGAGTCAATCTACTAGGCTACATCACGCAGTAAAAGTGCACTCTCGAGGTGTGTGTGTGTTTGTTTTTTGTAAAGTGTGTGACATGCTAGATAATGACAGCTTCCACATCCTTAAAACAACATTTATATATTATCGTATACCAGGGGAGTCCAAACTCGGCCCTGGAAGGCCTGTGCCCAGTAAGAACTTGATTAACTGGTTCAGGTGTGTTTAACTGGGGTTGGAGCTAAACGCTGCAGGACAGTGGCCCTCCAGGAGAAGTACTGGACACGCCTGTTGTAGACAATACACATCGCACACCCCTGATTTGCGTGATGCTCTTGAAAATCAAGACTCAAGCTGCTCTGTACCTGTGAATCATGTTGTGCGAGTGGAGGTATACCAAGCCCTGCAATGCACCGTGAGTAATCGCTGCTATCTCCACTTCCTGTAGTGGTTTCTTGTGCACTGGGAAAGGGGAAGAAAAAAAGTGGGATCCTGTTTTTAGTTTCTGCAAACTTCTTGACCAGTGACGTTTTACACTTCCGCATCTGACCGAACAGCTGTAAACATCCACATGCTCCCTGAAACAATTCACTCACCTTCTAGCAGATCCGAGGCAGAGCCCAAACAGTATTCCATCACCAGCTACAAGAAAAGTAGAACAGGAAGATCAATGAGAGGTAGACACAGAAAAGAGAAAGGTAGAGATAAAGAAAAGGTTTTATTGCTGTTAGCAAGCAAAAGTGTTGCATGTAGGGTTGCTATTGTAGTAAATGGAAACAGTGTTAGCGGGTCAGTACATTCTCTTCCCTGAACGAGGCTTTTGAAAAGCGTTCAGCCTCCCTCCCACACACAGAAACACTCACCCATGCTGTGTGTTCGCGCAGGTAGCAGCCTCTATACTCCACCGTGTTGGGGTGCCGCAGCTTTTGAAGGAACTTCACCTCTTTGACGATATCCTGCCATTTCTACAGCAGGAACAAGAGAACAATGAAACCATCAAGGGACTATTCAGCGTCGGCTTCTGCTCTCCTTCAGTTCAAATTTCTGATCTATGTGATTGTGTGAAACAGCCGAAAGTGCGTTCTTGCAAATGTTGTGTGGCATTGCGGTGAGATTTCAAATGAGGCGTAGCGTGGCACTTGGCGTTCAAGTGTTCTGCAGCACAGTGAAGGGAGTAGTTTCCACTGTTTAAATGGCACAACGGTCTATTTCGGCCAGAGAGATGCTGTGTGATTTGCATAATTTGAATGCAATGCTGGGGCTTGCAAAGAGCAGAACGTGGTACCAGTCAACACAAAAAACACTATGAACTGCAGGGCTCTAGAGTGCGACCAATTTGGTCGCACATGCGACCAAAATTTGTAAGGGTGCGACAAGAATTTTTCCTAGGTCGCACCAGTGCACCTAACGTTCTCGCATGATCGCAATCGCATCCGCTGCCTCTCCGCTGCCTCTCACGATATGGTTGGATCATATCGTGGTCTAAACCAATCAGAGATAGAGATTGGGTGGGTCTTTGCCTCTGATTGGTTGTGGTTCAGATATTCCTGTAGGACTAAAATGCTCCGTGCTGTGTGATTGAAATAAATTGCGACCTGTCACCTGAGCACCAGAGAATCAGTTATGGCAATCAGCAGCATCAGCTAAATAAACGCAAGAAAACAGACGACGAAGAAACTTTTAAAAATGTAGGCTACTTGAACTAGGTAAAAATATTGATTTCTCGATTCTCATTGATTTTTACGAACCGTTGGGCTATCAGTTGATGAATGAATGGAACATTGTAGCGAGCATCCCATCCAATAAATCACAATAATCTTTGTGCTTTGTTACTATTGATATGAAACAAAGTCTCAGATTTCAAATTAGGTCCATTTTCTTACGAAATTCAAAAACATAAATAGTGTATTGACGCTGTGGCGTGAGATCGCTCTGGCTCAGCTCAGCTCAGGAGAAGCAGCAGCGCGAGCGCACATGATCTTCTCTTCCGCCTCAATAATACCAGTTACAGCGCGAAATAAACATGAACGAGCATCTGAAAGTGTTAAAAGATATAGTACAACTTATCGAAATCCGTATTATGTCACATGGAATCGCTCAATCGGTGTTTCAACCGTGGAAAGACATCAGTAAAACGCTTGTAAACAATGTAATGTAACGCCACATTTACCTCAGAAAAAACATATCCAGTGCCCATAAACGCGTTAGCTAGCTAGAAAAATTAACTCTAGAGAAGCATTGTGCCTAATATATGCACCATATTACATATTCATTATAATTTTTTATGTTTTTCAATATTTAATGCATGTTGTTTGAAAAAAATCTGGCAAGTTTTTATGCAGCCACCATTTAAATGTTTATATTTCATATAACTTTATTATTATAAAAAAAAAGTGTAATTTAGGTGTTTGTGTACAAATCAGGTAATTTTTACCTTCAATATTATAGTAGGCTAATGAAGCATAGTGGGCTACAACTGACTCCCAGTTTACAGCATTAGTTGAGATTTGTTTTTCTTGAGAAAATTTGCCATGTACTGTACCTGATATCCAATATAATCAATATTGAATCGAATTGTGAAATTTGTGTCAATATCCTGCCCTAACTTGAACAATGTAAAAACAGCACTTTAATTTAAAAAAAAAAAAAGATTTATATTTTTATATACAGTATAATTGTGCTTCAAATAAAAAAAAAAACTACACCTTATTCTTGTTTAAAAGCATTTACATAATATACATGAATATATGGAACGTGATAAAAAGGTGACCTTGAAATTGTGGCGTTAAAGGCGACGCGAGACGAGGAAAAATTTGAGTGCACCTAAATTTTGTGCTGGTGCACCTAAATAAAAAAGTTAGGCGCACCAGTGCAACCAAGGCAAAAAGTTAGTCTGGAGCCCTGAACTGCCTTCCTGTCTAGTGCCTACACAGGCAGCATCCGAACTGTAACCTCATAAGAGCGATTTAAAAATGATTTAAAAATGCCCAATATGGGAACCAACTTGAGGAGACTTAACTCAGGGTTCAAAGGTGGCCACCCACTTTTTTTACTGGCCTCATTTCCGAAAGTATTTTTCCCCATAGAGGTTATTCTAGAGTCTTCGTTTAATAGTTATAAGCCATGAACCAAACCAACCAGCTACGAGGAGGATCACAACAACATTACAAACTTAACAAAAAAAGTATAAAGAGTACAAGGAAAGAAACACAATCCCATGAAGCATTGAAAATGACAATCAAATTGAAAACGTAGGAGAAATATAAAAAGACTGGGTAACACTTTAGTTTAGGGTCCAATTCTTACTATTAACTAGTTGCTTATTAGCATGCATATTACTAGAATATTGGCTGTTTATTAGTGCTTATAAAGCACATATTAATGCCTTATTCTGCATGAACATTTTCTACATCCCTTAATCACCCAATACCTAAATTTAACAACTAACTTACTAAGTATTAATAAGCAGTAATTAGGAGTTTACTGAGGCAATAGTCATAGTTAATAGTGTGAATTGGACCGTAATCTAAAGTGTGACCAAAGAGTTCTTTTGGCACAATTTGCTTGTTTTGATTCTCTGATTGGTAGAGATTTCATTGCAGAATCGTGGGTAATGTAGTTTTTCACCAGGAATTCCATTGTTAAATAATTACTTTAAAAAATAAGTTGAAATAATGCAGACTCACGGCTTCAACAAAATCACGTACAATCAATTAACCACCTCATAGCTCAAAGTAGTTCTGTTTTTAAAGTTTATAAGATACCATTAAAAAATAATTTTCCTATGGAGAAAAAGAATGGGATTTTTACTTCTATTGACTTCAACGGAGTTTGCTGTTAAAAAGTAGCTAAGCTAACAATGCAACACTCTAATAAGCATAAAAAAGCATGTTTATTAGCAACTACGTTGCTGACATTTCTCAGTTGTAACTGAATTGTTCTCGTTTGTCAACCATCTTTAACAGATTTTTCCACTGCATAAGTGCGTATGCTGCAGTGCATCATGGGATTGGAGTATGCTTTGTGTGTACACTGGAGTAAGCATACAGTGGTGTAAATTTTCATTATCAGCATGACTTTATATTTTTGGCACAAGGTGGAAACACTGCCTCAACCCGTTATTTCATAGTCAAATAAGAAACAGATCATGAGACACAAAAACTACCAGAGATGACATTGACAAGTGCTTGTGTAAAGGTTTATGAAATGCACGCAAATCTAGTTTAAACAAATGAAAAAACATTTTGTATCACTCAACATCTGGAGAAAAATAGTGCAGACACTGGACAAGGATGAAACCTTCTAGTGCGCATGCTTCGACCGCCCGCATTCACCCACCCACTTTGAAAGGCTACGTGTTCGGCTGTGAACATACACAAGGCGTTCACCTCAAAACTGAAGGCAGTATAATGACTCTGCTACCATTTTAAAACATCCTTTGTGTGAGAAGTCTGCCTATGATGCCTAAAAATGCTTCCCAGGGAGGCAGCTCAATAGGTTTTGGAACAGAGCCATCATCTTGCTCTTACATAAAGCCACCTGCATGATGTTCGAGATTTCTTGCAGACTGATTCTAGCCAAGTCTGCAAGAAACCAAAAATACAGGAACGCTGCGTGTTGCTGTGTTTGTGTTCACCTCATTAGATTGCTTGCCACTGTAGGACATCTTCTTGATGGCCACCACCTCATTGGTGCGGATGTCATGGGCCTATAGGAAGTGGACAAATAAAAGCAGAAACGCATGAGGAAGAGAGGCAAAGATAGTCACTTCATCTCTGTTCACTGAACTGTGCTACAGCTCTGAATGTCCTAATGGCCACTTACAAAGTAGACGGCTCCAAAGCTGCCATGGCCGATCTCACGCAGGTCTGTGAAGAGCTTCTCAGGATCCTCCTTGTAAAAAAGTTCCGCCACCTCCGGGTCCTTGAGACTCCCAGCCCGCACACTCGATGGCATGGCCAGCGCCTTCACACACACAAACAAAAGGAAGTTTGCACATTAACATCAGGGGCAACAACATCAGCATAGGATTGACTGGAAAAACCTAAAATACAACCATTAGGATAAACTAAACAGGGCAAATCAGATATAAAGCATCTACCCTGCATACAGCAAAACAACTCCAGAATCTAGGATACAGCTCAGGGTTAGCGCTGATAAAAAGGGGCCAGTCCTATATTTCTACAACAAATTATGAATAATTCATTCCAACAACCAAAAATAGAAACATTCAACATATCAAAAGTGCCATTCCCAAATATTGACCAGAACGGGCATCTGATCAAAATTAAACAAAGCTAGGGAAACCCTTAAAGGGATACTCCACTTTTTTTTTTGGAAATAGGCTCATTTTACAACTCCCCCAGAGTTAAACTGTTGAGTTTTACCGTTTTTGAATCCATTCAGCCGATCTTCGGTTCTGGCGGTACCACTTTTAGCATAGCTTAGCATACATCATTGAAGTGGACAAGACCATTAGCATTTCTAAAATAATTCTACTCTCATTCCTGCGTAATAATCAAGAAACTTTACTGCCGTACCATGAGAGCAGCAGGCGTAATGATATGACGCAGCGCCTGAAAATAGTTCCGTTGTGTTGACGGAAGGTGGCCTATTTTCAGGCGCTGCGTCATATCATTACGCCTGCTGCACTCATGGTACGGCAGTAAAGTTTCTTGATTATTACGCAGGAATGAGAGTAGAATTATTTTAGAAATGCTAATGGTCTTGTCCACTTCAATGATGTATGCTAAGCTATGCTAAAAGTGGTACCGCCAGAACCGAAGATCGGCTGAATGGATTCAAAAACGGTAAAACTCAACAGTTTAACTCTGGGGGAGTTGTAAAATGAGCCTATTTCCAAAAAAAGTGGAGTATCCCTTTAAGACTGTTCTTTTTTTTTTTTTTAATACATCATTATCTTTATCCAGGTCCTATAACAGTTAGAGCAGGGTTGACAATATTGATTAATTTGAATCGATCTTAACTCTGATGAACATTTATATTTTGTATTTAGATTTATCTGCCAATATATCGTTTTTCAAAATAAAGAATTATCATATCGTGCAAAATTTGGATACAAATGAAAATCAGAGCTAATGTGCATCGCTGGTATAAAGTGTGTGAATCACTAGGATTATTAGTTCAGTTTAATTAATGGGGTAATTGGAATAATTGAAAACTAATGAGACACACTCAACCAAGTTTAGCAGCCCTGCCTTTACTGAAAGGATATAAACCCAGATCTTCTCTAGATCTAGACTGATCCTCAAGTTTGTTTGTAGATCTCTGAAAGTTTCTGGAAACATTTTCAAAAATCCATTATATGAAAGAATTTTGTGTCCGATCTAAGGAGTGCACAAATGGATAAAATCAGTCCAAATTAATATTCCAGGAGGACACAAAAAAGCATCATGGGTGTGCATTGCAGGATAGAAAGAACCAAAACCACAGCGCTCCAAGATGAACATTGTTGCCAGTCTAAAGTTTGCTGAAAACCACATTTTTGGACAGGTTTGTGGACAGATGAGTCCAAAACAGAACTTTTTGTTTTATATGTAAAACCAGGATGGATTTGGCAGGTCTTCTGCAGTAAAATATCAAGGTGTCGGTCTAAGAACTGAAGTCCTGCGAGACAACGCAGAAGAAATATAACGTTTTGGAATGGACAAGGCAAAGTTTTGATCTTCACCCAATGGAAATGTTGAAATCAGTTCTTGCATGTAAATCAAAATCAGAGTTGTGCAGGACTGGGTTCACACAATGGCACTTCTCCCAATTTAAGTGAAAATAATAATAGTGTTTTTGTGCTATTTATTGAATTGGACTTTATGTATCTAGTTATACGGCTTAGATGATCTTGTCTCAATGCAGAAAACTCTTAAGGGTTCACCAACAGTCAAGCACCACTATATAATGAGATGCAACAGAGTGCATTATATAAGAACAACTAAAATGGGGCGATGATCTGAACCATCCACAATTGAAATGATTGTATGAGAATAATTGTGCTTGATTATGCATAACATAAGAGCATTCAAAAGCAGGATGCTGGACCAGACACCTGACTCACAATTCAGATTCACACCTCGGCATGACGCTCTGAGTCATGTTCATGTTAAGATTAAACACACATGCAAAAAAGATTCACCAGGAAAGAGAAATAGCAGATGAAATCTGAGAATATACAATGTGTGAGGAGAGGGAACTCTCACATACATAACAGGATTCTTTGTCAAACTTGTGTGACTTTAATGTTAACACTTTAATGCATGCCAGCATATTTCATAAATTAATTTCCAAGGCCTCTAAATTATCAGCAAGATCAAACACTTTGCTGACAAATAGTTGTACACGATCTACTACATGCTTTCTGTCATCTGATGTCCACCTTCAGGATGTGGTTGCTGTGAAATCTTTAATGATTTTTCCAAGTAAATGTAAGATTAACTTTTAAATTGTTAAAGATGTTCATCTGTCAATCATCACTGTATTGCAGTGCATATGATATGTAAGATTTTATGTAAGTAAAAGACCTCATTGATTTACATCACAAGCTATTAGAATTTCATCTTTCTTTTTTGCTAATATAAATAACATTTGCACTAAATTACATATTTTTGCTCAATTTGAGCCTCTGAATAACTTAGGCGTTTCTTTCTCCCAGAGTAAGAGCTCCATGTTCCCTATAATGTGCCATATAAGCCTCATGTATCAAATATGACAAAACATGCACACCTTTTTTTTTTTTTGATTTTCTATTATATTTTGTTTAAAGGTTCAATAACCTGTTCCATTTTTAAATGATTTGTAACTTGTATGTCAGGCTTTACTGGGTTAAATAATAGATTATGTTGTACAATCAGTTGAAGATGAAACGATGCGAATGTACGTAATGTTACATTGTGCAAGCCTATGAATGCAATTACCCAAACCACATCAAATGCATTGCAAAAAAACAGCTGCATATAACGTTTAGACAACAAAAATAACAGTTTAGCGATATTCCACGCCATGCATGTCATCCAGCCCTGCATTAAATGATTTACACGAGCCTGTCCTACCGTGGTTTATGGGATCCACTGTAGCTAGCTAGAGTCAGCTAGCTCCCGGCCTGCTGGGGAAAATCTGGCCTCTTCTTCTCCTTTCTCACTTCACAAAAAGCGATCGATTTGAATAGCGATCCATCTACTTCTAACGTAACGATCGCGATCAGCGGCCGGTAATCAGTCCGTTCATAATATAACTGAATGGATAATACTGTTGTTAACCGTTAACGGACTCGATCAGCTGATTGCCAAACACAACGGATGAGCACTTTACACCACAGTCCGATATTCCGCCTCTGCCGCGCGTATTTTTATCATTTTTTGACGCCGTCGGCGTCATGCATTTAATTCGCCTCTTTCTGTCATCGACAGGTCCGTCCCTGTTTTTCTTTTCCTGCCTCATTCGCTTTTTGTTCAGGACTTCATGATGGCGGAGCGGGGCGGGAGCCGACCGGAAACCGGAAGTGCGGGTGAAGTCAAATTAAGGGTTTCTAATGTTTTCTAAATACGCATTTCATTACAACACGGAATCCACAGACACACAGCCTGATTTTTTAGTGGCGTGTTGAAGAGTGAAATGAGAAGCCAAAGTCGCTCTGGCAGCTACATGTTTGAGTCTATTAGTCAGACTCAGCGTAAAACAACATAAATTCATAGATGAAATGCATATAGAACAGCATTTATCTAAAACAGGAAAACAATACTATAATATTTTGTGTGTTTATACTAATCGAGCTATTTTAAACCCATGTCACATCAAAGTATTGCTTCAAAATAATTCATATTAAAGTACAATAGGTTTCACATCAATAATACAGAATCATATGCCACACTAATATTTGTTACTACTCAGCTGTTATAATTATCAGTGACAGCGTTTGTACCATTTATTTCTGAGAGTGAATAAACAAAATGAGTAATTTTGTGAGAACTATACACCCATAGTAAATGCATGAGCATCCAGGCTTTTATCTGGTCATAAAAATTACCACTGTAAACAAAAATTTACCTCTGTTAATATGGTTTTATTATAGTAATAGTGTTTTTTTGAGTGGATTGATTTATTTGTATAACCACAGTTTTACTACAAATACCATGGTTTAACTACAGTGCCCTGCCAAAAAAAGTCACTGTTTGGATTTAAATAGGCAAATATTTAAAGGGTTAGTTCACCCAAAAAGGAAAATTAGCCCATGATTTACTCACCCTCAAGCCATCCTAGGTGTATATCATGACTTTCTTCTTTCAGACGAATGCAATCAGAGTTATATTAAAAATGTCCTGGCTCTGGAAGCTTTATAATGGCAGTGAATTGCTTTTTACAGTTTCTGTTTTGAAGTCCATAAAAGTGCATCTATCCATCATAAAAGTGCTGCACAGGCTCCAGGGGGTTAATAAAGGCCCTCTGAAGCGAAGCGATGCGTTTGTGTAAGAAAAATATCCATATTTAAAACTTTATAAAGTAAAATAACTAGCTTCCGGCCAAACAAACATACGGATTTTCTAAAGCGCAACTTATGCGAGTGATGCGACGTACTGCTGATGCACTACGCTACTTTCGACGTCACAAGTTGTGTAAGTTGCGCATTAGGCGTAAGTAGACTGCGTTTGGCTGGAAGCTATAATTTTACTTTGTAACGGGTTTATGAAATTTGATGCCTTTTATCCTTCTTATCCTCGCTTTTAGATATTCTCATCTCCTCCACTTCTCTTTGAACTTCATCCTGGGTCACCATGACACCTAAATATAAGCCTCTTGCTCCTTAGTTTCTCCTTGATGCTGTCCATTACGTAACCTTTTCTGACATCACTCCCCTCCTCTGAAAAAAACACATACAGAGGAAAATAAATAAATACTAATAAAATCTGTATTAAGTTGACCAAGGCCAAAGCTTTAGACCCTTATGCAACAGATTTGTGGATTTGGGTACGATTTGGATGAAACCATACATTATGTAACAGCAACAAGGTAGAGTTAAATTTAATACATTTGTGGAATAACAATGACGGTCGTGACAAATGAGTGCAATAAAGACGGTTAATGACAATTCTGTAAGCCTTCTGACATTCACATGTGCACTAGCGTCTCTAGTCTTGTTTTTATATGATTTATATTAGCACATGATCAGCATCACATTGTGTATGAATTATTCTATGAACTAATGTTACTGTAGACAATTGTGTGATGTGCACATCATAAAGCTCTATAGGACGGTTCTGAAAAGGGACATTTTCTGAGAAATTTCTGTGAACAGTTATGTGGAAAGGATTTATCATTTATCATGATGACATGAATTAACGCCCTTGTAGTTTCATTTAATCCCTATTTGTCTATTGAAAAGCACAGATTATGCTACAAAAAAGTAAATAATACAAATAATACATGTTTATTTAGTATTAGGTTTATGTAAAATTTATAATGTGCATAAAATCTAAACAACCTGTTCATTGGTTACCATATACAGTGAAATATTATATTAAATTTAATGAGATGTAATTTTACTATAAAATATTGTAAAAAGTGTTTTATTAGCCGTACATTTTTGATCTTATAATTTAAGGTGAAAGCTAAAGCACTAGATATCTCAGTTTGATATATTTGATTCTATTTTATTTAAATAATTGTTTTTCTTAAGATTTGTATTATGTGTAGTTAATGCTTACTTTTAATGCTTACATTATTTTAGTGTCATGTGCATAAATTACTACTGCTTCCACCAAAAATGTTAGATACAAAATGCCATTCCATAATGCCTGCAACGTTTTTTTATAGTGAATTTCTGGCAAATCCCTGCCCGCTTCTTTAGTAAAAAATTATTGCAATTTTCAAGACTGTAAAAACGTGACAGTAAAAACCTGTTAAATAATTAGTAGTAAATCTTGAAATAAACAGAGGAAAACTGTAGTCAAATAGATCTAACCTTACATTTCGTATAATTTCACTCTAAAATACTGTTAAATGTACATTTTTTTAAGTAAACAAATATCTTACAATTTACTGTGAAAAGCCGTAAATTGACATTCCCAGAGTTCCCTGTGTGACATTTTTCATTTTATTTTTCCATGTGTCTTCTTAGTTTTCTGTCATCAGTTGTGTACATAAGGTCCACAAATGTTTCAAATTATCGCCCTATTTCAAAGCTTCCTTTTTTATCGAAAATTTTGGAAAAATGTGTATTTTTGCAGCTACAGTCTTTTCTGGAGGCACATGGCATCTTAGATATTTTTCATTCAGGTTTTAAAGCATTTCATAGCACCGAGTCTGCACTTTTAAAGGTTTTTAATGACCTGTCTGGTTATTTTAGTGCTTTTAGATCTCACTGCTGCTTTCGACACAGTTGACCACACAATTCTTTTATCTCGCCTGGAAAACTGTGTGGGAGTCAGGGGGACTGCCCTAAAATGGTTCCAGTCATATCTTTCAGGGAGATGCTTCTTCGTTAAAATGGGGGACTATACCTCATCAACTGCGCCTTTTAACTGTGGGGTCCCCCAGGGATCCATTCTTGGTCCTATTCTTTTTGCACTGCCTCCTTCCACTTGGAACAGTTTTTAAAAAGCATGGCATCTCCTATCATCTTTATTCTGATGATTGTCAAATTTAAATGCCAATCAGAAAGCAAGAAGGCAGCCCCCTGACACCCCTACTTGACTGTTTGAATGACTTCAAAGCGTGGTTGGCCCAAAATGTCTTAAAACTAAATGAGAGTAAAACAGAGATCATGCAATTTGGCCCCATAAACCCCATGATAGACTTGAGCCCCCTTAATGACTTTGTGCATCCTGTTGTAACTATAACCTTGGGGTAAAAATAGACAATTATTTTAAACTTGACAAACAAATCTAGTTTTTATCATCTTCACCTTTTAGCCAAAGTTAAACCGTTTTTGTCTTTTAACAGTTTTGAACAAGCTATACATGCTTTTATTTCTTAATGCACTTTATATCGGTATAAATCACAATGCACTTTCACGCTTACAGTTAGTCCAAAATTCTGCAGCACGTCTTTTAACAGGAACCAAAAAGCGCGCTCATATAACTTCAATTCTCGCCTCATTGCACTGGCTTCCTGTTCGTTTTAGGATTGATTTTAAGATTTGATTGTTTGTTTTTAAAGCTGTGAATGGACTGCCCCCAACATATATTTCGGACCTCATCCAAATTTATACGCCAGCGCGGTCACTGAGGTCAGAGGGCCAGCTCCAGCTTGCGGTCCCCAAGTCAAGACTTAAAACTTGAAGGGACAGGGCCTTTTCTGTGGTTGGGCCTAAATTCTGGACCGCTCTGCCCCTTCATGTCCGAACAGCTCCTACAGTTGAGTGTTATAAGTCTTGTCTAAAGACACATTTTTATTCTTTGGCTTTTAAAGTAACACTATGTAGTTTTTCAAACTTCATAATATATTTCCAAGACCCTTGTGATGGTACATCGACTTACAATAGGTTAAATGACACGTTTGCCATAGCCTGACGTGGTCTGTATCGCTTTTACTTGCACTATGTAACTTCGGGTTTAGGTAGTAACCGGAGCACAAAAAGTTTTTTATTACGTTCTGCTTTACGGCATACGTCACTTCACCCACCACTTCCTCAAATTGTCCAAAGCCGGTGCTGGATCATAGACATATACACTAGACGTCACCTTGGGGTTCTAAGCATGCGTCAAAAACGCCGCCATCTTGGAACAGGGGTCTTGTCATAGGAAGTAGCTAACGCTGCTATCTCTGCCTTTACTTCTAATTAATTGATGGTGGCGGACTTTTGTGATGTGTATGATGTTCACACGAATGACATCTGAACTAGGAAGAATGTAAAAAAAAAAAAAATTATTTATTTTTTCTGGAATCAATGATAAACCGTCTGACCGTGGGAACGAACCAAAAAAACGAGAAAATCGCATTCATGATGATTTATGGTGATTTTATTTCCGTTAAACCTTTGTCTACATTGACGCTGATGCATTAAAGTGGAGGGGCTCCCCTGTTCCAAGATGGCGGCTCTATTGATGCATTCGTTCTAATGAACTGCCGTAGCCAAGGCGACATCTAGTGTATATATCTATGGTGCTGGATAAACAGCGAGTGTGCGTGCGACAGTAGGCTGCGCTAGGCTAAATTATTTACGATAGCGGTAATGGACTATTCCGCTTCCAACCTGTAGGGCGACCGCTGAGGAAAAGTTACTTGGTGTTGCTTTTAACTCCGCGTGAGTTGTGTGGTCCTTTGATGTCTTTGATTGTTTTACTGTTTATTCATTTTATATATTTTTATATTTTTAAGCCTGATATTTTGTTTTAAACATTTTGTATTAATTGTTTTGTATGTTTTGAGTCTTGTGTGCAGCACTTTGGTAACTTTGTGTTTGTAAAATGTGCTATAGAAATAAAGTGGATTGGATTGGATAAGGGTTAATGTCACATATGATGTTGTTAAAGGAATTATTGCATTATTTTAGTGTTACCATAATAGTGTTTTGCATCTGTGTGCATGTGCACCTTATTATTTACCTCAGCTTGTGAAACTTCTGATGAGCTTTCATTCATCATGGATTCATGGTGGATGTCAGTATATGTAAAAAGTAAAAATCAGATTTTTGTGGCAATATGGCCTTGCAAGTTCATCAGAAAAGGGCTGTTTAATTGACCAATTAATTATTTTTTATTATTTTTATTTTTTTTCAGTTTTAACCTGTAAAATGTACAGGTTGTTCTATAATTACGTTTACATATTCATTGCATCTGAGCTATTCTGGCAATCATTCTTTCTGTAAAAACGACAGATTTCTTTATTTATTTGATTTATTGAATTGAACAGGATTTTTTATTTTTACAGAAACATCAAGGTAAGTAGAGCAGTTGGTTGACTTTATTTCCTGAGTCTGATTGTTGAGCATGATGTCAGTGTGACCCCTCCCCCGGTCACTTTCAGACACCATACAAAAGCCCTCATGAGCCGAGCCAGTCAATCAGATCAACTCACCAGAGTCAGCAACACTGAGACAAGAGGTCTCACTCCAGACTGACTGCAGAACAGGGTAAGCATATTATATTAATATTGTCATCCACTGTTCAAAACTTTAATGCATGTCATGTATAATGACCTTATGAATAAGCTGATACATGCACATACTGCATGTACTTATGCCTTGGTTATATCCGCAGTTTTGGACACACACCGATCACAGACAGCTCATCCTCACTCACAGTTATGACTGCATGCATCTTCTTACGGGGAGCCAAAGTTGTAAGTATGCTGAATATTTACAGTTACAATCATTAGAACATGTCAGATTTGTTTTCTTATAGTATTTATTATTTCATCATCATCCCATCTTATGGAACACAGTCCAGACTAATTGTGTTTATAGAAAAGATATTTTTTTTATTACACTGTCAAAAATGTCCACCAAAATTAAGTTCAGTTGCTGCCTTAAAATGGTATCAACTTGGTTGTACAAGTCATTTCAACTTGAATTATATTAAACTGACTTGAATTGAGTTGAATCTCACATATAACTTATACATTATTTTGATTTGTTAAAAATGATATAATTTTTATGATGTTTTATTATTATGTTTTTTTTACGTATTTCTATTAATTTTACGGCTATAACACTTTATAATAAAGTTTCATTTGTCAACCAACTATACATTAGGTTACATGTAGAACAAAAAAAGCTACTTCTTAAGCATTTATTAATCTTAATGTTAAGCGTCTATTAATATTATTAAAATCTTTTGTTGTATCTGTTAATATTATTTCATACCTGTCACCTGACCTAACATGAACAATTTTTCTATCATTAACAAAGATTAATAAATCATGTAACAAATATAAACTAACTTTACTAATAGAACCTTATTGTAAACCTTTTTTACTATGAAACAAAAGTCTAAAATATGAGGGAATAAAACATAGTACAATGCAATTAGAAAATTGTTATTAATAAATTTGTGTTGAATAACTTTATCCCATTTTATTATGTTTAGTATATATTTTTTTTATTAATTTTATTTAATTTGGTAACACTTTACAATAAAGTGCCATTAGTTAACTTCAGTTAATGCATTAACTTACAGTGAGCTATACAGTATATATTTGTAACAGTATTTATCTTTGTTAACGTTCGTTAATTCAAATGTAATTGTTCTTTGTTAGTTCAGGTTCACTTAGGTCCAATAAATAATATTAACTGATACAACTTTTGGTTTTAATAGGTAAAAGTTGATATAGTTAACTATTACATTAACAAATGGAACCTTATTGTTAAGTGTTATCTTTAAAAAAAATTTTTTTTTATTATGTTTCTTAATTTTTTATAATAGTTTTAGTATGAAACAAATCTCAGGAAAACGGAAATGCTGTGCAATCAGAAAATTGTCATTAATGGATTTGTGTTGTATTAAATTATTGTCTGTGTTTGGGCTGGACACATAATCATATTCAGCCCCAGTAAATCAGCTGGGGTATTAATCTGTCATCACTCTAAACCCTTAGTCACATTCAGCCGATAAACCCTCTAATTCATATGAAAATGGGAGGAACGTGCCATTGAGTGTATCTTTTTAATGAGATATATTACAATGCACTGCACTTTAAAAAGCACCTTTTCCATTATAAAACTGAGGTTTAAAATAAGCCTTTTAGATTAATCTGGGGGGAAAAAATATCTAAATAGAGACCAGGACGTCCAGATGACGTTTGAGAGGATTAACTACCTGTCATTTTGGTTTTGCAGGACAGAGAATTGGCAGATGATGAAATTGAAGGTAAACACACCTGTCAGTTGTCATATATTCTACTACTGTCAAAGCTTAAACTGAAGTATGCAACAGATGATAGATATTACAAATTATTATATGTCATTTTATTAAGACATATTATTTTACGGACACATTTTTGGGACTATTTCAATGAGAAGAAATATTGGTAGAGAAACATTGCAGAGTTTTTTTATTATTTATGTATTTACTTATTTATTCATTCTAATTAATAGCTTATATTACTGGAATATAAAATGTGCTGTTTATACACTAAAAAAAAAGGTTTCAAACGGAGGATCTTGCAGTGATGCCACGAAACATTTTTGGCTCCCTAAAGAACTGCACATGACATGCGGACATAAAATAACCGTGGCCATGCACATCGTAATAATTCATTCCCACGACTTAACTAATTCCCTCATTTTACTAAATCATGGCAACATTCCAATAATTTGTTCCCTTGTTTTAGTTAAATCAAAACGGTGGATCGAAGTTCAACGTGGCTAAGATTTACTAAAACAAGGGAACGATTTTTAGGGAACGATTTTGTTATGCTGGTTGAAAGTCTCTTCACATCCTGATAGCAATCATTAAGTAAAGTGGTCTAAATATATTTATATAAATCATATCTTCTGTCGAAGTCTCAGGACTAAAAAAAAGTTGTCCAATCATTGCATTCGGTTCGTATGATGTCCTACATGCCTGTCAATGTATGTATTTCCATACCTTAAAAAAAAAAAAGTAAAAACCTTCTTTCCTTTTCCTTTAAATCCTCACTTGTCTGGCTTATGCTACTCTGAGCAATGTCTGAACTTTGTAATTTGAGCACTCGCGTTGTTTTTGCCTCTTCACAATGACTCGCTTGGTTTAGTCCTCAGTTGTAAGTCGCTTTGGATAAAAGCATCTGCTACATGACTAAATGTGAATGTAAATGTACATCACACGTCCTCAGCATGTTTCATGCTACGCTGAGTTAGACAGACGTCAGTCACCGAGCAGCACCACAAACCAAACAGCAGCCGCCTTTTACAGTTCCTCCTGTTCCAAAGCAACAAGCTTATGCTGCGTTCACCTAACACCGTAATTAAGAAATGGCAACACGTGACGTTCTACTTGGTGCTGTTCATGTCCTCAGACTCGCATTTATGCGTTTCTATGTCAACACTATCAACGCCGAAATGAATCTGCAGCAGTCGGGTGGTACAAGTCAGGGCTCTTTAAATAGTTTACGGTCATTATTATTGTAATATTATGTGCTTTGAGACATTTAACGCTGTCTCTGCTGTACGCTATCATGTGTTTTGAAGGAGGCGTGGCTTTGGAGACGATTTAATTAAAGGGAGAGTGGTCAAAGTTAGCTCGCTATTGCTATAGCCTGTCCGAAATTACCTAATTACCTGGGAACAGATTCTTAATTCGTGGCCACAACTTAACTAAAACGAGTGAACGAATTCCTAAATTGTGGCAAAAATTTACTTAAAAGCGCAATATATATATTTTTATCTGCATGTCATGTGCGGGGCTCCGTATCGTAGCAACGCACCAAAATGTGAAACTTCTTCACATGAGCTTGCGTTTCCAGTCTTCAGGATTCGTATGCGTATGAATAGAAGTCAATGGAATGAAAAGTGTAGTGTGACGCCACATAGTGTAAAGAACATTTTAATAATCTAAAGAACCTTTTTCCACTATAAAGAACCTTTTGTGGAATGGAAAGGTTCCATGGATGTCAAAGGTTCTTTATGGAACCATCAATGCCAATTGAAAGACCTTTATTTTTAAGAGTGAACTTGATGACTCTTTCTTTGTTCTCAGAGCTGAGAGAGGCATTCAATGAATTTGATAAAGATAAAGATGGTCTTATCAGCTGTAAGGACCTGGGAAACCTGATGAGGACGATGGGTTATATGCCAACCGAGATGGAGCTGATCGAGTTGGGCCAGAACATCAACATGAATTGTAAGTAGCATAAAGAGTGTCTTTCTCTATCAGGCATCCCAGACAGCAATATAGTGTCGGCCCAGATCCGGGCCACATCTGGTACATGTGGATTCCAAATTCAAAGTACTGGCATGATTGTTTTGCATATACAATATTAGCAAAACAGTAATACACCTGCAAAAGAAAGTAAAGGGAAACATGTTTATCTATTTGTAATCTGTTTTCACTTTCTTTTTGTCTCAGTGGGAGGGAGGGTAGACTTTGAAGACTTTGTGGAGTTAATGACCCCAAAGCTTTTGGCAGAGACAGCAGGCATGATTGGTGTGAAGGAACTGCGAGATGCTTTCAAAGAGGTGAGAAGACAAACTAAAGAGAAACATGTGTCTGCTGATGCACAATGACCAACAATTAAGGTATTTTGTGGATTCACCCAAACTGAAGGCATCGAAACTCTCACCTGGCTTCAGCAAACTCCATTTGACCCGTTACCATAATGTTATCTCTCATCTTAGCGGGTGGGAGGAGGATGAAGTCCTTAGTTAATGAACTCAATTTGCTCTGGATGAAAAGCAGATCAGTGGTTCTCAGTTGGTGGGGTGGTGACCCAAGTATAGAGGACGTGTGTGTTCTTTAGAGGTCACGGCCAGCGTAAATGCAAATATCGTTGAGAACCACTGTGCCAAACAATATTTTCACATGAATTCTGTTCTTTTTTTCCCGTCTACAGTTTGACATGGATGGCGATGGCTCGATCACTACTGAGGAACTGAGATCTGCTATGAGTAAATTACTGGGAGAACACATGAACCACAAAGAGATTGACGCTGTCGTCCGAGAGGCCGACAATAACGGCGATGGTACAGTAGATTTTGAAGGTGAGAAATGACACACATTTTCAGTGCACGACATGCTAGACAAATCAAGCATTTATAGACTCCTCACACTTCCTACACATTTACGCGTGAAATGCTTTTCTGCTTGTTTTTGCAGAATTTGTGAAGATGTTGTCAAGCTGCTGAGAAAATCATCTTCTTCTGGATGCTGCATATACATAAAACATACATAAAGCAAAACGATCGCACACAAGACAGGATATGCGTGGACGTAAATATAACAGAAATGTACAGAAAGACCCCCCACAAACTATGCAAAAATCTCAAGCTTTCAATGCAATACTAAGTTATTGATCTTAGAACTATATTCACAATATTTATCTGAAATATATATATACAATAATATCATCTTTACATAATTTTAAATGATATTTCCTCAATAAAATACAAAATGAAGAAATAAATGACATGGAGTGACGTTTCTCTTTTTGTGAATGTCAATGCCGTTACATTCATTCTACACACAATCATACTATAGAACATACTTTTTAGCAATGACTTATTCAAAATAAGAACCTTTTTAAGAGAGCATGGGATTTCAGATGCAGCCTCTGTCTAAATGCATCACAGCATGAGTTCATCCTAATCTTTATGCCTGAGACCTTCAGATTAAGTGACTCTCAACTGGACTCTGCTCTTCAACACGGTCTGCTGTCGTCACCCTCGACGACATCATTTCTATGAATGATGCAAGATCCCGTAGGCTTCCTGTAACCACATATCTCCATTAATCTGTCGTTTCTCCGAAAAAAGAAAAAAAAACTGAAACAAGCCATGTAATCTGGGCCGCTGCCGAGAGCAGATGGTAAAGATTAGAAATCACTTTTAAGAGAAACTTTCTTTGGAAGATTAGAGGGGATAATGGAAGGAAGATATGATGAGAGGCGCTGAAATATTTTGGACTGTTTATGAGCAAACTGATGTGGATTACGGCAAAAACTGTACAAAAGGAGGAAAAAATGAGACACTTGTTTGAAGTGACATATACACTCACTGGTATACACGCTTGTGGCAAATACTGATTTATTGAGTTATTTAGTTATCTGTTATCTTAACTATTTAAGGTAACACTGTATTTTACAGTGTCCGTGTTACATGTAGTTACTATAGTAATAACTATAAGCAGAAAAGTGCAAGTTTTGTGTGTACTGTTATTAATCTTAGTTAATGTTAATTTCAAAATGTACTAATACATTATTAAAATCAAATGTTGTATTTGTTAACGTTAGGTAATGCACTGTGAACTAACATGAACAAACAATGAACAACAGTATTTTTTTTAACATTAACAAAGATTAAAAAGTACAGTAACAAATGTTTTGCTAAATGTTAGTTCATGTTAGTTAATACATTAACTAATGTTAACAAATGAAACCTTGTTGTAAGGTGTTCCCAGTACACTTGTAACATTGGTTTATACATTTTATTTTTTAAGATAAATAGACTGGCATAAAAAAATAAGTAAATAAATTAAAATAAAATAATAAATTGCACAAAACCTAGAATGACAGAGTGTCACACTTGGTTGCAAACATGCAAAATAAAAGAGTTGGATATAACCGCAGCAGTATTTATGAACTTCCTTCAAAAACACTGGAACAGAACAACCAATAATAAACTGATGACGAGAACCGACAAAAGACTTAAGGGTACACACTTAACGACTAGCTGAAGACGAACTTTAGTGTTTGTGTTGCAGATGTTTCCAATGCAGATTTTAAACACGACTGTGAACACAGACTGAAGCGGCTCGGCGTGTTTAGGCATGATCAGTCGTAAGTATCAAATTACAATCACAATTGGCCACAGTCGCTCAGTGTGTCCACCGTTTACACGACACCGTTTTCAAATAAAAACAGGAAACCTTAATCAGTGGCGTTCATTTACACAACACTGATGTTTTGGGAGCCTGAAAATGCAAACTTTTGAAAACGGGTTTCAAAGTGCAAGTTTTTGGAAACGATACCATTATCGTATCCGTGTTAACTACAAGGGGGTAATCCATCGACCGGAAGTTGAAGCCGGCCGGGTGCCGCCATCTTGTAGCAGAACTTCACTTGCGTTAGCGTTTCCATTGACTCCCATTCATTTTGGCGTCACTTTGACAGCGAATAACTTTACATCTGAGGCGTTTAAAGACTCCATTTGTCCATTATTTATTTCTAAAGAAACACGACAATGTATAAAGGGCTCCATTACCTTCTATGTTACATTATGGCCCCGTAGAAACAGATTTAGTAAAAATAGGCTAACGATTGCGTCATTACCACTCGACTCTCTGTCGCGCTGTACAGAAATTACCGTACAGACAGGAGGAGAAGCTCACAGGCAATCGGGGGGACGTCCCGTCAAGGGAGAAGCCCGTAGATAATGAGTCCATAAAAGCAACGGAATACTTACTCCTGCTCACTCACGCCAAAGAACTCTTTGCTCAAGTTCCCCGTCTCTGCAAGATTAACGTTGGCCATTTTCACGCACAGCTACTAGAAGATTAACGTCTGTCAGACAGGTTGCTCACATCATCAAGCTTAGTTTGAGTCAGTTTGAGTCTGCGCGTCAGGAACGGAAGTGCTCAAAAATCCCTAAAAATGGGCTTCAACTGTCTCAACTGAGTTCCAATGAGATGGCTCTGTCCACTTCTTATACTGTCTATGGTTAACTACAAACACATGAACACGGACATGAACACGTGAAAACGGTGACGTCAGGTTCATGTGTAACGTGTTCAGTCTGTAGGTGCGTAGTGTTTCTTTACAAAGTGACGTCGCCAACTACTGGCCTGGCAGCAGAATACACCGTTTTTAGTCGTTTTTGCGGATCCATGTGAACGGGATCGTTTTGACAATGGAAAACACAAGAGAAAAACGTTTCAGTTTTTAATACATCGTTGTCAACGTGCCCTGAATCAAAACCAAGGCTAAAAACACACATCCCTCTGATTAACGAAACATAGAACAGGTGTGTAACTAAGTAACCGAGGCAACGAACTCGACAGACGGGCGGGCAGGTACAACCAAAACTAGAACAAACAGAACATAACCCCGACACAGAGCTTATGAAAATCAGACAACAGAAGAGAGGATGCCGCGTGATTAGCAAATGCTTCAAAATCCCAAAACATCCTGGATCAGCCTGAGAGAGAGAGAGAACAAGGGAGGAGGAAAGAAATAAAGAAAGGGATCAATGTAATTAAGGAAGAGAGTTGTCAATTCATACTGAAAGATAAAAGCGAACCGGTTGTGCTGTGATTCTTCATGCATGCGACACACAACAGATATGATAAAACTTTGACACTGTTGCATAAGCAGCTAAACTGCAGTTGAACAGCTTGAGATTGCAGATTTAAGGGTGAAGAAGAAAATCCTGGAAAGAAAACCAAAAATCTAAGAAATCAAATATAGATGCTACACAGACTAAAAATTAAATAGACATTATTTCAGGATTTGTGGTCATCTCAAGTTGTTGTGTTTGCAAAGTCACTTTCCTGCTGTTGTTACCATAGATGTATATACATAGAATCTTCATTAGCGGGAGGATCTTTTATTTAAGTAGCTTTTATTTAATTAAAAGTAGCTTTTATAAATGTTGCTTAGAAAAAAACATTACTTGCATCTTGAGACAAAACAATGGCACTGACATATTTTAAGATTTGTCAGTGCAAGTCGATTTCAGTTAAAACAGCTCAAACATGCATTTTAGTCTGGACTAGACTTAAGCCTTGTCTGTGAAACCGGGGGAAAAAACACAAACCAACACATTCTCCCCCACATTTCTTCGGGAATTTAAATATTGGTGGTTTCACAACAAGAAGCTGTGCAATGTTGTGGCATCATTGATTCGTACCGTTAGTGATGACAACTTGACCGTTTCAAGATGGTGGGCGCCGACATACGAATGTGGAATGTGGCTTTATATACATATCTATGGTTGTTACTCTCTGTTTGTGAAAGGGAAAGAAGATCTCAAGTAGATGCTCACATAGGCTGCATTATTTGATGAAAAATACAGTAAAACAATAATATTGTGAATATTACAATTTAAAATAGCTGTTTTTATTTGAATATTTCCTATTTCTGTGATACAAAGCTGCAATATCAGCAGCCATTATTTCATTTTGATTTTGTGCTGCATTTTCAGTTGTGCTGCTGATTATTTTTGTGGAAACTGTGATAAAAACTTTTTTTTTTTCCAGAATTCTTTGATGAATAGAAAGTAAAAAAAAACAAAAACATGCAATCACTTGAAATATATTTTTTTGTAGGTGGTTATTGCCCAGATTATCTTGATCTGACCAAACACAGATCCAGAATCCTCTGTTGCAGTCGCACGACAATAGTCGCTGTTGTATTTGCTTGACAGCTGGGACTGAAGGGCTTAGGCCACAAATTACCCAAAGTAAACGAACACCCCTTTCCCTCGCACACAATATTACAGAGCACATCTGTCCCACACAACTGCACTCCGGCTCTAGTCACGCTGTCCAGTGCCAAGGCCAAGATTCATGCCACTAAAGTGCTAGATTAAAAACTTATATAACACGTATTGGTTTCAGTGTATGGGATCCAAACATGAATTGTAGACTCGCAAAGAACAAAACTAGACTAAATCTGTGACGCTTTCACCCTTTCGGAACAAAGAAACATTTAAGAAAAACATGTGGTTGTAGAGAATAGAGAATAGGCATACAAGAATGCCTCCAGTATACTGAAAGAAGAGTATGATCGAAGAATGAACCAGCTGATGGACAGATGATGGATCTTTCATATGAAGAGAGCTGTAAGAGGGATACACGATGGGAAATGATGTAATGATTATGGCCTCTGGCCCATCATTTCAGTTTTATCCCTGAAACATCGCATGACAGGGTGTGTTATCCGCATAAATCTCTCTCTCTCTCTTATTCATGATACTGCGGCTTCTGCACAGCAGGTCAGACTGCAGCATTATTGGTTGATCGGGATCACGACCTCTCATTCTAATCAGCTTTTTCATAACACCATGTTTTTTAAAGTCACAAATCCCCAGAGACATGAATTTCCAGTAATTACTGTATGTAGCATTTATATATGAGAAAAGAATCACTTTAACAGCATAATACGTGAACCAGGGAGTATTTTAATTTAATTTAATTTAATTTAATTTAATTTAATTTAATTTAATTTAATTTAATTTAATTTAATTTAATTTAATTTAATTAATTTTTCACAATTGTTTAATTAATTGCAGTTTCTATGCTACATGTTTAAGAAAAAATATATTAAATAATCAAATTAAATATATATATAAAAAAACTGAAATCACAATAATATTATAACATTTATTATCAATCTACGTCTTTCTATAATTGCATGATCCTTCTATCAGTTTTATTTTTGAGGTTTTTCTTTTTTCTTTCTTTCTTTTTTCTTTATTGCATTCTCTTAAAAATAAGGTGGATAAGATGCTCTTGGCGTTCATTAAAAAAACTACAAGAACCAGAATAAAAAATGCGGATGAACGGATATGACGTGTCAAGCCATACTACGTTCTCACGTTCTATCGACTGACAGCTGCCGCTTTCATTCGCTCCAGGAAGTGACATTTCCAGTGAGTTCTATGTTTAATATAACACGTTGTTTAGTTTGCTTAGCGTAATCTCAATCTGCAGAGCGCTGCCGATCCTTCTGACTTGTGTTTTAAACAGTTTATTGCAGCGCAGTTAATCTGACAATCTTTTTCCGCGTGCAGCTTTTTGCTGTAGCAAGTTGTTAAATTACCTGATGATGGCAGTGCAGACTACAAACACATGTGGAAAAATGACCTATTATTTAATAAATTATCGTGATCAGTATACATTCAATGAAAAAATGCCAAGTATCACATGCATTATATTGATATGTGCTGAGTAAATATTTTTAAAAGTTGCAGTCGTGATTTTGACCCCATGAAAACACAGTTAGAGACTTGTGAAACATCCTGAATACAGACTCCTAAAAAGTCCTGTACTTGCATTGCATGTTTGATGTTAGACATAAGTTTCTAAATGTGACATTTATTCTTTCACAGGTTCCTCATGTTCACCAGATGTAGGGAATTTTCTGGAAAACTTCTCCATTTGAGCTGTATCATCTCCTTCAAAAACAGCAGATATCTCTGTAGTCCGCAGCTTTCTACATTCCATTTTTCATCCTCGCATTCATTTCTCGCTTCTCTTTTTGCATATTCCCCTGGCCCACGTTTGTCTCTTCAACACCCCCCTCCCTCAAGGTCTAGTTTTCCTGTACTCCTCCAGTCTGATAAAGTTATTCGTTATCTGTCTGGTTTCCCCCATTCTGCTGGACACATGGATTTACAGGGAGTCCTCGAGGTTCTCGAACAGCTTGCTCCACTGTCATTGGCTGAATTGTGGGATAATGTTGGCCTGTTGGTGGAGCCCAGCAAACCACGTCCAGTCAAAACAATCCTGCTAACCAATGACCTCACAACAACCGTCATGGATGAAGCTGTAGCGATGAACTGCGACCTCATCGTCTCATACCACCCGCCACTCTTTCGACCTTTCAAACGTCTGCTTCAGAAGGACTGGAAGCAGCGGTTGACTATCAGAGCAATAGAGGGCGGCATTGCCATTTTCTCCCCACACACTTCATGGGACAGTGTCGAAGGAGGCGTTAATGATTGGCTGGTTGGAGGAATGGGTAAGAAAGAACACTTTTTCTGTAGTCTGGGTCAAACAGTCAGAAAATCTTACTTGTGCCTCTATTCACAGGCAGCGGACAAGTGTCAGTATTAAGTCAAGCCCACTCCAGCGGCCCTCAGAAACACAGGCTTGAGTTCTCGTCCATGAATAAAGAAGAATTAAACCGCCTTTTGGAGCAGCTGAGACGCATAGAAGGCAGTGAAACTTTTCAGTGCTCTACAATAAGGTAAGTATACATTTGCAAGTAGTTTTGCGCATGATATGTACGTTAATACATTGATATTTATTCAAATACTGCTCCACATTCATCTTCAGAAATGAAAGTGGAGGGCAGCAGGTGAATCTAACTTGTAATAGTTCAGCCCTAACTCCTGCTGTGCAGATTCTGGTTTCAAATCCACATGCCAGCAAATCCCTGAACATCACACAAGTCCAGCAGGTGAGTAAATTTGATTCGTCAGAAAGATATTTTTAAAATAAATGAATTTTTTTATTCAGAAAAGATACTTTAAATTGATTAAAAGAGACAGTAAAGACATTTATAATGTTAAAAAAAAAATTATATTGCAAATAAATGTTGGTCTTTTGACCTTAATATTTATCAAAGAATCCTGAAAAAATGTTGCACTCTTTCTCTAACTCAAAAAATTCAACATTTATAAAAATAAGAAATGTTTCTCAAGCAGCAAATCTGCATATTAAAATGATTTCTGAAGGATCATGTGACACTGAAGACTGGAGTAATGATGCTGAAAATTCAGCTTTGATCACAGGAATAAATTATATTTCAAAATCTATTCAAATAGACAAGTCATTTTAAATTGTAATAATATTTCACAATATTATTTACTGTATTTTTTATCAAATAAATGCAGCCATGGTGAGTAGATGAGACTTCACAGTCAAATGGCACAAACATAACTGTGAACAGAAAATGCTAAAAACAGCCAGAAAAAAGCTAATATTATATATAATTGCACAGAGCATGTGATGATTCTTGTCCACTGATAATTATATATATATTTCTAGGACCATGTGTTATAAACACTTTTAATTGAATTTGATAATTGACATTGTGATATATCATTTTAATTTGACCTGTCTCTGTTTTCTCCTTTTCTTTCTCTTCTCTAGCCTCCCTTGTTGGGTTGTGGTCAAGGACGACTCAGTGTTCTGGATAAGCCAGTGTCTGTTTCCACAGCAGTGCAGAAAATGAAGACTCACTTGGGTTTGCCCCATTTGAGACTCGCCCTGGGGGACCAACAAACATTAGGTGGGGAATGAGAGTTATCCACCTTATTTGTAATGTAAAAGTAAATGTTTGAGTTTCAGGGGTGAGAAAGAATATTATGTAACATTGTTCTACATTACAGAGAAATATTAAACCATAGCAATAAGCCTTTAAGCGCTCAAGTGCACGCATAAAGCTGCTGCAGCGCAACGGCAAAAGTAATGATTAAGAATGTGTCCAAAAAACAGACGGGAGACTGTGAACATTTTAATAATTTAATAAATGTGTTTTCTGAGTCAGTGTCTGCTGCAAAGATGAAATTGACGCAGTATAGTGGATTTGTCTATTGAGAGAAATGCACGTTAAAGGGATAGTTCACTTTGAAATTAATTTTTGGTATGTTTTAGCTTACCTCAAGGGCATCCAAGATGTAGGTGTCTTTATTTCCCGCAGTAGTTTCAATTTTGATATTTTTAGGTCAAACCGTTCTTGTCTGTCAGTCATATAATGCAGGTCTATGGTCACCACCTCAAAGAGCATGCACAGAGAAGTCCAAATTAAACATGATTTAATGACTCGTAAATGTAAGTACACATTGATGGCCTAAGACACCAAACGAGCGGTTTGTGTGAGAAAACCAACAGTATTTATATCGTTTTTACCTCTTGTAACGCACAGACCGAAGCGCCGGCGCCCTCAGATCACTTGGACGTGGCTGTGGTTACAAGAGGTAAAAACGATATAAATACTGTTCGTTTTCTCACACAAACCGCTCGTTTCGTGTCTTAGGCCATCAATGTGTACGTACATTTACGAGTCATTAAATCATGTTTAATTTGGACTTCTCTGTGCATGCTCTTTGAGGTGGTGACCATAGACCTGCATTATATGACTGACAGACAAGAACGGTTTGACCTAAAAATATCAAAATTGAAACTACTGCGGAAACAAAGACACCTACATCTTGGATGCCCTTAAGGTAAGCTAAATCATATAAAAAATTAATTTCAAAGTGAACTATCCCTTTAAGTTAAACATGCCATGCTGTAAACTCGATACTAATTTAGCTTACACACTCCGCCCGAACACTTGTATATGCGCCTAATAATAGCGCACATTTATCTTCTTGGTTAATGTTAGAGCAGGCGGCCATGCAAAGTGGCTAACGTTAGGCTACTACTTGCATGTTTAAAATAATAAGCCATGTTTAATAATAAGCCAGGTCAATCAATGATAGGCGAACTTTTGGATTTCCTGGCTGACACAATTACCACATGGACCAGCCAACTGCAACCAACCAAGTCAAATTTGGACTGTCATCGACTAACATTTGGTCGACTATTAGGGGGCAGCCCAAGTAATCATATACAAACTGGTTTGTAGCACAAATAGTTTTACTGTTTACTGCACTTAGTTATTTCTCTAGTTATTTACCCGTAGACTGGCTAATGAATTGGAAGTCTCACATTCACAGAAAATAGCATTGAAAAATAAGAGTCAGACTGAACAGTGGATGTAACGTGTGCGGTTATCATCACCTAACGTCATTTTATATGATGTGCTAGACTCTATGGTGAAGACGGTTGCAGTATGTGCAGGTTCCGGAGCGTCTGTCATACAGGGAGTAAAAGCAGACCTCTACATCACTGGTACGTCACACACGGCACAGAAACAAACAAAAGCTGATGTTCATCAATTTATTGAAGTCCCAGAGTACAAATAATAACAGTACAAAAAATGTGCGATTAACCCAAGCTTATTTTTCACATGTTCAGGTGAGATGTCCCATCATGAGGTTCTAGATGCGGTTTCTAAAGGCACGAGTGTGATTCTCAGCGAGCACAGCAACAGCGAGAGAGGCTTCCTGACCGTATTCAGAAACAGACTGGCTGCACGACTGGGCGACACCATTACCGTATCCGTTTCTCAACGAGACCGAGATCCGCTACAGGTGATCTGATCTCAACCGATCACACAGCCATTTAGTCATGTTGGACTGAATATATGGATATCACAAGGAATATTCAGTTTCTGACCTTTAGTTTGGAAATGCAAATGTAACATTTTCCTATAAATAAGCAAAATAAACTGTCCTATCCAGCCTACTGTATCATATTTGATACGCACATTTCTATTGCACAGAGTACTACATGTTTTCTGTCGTCTGATTGATATTTTATGCGTTTTTAGTAAGTAAAAGGCCTTCAGATCATGGTTCATGTGTCTTTGCTGTAAGAACCTAAGAATAATGTTTACATTGTTAGTAATATTTCAAGATGAACACTTGCTGGACAGGACCTGGACTTAGGTTTGCTTGATTATCCTAACATCATTTTTTAGAAAAATCAATAAAATATGATACATCAGGCTTTTTAGGAATGTTTATGTGAAAAAAACCCTCAATCATCATTATTAGCGTTGCATTATATGCGTACCCCCTAAAACACAATTTTTTAATTCACTGGATTGAACTAACAATCTCCTCACTCACGTCTCATTCTCAGTTTGTTTTCACATGGCCTGTTAATCTTCACTGCAAATCAATATCAGTAGTGTTTACTGGAATGCTTCTATAGAACATAAATACAATTTGTAAATGACAGAAAGTGCTTTAATCCCATAATTCACGCAAAGCTTCATGGAGTGCAGGAAGAAGTTGGATAAAATTCTTATTCAAAGGTACATTTCATTATCTGTTTGGAAGGCACTGTTTATCATGGCCTTTGGAATAACTAATAAAAAGCTGGAGGTGGAGGTAGAGGGTGTTTTTTGAGGTAGTTTGACAGGAGGGTCGGGTAGTCTGTCAATACGCCTGTGGCTCCGACTGCAAATGCTGCTTCTATATCGCTCTCCTCATTGCACACAAACAGCTGCACCTGAGATGCCAAAATCAGATGAAATGAATGATTTTGCTTTGGGTTAGAACTGTTTTTAGATTGACACTACTGAGAAAATATTCACCTGCAAGCCCCTCTTGATCAAGTGGTCGAACAATGATTTCCGCATGGTCAACCTAAGCAAAGCATCGATAAACACAATCATACATCACAAGACACAAGCTGTTTGACTGCTCTATGTCAGATGAACGTCACTTACTTCTGAAGAAGATACACAACAAATCTGTTCTTCAGATAGGGTTCCTCTGGAAGATAAGTCCTGAGAGATCACAACTGCTGCATTAGTATTAGTCAAATGCAATGTATGGGAAAATGCTAACTTTACAACTAACAGTTACTAAAAATGCTCATTGGATTTGTTACTATATTTATAATAAAAACACATCTTTGTTACTTCATGTTAGCTCAGGTACATTAAATAATATTAACAAACTTTTGATTTTAATAATGTGCGGTATGTTGAAATGAGCATTAACTAAGATTAATTAATGTTTTGAAGTATTTTTCATTGTTAGTTAATCATAAACTAATGTAGTTAACTTGCGTTTACAAATGGAACCTTATTGTAAAGTATACCAAGAGTAGGCCTCATATTTATCAATAATTTTGGGTATTGAATTATGCTTATAATTAACAAATCTCTTTAAGATTAATAAATGTTTCAGAAGTATATTTCATAACAGATCAGGGGTCTCATTTACAAAACTGTGCGTAAAATCATTACTAAAAGTGTACGTGCGTCCGAAAGCAAAAAATGGCGTACGCAAACAAATACTCTGACTTCTAAAACCGTGCGTACGCCAGAACCTGCGCAGAATTCACTTTATAAATCCCAGTCAGCGGAAGATTGTGCGCACATGCGTCTCCACCCCGAAACAACCATATGTGGAGCTTACAACACCTAGTTTTACTATGCATATCCTCATCTGCATATCATTTGCATATGATTATTCATCCACGTGATAACATGATTAACGGTACAAGGCATTTGGAAAATATGAGATACGGATGTGCCGTCACATTAGTTACATTAATAAAAAATAATTTAGTAGCCTATATCCTTGCCTTGTTTTTGAATAAATAAATCAAATAGTGTAAAATACATTTCAGAGAAAGTTTTTCTCAATCTTTTCCACTTGCCAAAGAGTATTTTTAATTGATTTATATTTTTAATGGAAACAGATAGACCTTGTTGTGCATTATTTGCACGAAACTATTTTCTCAGACAATCTGCTATTATGATAAGCAATTATCTCTGTAGTTAAAAGATTAAAACACAGCATGCCAGAGGAAAAGTGTTTGAAAGCATTGCATCCACAACAAACATTTCTATTTATTGAATAGAAAAAAATGTTGTAACTTGTAATGATTTCATGCAATTTAAGTTAACTCCATTAATCGGAATGGCATATTTAATCTAAATGTTTATCAGAAGTAAAACATAGCTTTATTCATTTAAACTGTTATTGTGAACATATTTCACAGAACACTGTATTTATGATTATAATGAAGATTTACGGTTTTAGATAGGCTGCGTCAGTTTCACTAAAGAACAAAGGGATGGATATTTAAAAATGGATGGATGTTTGCTTCATGTGATAGGCTTGGTGAGTGAAATTATATTTTTATTATCTTTCTGTATACTGTATGTGTAATTTTCTTTAGATTTTCTGTCTAAAAGTGACCAAAAAGACATTTAGCTCCAGCTCACCATCGGTGTCCAAAGCGTGCGTGCGCACGGCTCAAAGTTTGCTTAAAGGTGCGCATATTCTCCCGTCAAGTTTTTTTTTTTTAGATCACAACCTTTGCGTGGAAACTGGCGTACGTACATTTCTAGGCCCGTTTTATGCGTACGCACGCTTTATAAATGAGACACCAGGTCTGTTAACTCTTTCCCCACCGCTGATGGAATTTCCGTTCATTTATGAGACGACTAAATAAAAAAGGTAATTGCGAGGTAATTTTTTATCGCACACTTTTGACTTTTTGTTCTCAGACTTGCGTGATATAAAAATTGTGTGATCTATGAAAATGACTTAGTAGTTGTAAACGCCGGAGGGGAAAGTGTTAAATATTATTAATAGATACAACTTTTGATATTATTATTGCATTGGTAAATACTGACATGGACATTGACGAAGATATATAAATGCTTTAGAAGCATTAGTAAATGTAGTTAACTAAAGTTATAAACGAAACCTTATTGTAAAGCGCTATCACAAAAACATACAGGAAGATTTCACTTCAAACCCACCAATAACTCTCAGAACGTTTTTAAAAAACGTAGATAGTTATGAAATTTCAATCCATCCCACTTTTAAAACTAGGCTATAGACTGACCTGTTGATGACCCTGGGCAGGTAGAACAGCAGGACACTTTCACCCAGAGGCACAAAGGGAAGGAGTCCAGTGTAAAAGAGCAATAAAAGCAGTATTCCACGCCTCATACTGAACAAATAGGGTATGGATGGGTTCTGCACACACACACAGAACAAAAAAATAAGATAAGCTTATAGCACTGTATAAAATGCTTGTAAATTTGTATGAAGACATCTCTGATTACTGACCACTGTAGGGACACATTACTGTACCTGCTTCTGACATTTAGCCATAACCTCCGACTCTTCAGAACCCCAAACTGTAATACTTTCTCTGCCATAGTGCTTCACAAGACAAGAGACCTACAGTCACATAAAAGGGATACCAAGTTATTATGAATTTCATTCGGTCAATTTTGATTCAGACAAGTAGGAGAACTAAATAAATCAATACAAATAAATATCACTGAAAGAACTTGCGATTCAGAAAGAGATTCATTGAGTTTATACTCGTGAGTTTCAAAGCCTTTTTGAAGGCTGCATTAAAATATCCAGCTTAGACAAACACCCGGATGACCTACTATTTCTGAAGTGTGCATATGATGGACACTTTACTATCCCATGAGGCCACAGGAGAGGATTTGAGAATGGTAGGGATAATAACTGATGCTGGTCACATGATAATGACAACATGGCGAATTTAGTACGTCCGGATTACATTCACACACACATTCATTCTATATAGAATGTCCTTTTTTTAGTGGTCTCGAATTAATTATTTATTCAAAATCAAGAGAGTGATTAATGTGATTTCTGACACAGCCATTGTCTCCGACTACACTTCTTGTGGTGTGTATTTCAACTTGTGAGTTTGAGAGACCGTTTCAACAAATCATTAAAAATACAAGTCATTTATTTGTGATGGATGATCTATATAAACATGCTTTATCAGCAATGTGAATGAACCAGTTATTAGACACTGAATATTGCAAAATCTATATCTCACCTTTTTAATGAGCAAGTCATTGTTTTCTTTGATCTCGATCATCATTGGCATGTTGGGAAATTTCTTGAAAACATCTTCCAGCAACACAAACTCTCTGTCTTTCCCTGTACTGTAGTGTCCTAATGTATTACAGATTTCAGATATTACTGTAAAGCACTTCATAGTGTAGAATCGTATTATAATCGACTTACCAACATAAAATGTGACCTCGAGTCGCTCTTTATAGAGAGGCAAATCCTGAAAGATACAAAGTAGGATTAAAAATCCATCACAAAGCATAGGGAGAAGAAAATAGGAAGTTGAATGTTAAAATGACTACCTGGAATCTAAGAGACGATATTGTTTTGTCACATCCTGTTTGTCTCAAAAGGTTTTTATCATGTGAAACCACAACGCAGCCATCCAGTGTAAGGTGACAGTCCATCTCCAGCATCTCAGTGCACGCAGCCACAGCACTATCACATCATCATACAAATACATGGTTAAAGTGGAGAAAAGGAGGAAGGAATAGAAGAAAAGCTGAGAGACTCACTGTGTAAATGCTTCCATTGTGTTTTCTATCTTCTCTCCAGACCCTATAGGCAAAAAGCATCAGTTTAGGTCAGTAATAGTGTTAAATGAATTACATTTCGTTCTGGGTCAATTTGACCCGAACACGTTTCTGAGTTACTCTCTGAGGGTGTTTGGATTTATGCATTTGGCAGACGCTTTTATTCGAAGAAATGTACACTGCATTGAAGGACTAAATTTGTATCAGTTTGAACATGAATCCACGATCTTGGCATTGCTAACGCCATGCTACGGTTTGAGCTTAAAAAAAAATAAAATATATATATATATATAATAAACGCATTGAATTTTAAAATACTATTTACTTTTATGAAAAAATAAATGTTTTAAAAATAGTTAAATATTGTTTTAAAAATCATTTTCACATAATTTTTTTTAAATGTGTGAAGTTTTAATGTTAAAGGTTTATGTTTTTTGTTTGTTTGATTTACACTTTACAAAAAGGTTTCAATAGTTAACATTACATTAATACACTGTAAAAAATGATCGTGATTTTAACGGTAAAAGACAGCTACAGTGAAAAACTGTTAATTGGTTAACAGAACCTTTCCTTACTATATACGGTAAATAACTGTGATAGATCTAATGGTACATTTCATGTAATTTTACTGTAAAATACCGTTAAATTTACAGTTTTTGAAAGTGAAAATGAACAACTCATTGTATAATTTACAGTGAAAAACCGTAAATTGACATTCCCACAATTTCCTGTGTGACACTTCGCATTTGATGTATTTTTGTTGAAATAACTGTTTCTTCGTAGTTTGCTTAGTCTTTTTCTAATCAGTTATGTACATTAGGGTTTTATGTGACTTAAAAAGGGATTTAATGTTGTTAAATTAATGTTTATTGCCTTTTTAAAATTTCATGTGTGTTACCACTTGATGGTACAAAACAGATATTAATACTTCAATAGGTCGGTAAATTAACATTATATCAAATAATGAAATACGGGTTATTACTGTAAATTTTAAGTTAAGTCTGTAAAACCTTGCTACCGTAAAATCTTGCTACCGTATTTTATACGGTAAATTTCTGGCAACCACAGCTGCCGGTATTTTACCGTAAATTGAACAGATTTTTTTTTTTACAGTGTACTATTAATGAACTGCACTTCTTTTCAACATTTACTAATACATCATTAAAATCAAAAGTTGTATTTGTTAACATTATTAGTTAATGAACTGTGAACTAACATGAACAAACAATGAACAGCTGTATTTTTATTAACTAACCTTAAAAAAGATTACTAAATACTGTAACAAATGTATTGCTAATGATTAGTTCATGTTAGTTAATACATAAAACATGGTTTTTGGTGAATTGTATTGAATCTAATTAGGGTCAATTTGACTCGAAACATAACGCTGGTACACATCATTTTAACAACACACTGGTTAAGTGTTATAATGTAAAAAGTTATAATCAATGAAGCTTAAATTCAGAAGACAGAAACTCCACTTGCCTCCTCTGTGTGAAATGTGTCTGCAGTGGAAGTCCAGCTTTTTCCTCTTATGAAGGATACATGGATTGTGTAGCAGGTACAGGGAACACACAACATACACTGCGACAGCCAAGCAGAAGAGAAGAATCCCACACAGTGCGTCCATTCTGAAACTACAGGTAATCCCTCACTATAACTGCACTTTGACTCCCAGAACCGGATATTATGAAGTTTGAGTATCTAGAAAGCAAATATCAGCAGCTCCTCAAAGTCTTCCACCTGTTTTATTGCTGCTCATGCTTGCTCTGTAGGTTTTATAGCGTTCATTCTGTCTAACTGAACACGTGATCATGCATGAGTATTGGGTGTGTGGTCAAGTTCAAGTGTTGATATCATAAAGTGCGGATTACTCAAAAAATGAAAGAAATGGGGTTTAACTGAGACCTAAGAAATCAAATCTCACATCTTATACTTCCGTTGAGATTGTGAAACTATGCTATTGAAAACCTTTTGTGTGATTCCATTAAAAGGCATATGTTTTATCCCTTATCTGAACTGTTGTGGTTTTTGTGGTCAGAGTTTCAGATAGTTTTAAAGACGCCACATGAATTGAACCTTCTGACTTGACAAAGTCCACACTTCTGCTTAGTAATACCAGGGCTGTTGGAGTAACACATGACAAACATTTTATAAGAACTTCATGAGACACATGTGAAGACATACAAAACCTAATCACATTTTTGTTTATGTCATGATGGCTGGAAAATTCCCCCCATGTCATAATGTTCAGTTATGGCCTGTCCCTTGTGAAAAATAACTTTTGAATAGGCTATATTATATTGAAAGAATACGTCAGTGCTTTACTTGTCGGACACTTAATTGCAAGTTATTTGTAATCAAATTAAAATGTATTATAGTTTAAAATGATATTAAATGAATAAGAGTGTTTTTATTTAAGTATGTTTATTTGTAATTCCATATCTACTGTGTATAGTTTTAACTAGTGTTGCTCAAAACTACATTTAATATTAATATTACATTAAACAAATTTCAAAGACAAATCTGTCTTTGACTAACATGCTAAAGCACATGTAAGTTATTGATTATAATTGTCATTGTATAGTGTGTATTTGATATTACAATTAAAGTTAATATATTTTAAGTTGCAACTTCATTACAAATGTTTAATTACATATTGTTTTAATAACAAACTACAGTTGAAATTGAAAGCAGGTCTTCATGTGCGTTAATCAACACTTCAAAATAATTGTACTTCTTTAAAGTATGACAAAAGATATTTAAACATGATGATTTCAATGTAGCCTAAGTTTTAATTTGGCATTAAAGTACAAAGTTTTTTTTTAAGAGGAACTGTCATCATGAAAGTGCACTACGAGTGTACATTCAATCAAAAATTAAGCACACTTCTTTACAAGGGATGTACAAGCTCTTTTAAGAATTTGATGTATTAAACACATAATTGCTTGGATATCTAAAATTAGCCTTTGTGTAATATGAAAGGTGGATCTGTAAGCATAGTTAAAGATATTTCAAACACCACACCTCTGACAAATATTTAACACAACACATTTCGACCTGAATATGAACTGAGCATATTGACTATCTTTTAGTTGGGTGATGTGTTGGACTGTACAAATTATGTTTTATAAATAAGCATTGAGGCTTTGGGCATTATCAAGTAAATGAAGTTTATGAAATGTCCCAGTATCATGTGTAAAATCAAACCTGGACATGTGATCTAATCACAGAAGAAAACTCAGACTGATCAGTTTACATGAAATCACAAAAGCTATGCTTTTCATCGTGTTGGCATTAAAGAAGTTACCAGGTCAAATTGACCAGATATTATAGATTGCAGCTCAATATTCTGTTAAATGTACAGTAAAAACCCGGCAACCGGTTTACAAAAAACTCAAATGTAATCATATGTGTCATGCTGAGACTTCTGGAAATGTGTTTTGACTGTTTTTCACTGTAAATTATATGGTAGTTCATGTTCATAGTTTTTCTTAAAAAAAAAAAAAAAAGTACATTATTTTAGAGTAAACCGATACCATGTGATGTTTAACCAGTTGTGACTGTATAGAGTAACAGGGTTTTACTGTAGCATTTTTGTAATTTATAGTTTTTTACAGTCATTTTTTTAACATAATTTCCACCAATTGATTATAAATCCAGTGAATACTATTTCCTATACTTCACTCATTCTACTGTAAGTTCAAAACAAGAACATCACAAGTCACATCATTTCAAACATTTTCATCAACACTGAGTTCGTTTTTTTTAACCAATGAACACAATGAAACAAGTTTGTCTGTGTAAGTGAAACTGAGGGACAATGTTTTCATATTTGAATATACTTTAAGCACTTTAGTTCAAAGTAACAATCAAGTCAAACAAGATACTTACCATAATCAACACTGGCCCGTTTCACCCCTTTATTGCTTCTATTTGTCAGTCACAACATTTCAAATATTTTCATAAACACTGACTTTTTAACAAATGAACACAATGAAAAGAGTTTGTGAGCGTGAAGTTAGACTAAGGGGCTTTCATATACCGCACACACGAATAATAGCATGTGTGTATATACAATTATGAGTGAACTTACCGTCTTTATATGAATTGTGAAGCTGCATATCAATGTCAAATTGACCTCCTGAAATCTAATGTAGGAATTAACAGGCACAGAAACTTTTTAATAACACGGTTAGCCGATTTAAACATGGTACAACTCACTCGTCTCCTTACACTAAAACGGCCTCGTTACGGCGAGTCTAGTTGTGCTACTGTTGCTTAAAGACACACACCTGGGCACTCATAAACACATTAGCTGCCATTAGGCCTTACAGTCCCTGTAAACTCTGAAACGGACACACACTGTGGACAGTAATGACATCCACCCCCCTCTGAGACACACACCTCCACTTCCCCTCGCTCTCACAGCCCTGCTTTATCACGTGCCTGCGAATGGACAACAAAAACAACAACTACAACAACAACGTTAAGGTGAAGCAGTCTGATCCGGATCTGTCAGAGTTTGGGACTGGCTGTGTAGATATTAAGACTCAGAATATGCCTTTTTATGGTACACTCTTAGAAAAATGGATCTAAAGATCACCAGATTAGGGTTCTTTGGCTTGTACCAATAGCAGAACCATTGTGGGGGGGGGGTTCAGTATTTTTTCTTAGCATTTTAATAATCTAAAGAACCTTTCGTACAATTGAGTTGTTAAACGTTCTTCATAGAACCATTGATTCCAATAACAAACCTTTATTTTTAGGTGTATGTGAGCCCTTTCACAATGTTACAAAGATGGAATAGATTTAATGTTTTTGTGACTAAGCATGTTTATTCATAAACCCAAGTAATAATTGCGAACTCTAACAATATGGATCATAAATTCAGTATCTCTGGTAATTTACGTGCTTAGTGGAGAGAAGTATATCCTCATCTTAACAGAGCTGCTCACATGTTCTGTTCAAATTCGAAAGAATACAAAACAATTTGAAAGCTTGAAACCAAACTTAACTTACAATATGAAAATTAAAATGTGTGGACATTTCAAGAAAGAATCAAGTACCTGTTGAGAGTGTGTTGATAGTCTAGGAAGGTTGAGCTCCAGAAAATCAATAATGAGGTGCTTTGAGAGGATTTGTTAGAGATTTAAAAACAAAAGGGCGGGAATTAAGAACCCTAAACTCAACACAAAAACGTTTCCTCAGGATGAAATGGTTTTAAATAGAACTATTATTATGTGTGAAGAACTATATCTTTTTAAAGAGGCAGTTTAGTAAAAATGTTTTCTTTAAAGAGTGTCATCGTCCAAAGCAGTTGTTTCTTTTTAAAAGACATGTGGATGGAGTGTCTGAACCCCAAGTGTTTACTTTAGAGACCAAACTGTAGCAGTAAGACCAAACTGTGTCGTACGCCTCCTCCACCTGCAACCCAGCCCTCACCACCAACTGAGCTGAGGTCAAAGGCCAACCTTAAACTGGACATCAAATCCTATAGTATTACATAACAATAAATCCAGTACTCCTCATCCGGTCAATGTTAAACCCATATATGGATAGCGGTAGTGGTAGACCGTCCATATGGTTGTGCCATTACATCATACATCATACAAGTTCTGGCATTCATTTTCATTTTGACCTTCCTCTTTCATTGTGGGAGAAAATCAGCTCAGTCAGCAGTTAAACCCATGAGGTCTTAGTTCTTCAAGAAAGACGAAATTCTGTTGTGAGCGCCTCACTCACATGCACTCTTAAATCATAACCAAAAATAAATGAATATAATATAAAACATAACATAATATACTAATATAATATACATTTTTCAAATGTATATAATACATGTATATTATACAAATATATTATGTATATTTACAGCATAGAATGTAATAGTTAACATGAAATAAAAATAAACAACAGTTTTACAGGATGTATTAGGTTTATGTTTATGTAAAATTTCTACACATACATTTTTAACATTTTAACAAGTTTTATAAATTAACATTAGTTTGCTTAATATGAATGAACATAAATTTAAAGTGAACAATAGTTTATTCATAAATTAACATTAACCAGATTAATAAACAATTTACATTCGTAGCATGATAGATACTGCATAACTAATCTGAATTAATTGAAAACAAATTTACTGTAAAGTGTACCATGACTGAATACAAATCTCCCCTATTTCCCTATTGTTTTTAATCATACTGTACTATCTCTGTTATAGCTCATAATTTTTACAAGCAATTTTGGAAAAAAAAAGTGCTGTACGAATATATCCTTGGGACGATTAGTTTTTCTCTGGAAAGATCTCTGGACAATTAGTTTTTCTACTTAGTTTATCTAAGCATTGAAAGACTTCAATGATCGTCTACATTTAATCCCTTTACTGTCTAGCAGAACTAGAAATATTATTTTTTGACTTTTCTTTGCTGTGGGCCAGTACAACGTGATGCAGAATCACAGATACCAGTCAATTCAGACACAACTCAATGACTAGAAACTTTGAATGATGAAGCAGGAATACTACATTGATGTTTTAGGTTTGATGTGCTAAGCAGTGTGTGTGTGTGTGTGACTAGTGTTTATTTAGCCATTGTGTTAAGACCAGAAGTGCTGGGCCCAAAAGATGGACCCTGAAGAAACAGAAGAGGGATGAAGTGTGAAGACCTCACCACCATTTGGTAAATGTGTGAAGGTGTGCTCACCTATA